TTGCGACCAGAAGAAAGAAGATACTTACCACTTACCACCACCGTAGATAGACCAGAGGATACGCAATCACCGAATACAGACCAGAGAACGAGCACGCAACAAACGCAGTAGATCTGGAAAGATCATATTAAGAGCAGCAGCAGCAGCAGCAACACCAGCACCATAGACAAACTAAAGAACGAACGCCATCAGTAGAGAACAGACAAAGACCAAAGAAGTTACTAACTGCTTATCGGCATCGCAGATAGACCAGAGGATATGCAATCACCAGATATAGGCCAGAGAACGAGCATGCACCTAGCACAGTAGACCAGGAAAGACCATATTAGCAGCAGCAGCAGCAGCAACACCAGCATCATAAACAAACCGAGGAACGAACGCCACCAGTAGAGACCAGACAATGGCCAAAGAAGTAATCACCAGACATGATAAACCAAAGAATGAGGCAGCAGAGATGACAGAGAAGTAACGGCAGCAGCACTCACTCAAGCAAGCAAGAAATTATTAAAACCTAATAAACAAACTGAATTAGTGTTAATTCTACGCCTTCCAGTGCTCGTTATCAAATGGTACCTAATATATTCCATTTCAAAGAAGCAGTATCAAGTTCTTCCAACAGTACAAGAAAGATTTATCGGTGCTAGAGTGTTATTATCAATCAAACGATGTCCAAAACCACCATGGTTTGATACTAAAACGCGTTTTACAAAAAGGGTGAAAAAACGGGTCCATGAAAAAACGAGAGAGCACCTTATCCGACGTCACGACCAGTAGATTTAGTCTCAGTCTTGTATGGTAGCAGCAGTAATTGCGGCAATTTAATCTGAAATTGTGCAGTGGGTATTTTCGTGTTCAAACTTGACTTGATCTCACATCCTTTAAACGTTTTTGCCTAGCGACAGGGAAATTACAGTTTCAACCTTACTTCGAGCCAGTCTGTAGCCCAGCTCCTTTAGAGGATTCAGTCGTCTCATTTGCTCCTTTGATTGAGCAGTTTCGTCTCCTTGATGATCAACCTCTTGGTAATGTTCAGGCCTCGGCTAAGGCATTTCGTCGGGCTGTCCTTTCGTCTGTGGTCTCTCCTTTGGCATTGCGCAAAATCTCTGCGTCCAGCTGGAAATTTTTTTGGTCCCTGTCTCTTACCACTGTCCAACGTAATGTGATATACCGTCTCATTCTGGGTCGAATTCCTCACCGCCGATTTTTGCATTTTATTATGCCCAAAGTCTTTGAGTCTCCTCTCTGTCCAGTTTGTTTGTCTATGAACGATTCCCCAAGTCACCTCCTCTTTCATTGTCCTTCTAAAGAGAAAGTTTGGCAGGGAGTCATCTTCGAGTTTCTGTGGCCTACCACCTCGATTCTAGATATTAAAGAGGCTCTTCTGCAACTTGATTTCTCCAACGTTTGGTATTGCCAAATTGCTGGAATCAAGCCTTTCCGAATCCTCATCATCACCCTTGGTCAACTGTGGCTTGCCCACATGAGGTTCATCTATGACAATGTTCCTATGGACCATACAGCGATATTGGCCAGTATTCGAACCAGTGTTCGTCAGACCATTGCGGAAGATCAGTGCCATTCCCTCCTGTAATCCAAAGCCAATTATTAGATAGTTTTTTTTTTATATAGTTTAGTTTAGTATATTATTCTTCATATTTTAGCTTATAGTTATCCAATTCTTTATCTAAATTGCACTCGCCTCTTCACTCTGACCTATTACTCTCAGTGTACGCGAATCAATCAATAAACAAAATTTAAAAAAAAATAAACGTTTTTGCTAAATTTGACTATGAAAGCTGTCGTTGTCATACCCAACTTTCTAATACACCTCTAGAGGGCAAAAGAAGCCGCATCGAATGATACTGGTTACTCTTAGCTTTTAAGCCAAAAATAATGAGAAATTTCTAAAAATATGAAAATAGGTTTTCTGTGAATATGTCAAAATTTAGCATATAAAAGTCTCATGTAAAGAGTTTCCAATGTTGCATTCCATCTCTACGATCAATTTGATATCATATGTATCTTAGAAAAAGTCTTTATTTTTGGGGTGATGTTGCATACAAGCATGCATCTTAGGCTACATTCACTTTCTCCTCAAGCCACCTTTTACAGTGTAGCAGCATAGATGATGTTTATCGTATCACATCACATCTACGTTTACAATTCCAGTCAATTGTGTGTGCACAGGCGCCTCAGGAACTACAATACATTCAATCTCCCCAATGTCAAGATACCGAGATCCACCTACACTACATGAAACATATCGACTTAGGTGGCCTCTCAACAAGCTATACCAACAATCCATAAGGCCCCAGTGGCCTGCTATTTATATACCATCTCAACGTAGTAGTCATTGACCAGGGATCTACCATATTTAAGCAAGCTAGATGCCCTGTAATAAAGAAGCTTTTTGCTTTCGTTTTAGATACAGTTGACAACTGATTATTATCATCGACTTATTATTACGAATTCATCAGGTGAAAAATGCGATCGTTTGGTTTTCAAGAATTTTCCCTTGGTATTATTACTCATGGAAAAACGATGATTTTCATGAATTTGCAAAAACCTAAAAATTTTGAGATAAAGCATCAGGAAGTAAAGCGTGGCCAAGAGGAGGTGTGTGGTGCTATTCCAAGCGCTCAAAACGCTTTGTGGCATGAATTATCCATGCTTGAAAATGGCTAGATTTGAACAGAATTCGACCTATAAGTAAGGCGTTATAGGTTGCATTGCCAAACCAGTAGATAAATCACATTTCTACTTGACGATCCAGATATTCAGCATTGTGTGAAGCTCAAGCCTTAAGTGATAGATGCTTTTATTATGACCCTGAGGCATAAATTTTTCTGTTTGAAATGCGCTATTTCAGTAATTTGAGGACTTGAACGTCAATGATATTACGCAACCTTGAATCTAACAACTTGCTCGGATTGAACGAAACGCTCGTTAGGTCAGTAAGGCACTTTTAATGGTCGTCCACAACAGAGATGCCATACCTAGCCAGAAAGCTAGACTTGAAGTCCATCCATATCATAATGTTAGATACTCATGATTCATAAGGAGAAATGGCTGATAGTATTAGACATGCTGAGTCGGTGTCAGCACAATATGTGGAACAAGCAACGAAATCATATATCAAAATTGATTAAACAGAGACTCTTGATACCTACAAACCCTGTGATAAAAGAGTCGACATCTGGAAACTGTAATGAAATCGAGTTTAAATGGATTCACGGAGCTACACTACCGAAAAGGCAAATGATCCAAAATCAATCGCCCAAACGCTAATTTTTGCTACAGTAGTGGCGCATATAAGCTTTCTGTTGTGCGTTAACCAACATTAGTCCATAATACATACCCTGCATTTATTCTATAGACTTGAGCGCCGTATGGACGCTTTTGTGTTATTGTTACTGAAGAAAGACGTATTTTTGCCATGCCAAACTCCATTTTTGAAAGAAAGTATCGCAGTAGGTATCCAATCGATGCCTCATTTTGTAGAGCAAACATAGGTGAACAGAATTCAATATATGAGAGGACGTGTTTAGTTGGCAGTTGAATAAAGAATAGTGCTTAAACACTGTTCTTTGTTAATATATTGGTTACTTTACACTTTACTGTCTTAATAATTTGACAGCCAATGTAACGACTGAAAACCTGTTTATATTTCTGACACTACTTCCCAAAAGAGGGTACATTATGACCTTGTAATAAAGCATTTAACTTTGCTAAAACGCGTGAAAAAGCTGTGCCTCCTTACTAGTTGTTACTAGTTGTTACTAGTAGTACCATAATGCGCAGCACAAGTTTGACCCTTTGTTAAACAAACGATAACGAAGCTTGATATGATCATGCGGTTTTGACTACAATGTTTTCCAATACCTTATCCATCAGTATCCTACTTATAATCGGCAGGTCTTACATGAGAAAGGTAACTGAGCAAAGACGCTCTCAAAGTGATTGAAGTTTCAATACCAATATACGTGGCAGGTATATTACCATTCTACTACTTAGGATGTAATATAGAGGTGTACCACTCGAGCGATGATCTCGTCTGATGCTGCGCCTCGTTCATTTGCCTATCATTTAAACCGGATATCCAGTGTTTAATGAGCTTTTGACTACAGCATACTATAGCCTTACATCACCTTCATTTAAGGTAGCTTGCAGTATTTGAGACGCAAAGTCGATTCCTGGCTCTTATCTATGTGTGCACATCAGATATCCCTAATTTCTGTCTAATACTTTGAAGCAAATGCATTGAACGTGGGCTAGCTTATATTTTCAGTGCCTTTTTTGAATCTTTATATATTGGAGGATCTCAAACAAAAGATGATAACTCTGGATACCTAATGAGCCTTTTCTATTCCGTTCATACATGACCATACGTATGTATGACATATCTTCAGGCAAAGGGAAGGAAAATTACCATCTACGGCCATCATGCTTAAAACCTAGATCAATAAGATTCGTCTGCGATTGATCCCATTTGAAGTTTGTAATCCTCACCAGATGAGCGTATCCACTACGTGTACCAAGAGAGAATCCATGTCTTACATGAGCGCAAAAAAATAAGCAGGCTTACTTTGTTCAAGTTATATTGTCTATCATTCGCGGCCTAATCGATATCATCCATGGTGCAAGAAAATCAAAGGATTATATGGCGACGAAACCCCTCCTTAAGCTTGTTACCAGACAAGCCGATCTGCACCACATATGAAACACTAAATGAAATCTTCATGATCAATAACTGCCTTTTTTCATCCACATGAGACAAATGAAAACTGGGGTTCAAAATTTCTCGGCTTGTTGGCCAATGACATAGTTTAGGTACCTTTAAATGATTTGTGAGTTACACCAAATATGGGTGGAAAAAATGGTGGCTGCTGTCAATTATATTTCTTGGACATTATAAATACTCGATGCTTCCTTTTTATATGTAAAAAATCTTCTTTCTCTTTTTTTTATTCTTTTTTCGCATTTCACAAAAATCTAGAATAATGGTGCGTACAACGTTACGTAAGAAGATTGTCATTGTAGGCGATGGTGCTTGTGGAAAAACAAGTTTGTTGATAGTATATCAAAACGGCAAATTTCCAGAGGTAATGTTTACTCATATGTGCCTCGAAATTCTCTAAAGCAGCAGACAGAAATATCTACCAACAGTATTCGAGAATTACATTTCTCGGGTTGACTTGGATAACAAGCCCGTTGAGCTTGCTTTGTGGGATACAGCAGGTCAAGAAGATTACGACAGACTACGTCCTCTCTCTTATTTTGAAACAGATGTCGTGGTTATATGCTTTGCAGTGGATAACATGAACTCGTATCAAAATGTCAGGGACAAGGTACACACTCGAACCGGTTAACTGACTCGTACATTTCACTAAACAAACGAAAATCATCTAGTGGTTACCTGAAGTGAAGCACTATTGTGGAAATAACGTATCATTAGTTTTAGTGGGGCTTAAAATTGATTTACGAACGGATTCAAGCGTCACCATTAGCCATCAGCAGGTATAATGAAAACCAACGGCTTTCTCTTTCATCAAAACTATCAGATGTTTAATATTCTATACATGATTAGGGTCTGAAATTAGCGAAAGAAATAGGAGCTAAATACGGAGAGTGTAGTGCAAAGGCAAATATCAATGTCAAGGATGTGATTAAACTCGCAGCTCAAGTAGCCGTTAAACCAAGAAAGAAATTGTTGAGAAAAAGGCAATTCCAATGTAATATATTGTGATTGCACTCTACAGCCTTCTTCCAACCCCTGTTCGAACCGCTTTCGATACATGAATTACCATGTGCACTGACAGCTCTTATAGTGCCCTCTAGAAACCAATTAATTATAAACAAATGCCATCTCTACCATAGATACCGTTCCAGTAAATGACACTACTATCCCCTCTTCTCATACTCTCCACTACCTACTCATCTAAGCTGATCTACACAATCAAATAAAATGAAAAACGCCTATATCAATTTATTGCAATCAGTTATACCAACTCTCCACCAGATTCAATGTGATACCATCCACACGCTTTATGGTAACACTCTTTTTTTTTTAGTGTTTCGTTGTAAACAAATGGTTTAAAGTAATCCGGGATTGCATCCGACACCCGAGAAAGCTACCATTTTTGTTTTGTTCAAGGAGCTTTGATTGACAAAATCCATGAGCTGCTTAGACGCAATACATCCATTGTAATGCACATGATATCACATCATGTCACTTATCATGCAGAAAATCAAGCACATTCTTAAATGGGGGGGGAGAGCGAAGCAAATCAGGCACACACACACAAACACACACTACAAAAGCGGAGTGAAGAAAGTGCTACAACAAAGACAATCAAATTGCATGTAACAACAACAACAACAACAACAACAACAACAACAACAACAACAACAACAACAACAACAACAACAACAACAGCAGCACTATGTAGGGCATTTGCAGGCAGGCAGGCAGGCAGGTTAATTTCGATTTATTGAAAGCATATAATACAAGGGAGAATTAGTAGATTATCATATTAAGCAAGAAAAGAAAAGTGGTGAATTAGAGGCAACAGGTTGATTGTGTTGGGATATATTATACATTAAATGTTGGTGGTGGTAGTCGTAGTATTATGAGTAGTGGCATTCGGGGGTGTATCATTGTCAGTAGTTGGTGCAGCGTTTGCTGCGACCAAGGATAACCGAATCGCCTCCATAACGAGTATATCTTCCAAATCAACATTAGCAAATGTATCGTAGATTGTATGCGTGCTCTCCTGTGATGAATATCTCTCTAGGTTGTAAGATGAGGATGATCTTCTTGCTGATCTCGAGCCTCTCTCTCCATTATTCAATTGAACGCGTCTTCGGCGGGTGGTACCAACAGCAGAAGATCTTCTCTCCTCCAGCATTTCCTCCCATCTAGGTCTGATCGTGTCTATAGCGAGCATGGGTTGAGCATGTGTTCCATCATCCTCATGTGCAATCCACCTACCGACGAGCACCACATCCGGATCATCTCGATCCAGTCTCCATTTTCTTCTTGGGTTCTTTTCCTCTGTATTATTAAACAGATCCAGTCTTCTTTTCTTGAAAGCCGTATAATGCTTACTCCATTCTGGTGGAATGTACAATACTCCCAGGTCTGGTTGTACACAAAAGGGACAAACAGCAGGTACAAGCGGAGACGATGAAGATCTTCGGAGCTGTAGAAAGCACTCTGTGCAAATCGATTTATCACAGCATCTCGTCCTGTTCATTCTAGAAGGATAGTACTATAGAGCGCATACGTTGAATCAGTACATTGATTGATAAAATGCCTCTGATGTCTCACACTCACCAAGAAGCAGATGGGACATTCAGTCTCATAGGAAAGCTTTTTGTAGTTGGAGCAAGGTTCAATCAAACCTGCGCATGGCCAGCGTCAGAGATTCACATGTCAATTGGTGTCGAGGAGCAGAATGAGCTTACCTGTGTAGAAAGGAGCTAATTGGCCCTTCCTGATTAAATGGCGAACAATGTTGATATCATAATCGTTATCTGCCGTGTAGATACCCTGCGGTATCAATGACCCATGGTCGACAGATGTGAGATGAGTTGTATTTACAACTTTGGAACAGGCGTGTCCCATAAATTCCTTGAGTTTGTTAATTTTGTAGTATGAAAGAGAGAGATAAAAAAAAAAAAAAAAAAAAAAAAGATCAAGAGATCAACTGTGAGAATGCAGAGAAAAAGAGAGAGAGAGAGAGAGAGAGAGAGAGAAGCAAATAGAGTTTCCTGTTCTTGTGTTCAAAATCTTAACCATTTGCACACCCATATGAAGAACAATAAAAATAGAGACCCAATGACTTGCAATAGTCACAGTGATGGATGATTCCATTCTCTACACATGGTATCATCATTGATCGTATCGCTAAACAAGCTACAGATGAATTGCACCTGATGCTTTATATTGAAATATGTTACATTTTGCCATTTCCTCTCTCTTTCTCTTTCTCTCTCTCTCTCTCGCTCCCTTCTTGTTGGATCTTTCAATAAGGTAACGTATGAGATGTATCGGGGGAAGAAGGGATTCATATCATCCAATGGCATTCGGAAGGAAATGCGCACAACCAAAAGCCTCATGTAGTCCAAAAATACCACTTGCGGGGAAAATCCATTAAAATTAATAAGGGGAAGGGTGTGTTGTGTAATGAGAAGTGAGTGAAAAGGCTATTTCGCTCTTTTTCCTTGTTTTCCTCTTTTTCCTTCTCTTCTTATCATTAAAAATGTCGACTGTTTCATCTAACAAGAACAAACCTGGTAGACCACCAAGCTCGCTAAGCACCAATTTAGCTGCAATCCAATCTTCTGAATCTGATATGCTATCTGTATCCAGTAGACAACGGCAATCCAAGAAGGATGAGGTATGTTGCTATCAAGAAATGCCAACTTCAGTCCATTGCTTACGGCAAACTACTGCTTTTCTAGGCCATCCGTAAGAAAATCGAACAGGAATTGATGAAGAAGAGGGGTGGCTCTACACGTATCAAGCAAACCAAGAAAATCGCAGGTACAGTATCTGCTCTCCGGCCTGCTCAGGCACTTACTGTGAGGGAGACCATTCTCGTCATTGAGGCTGCTCAATTGATGGCAGCAAAGAGAAGCGACTGTGTATTGGTGGTAGATGATGAGGAGCATCTAAGCGGTATTTTCACTGCAAAGGATTTGGCTTATCGAGTCGTTGCAGATAACTTGGATGCAAGGTACATTTCACGATACAGCATCACAGCATTTCGATTCTAACTGTTGATATACCTACTAGAGCAACTACCGTGGCTGATATCATGACTAAGAACCCAATGTGTGTCACTGCTGATACATCTGCGCAAGATGCTTTGAATTTAATGGTATCCCGTGGTTTCCGTCATTTGGTAAAGTATTTAGGGGAAAAAAAAATCATTCGATTTAATATCACTCACAAACAAATAGCCTGTTTGCAATGAAGAAGGTGATATTTTTGGCTTGCTCGATATCACCAAATGCATTTATGAGGCATTGCACAAAATGGAAAAGGCTTACGGATCTTCACGCAAGCTGTACGATGCATTGGAGGGTGTGGAACGTGAATGGGCAAATAGTCCTGTGCAGTTTGTGCAATACATGGAGGCATTGAGGGATAAAATGTCCTGCCCTGATCTAACTACGGTGCTTGATCAAGCAGGCCCTGTTCAAGTCAATGTCAAAGCTCAGGTTCGAGAAGTCGCTAAATTGATGAAGGAATACCATACTACCGCAGTTCTGGTCATGGATCACGGAGGTTTAGCTGGTATCTTTACTGTAAGTGCCTTGATCCAATGATGTGCATGAGATGTGTGTTTTCTGATCCGCCCTATGCTGTGTAGTCCAAAGACATTGTATTGCGAGTCATTGCTGCTGGCCTTGCTCCTGATAACTGCTCTGTTGTGCGTGTCATGACGCCTCATCCAGACACAGCACTCCCATCAACAAGTATTCTGGATGCTCTCAAGAAAATGCATGGTAATTATAACATTTGGTAATTTACCGCGTGATTATTTTTTTTTTTTTAAAAAAAAAAATCTTTTATTTAATCAGATGGCCATTACTTGAATTTACCTGTATTGGATGAAGACAGGAATATTGTAGGCTTGATTGATGTTCTTAGACTGACATATGCTACTCTTGAACAGGTAACGTTGTGGAAGAGACAGCGTACTGCACAGTGATATTAACATTCATGTAGATCAACAGCATTGAAGGTAATCAAGGGGATGGTGGTAAATTCTGGAGTAGCATTGCGGCAGGTGATCATACAGAGACCGAGTCAGCCATCTCTGATTCACTTTCTCAAGCTGCTAATTCGCACATGTTTCAACCCTCCTCGCCTCAATACGAGCACTCTGCTCGCTTGTCCTCAATCTCGCCCATGCCCGGCCATGCTCCTACTTATACTGGTCTAGGTTATGCTGCTGAACTCACTCCTGCAGATTCAGCCTCAGTAGTTCACGACGACAATCATTCAACCGTTTCCTCTCACATCAACAACACCTTCTCTTTTAAATTCAACTATGGTAACAAAACGCATCGACTTCGCCATGATAGCAGCAACTTTCAAGGTTTGCTAGAGGCCATCCAACAAAAGATCATGGTCGAGCATTTGTCAATTTCACAATCCTACATTGCTGTTGGCAGAGAGAGCGATAAGCATGATGAAGACTGGCTCACAGTGGCCTATTTGGATGATGAAAACGACCAGGTCCTGATGACTTGTGATTCTGATCTGGCTGATGCTGTGCAAATTGCCAGAAAATCAGGACTAGATCGTGTGCGTTTGTTTGTCCATGATTCGCTTGCTGATGCTGTTGCAGAACAACAAAAGTTGCAAAAAAAGCAGCAGGAAGAGGAGCTGGCAAACTCGAGTCAATTCATGATAGATGCGCCCGCAAGCCAACCTACGACATTGGGCCACTTGTTGGCAGCCACCTCACCTGTAGCAGAAAACAGAAAATTGGAAGATTTGAGCGAGGTTGCAGAAACAGACAAGGAGGAAGACGATGAAGAAGAGGATGAGCCAGTGATTAAGAACAAAAAGTCGAGATCACTGTCTTCCTCACACACAATGAAGAAGAGAGACATTGCTGCTGAATACAACTTACCTATTCCTCAAGACATGCTGTTGCCTGCAGCCATTACATTCTTGGGTGTCGTAATTCTAGGTGTATTTACCATTTCCAAACTGACAGGTGGTTCAAATACCCGTTATTAATTTCTAAAGTGAACAACGAAAACATAGAATTAGACATGTATAAATGACACCCCTCCACTCATTTACCCCTCCTCGCGCATAGTTACCATTCAATATTAATAGTATCCCCATTCCTTATTTGCAATAAACTTAATATTCGAGACCTGAATTGGATGGAATTTAGGCAATAGCTCTGCCTATACCAACTGCAATGCCGAGTGGCATGCATAAGCTCGCCCGACATTTTGTACAAAAATTAAGTGGAAACAGCAAGATGGGTAAAAACTGAAAAAAAAAAAAAGTCTAAAGCTACTGTCGGAATTGACTATCCAATGCCAGCTTGTGGCTCATGTTATAATAAGCAGCAAACAGTTATATACGAAGGTATCTTGGTTTGTACGAATTTGAATCATGGTGCATTCTTGGAAATGGACTTGATCTCAACAGTACCAACAACAGAAAAACCAAGGACAGCCATCGAATGAGCCATTTCGAAGCATTGTGCATCGATTGAATTAGAGATATCACCCCTCTGTTGCACGTCTTGTTTTATAGTGTGCTACTGTAACGACAATTCCTGATACGGTTTACTGACCTAGGCTTTGGGAATACGATAAAGAACTGATCCAAGATGAACGCCACATTCATCAAATTAGCATCCGCATCAGGGCTAATCTAAGCATGCTTTGCGATTATACTATACAACATTTCACGACTTTATAGAGATGCCTATCGGCCTTTGCGATGCTCTGGTCTTCCCAATTATTATAGCATAGCTGAATTCAAGTCATCTTTTCGTACATCTTTAAATGGTTAAGCTACTTTGCCTGTGTCTCTCTTCTCCATCTCGAAGCGTGTATCAAATTTTACTTGTTTAGGGCATCGATATTGTTTACCAGAACGGTACAACAACAAAAGCGAGTTAAAAACAGGCTCTAACCTTGAGTAAAATCACAAATATTGTCACCCAACAAACACGCTCTGAATTCAACATTTTCGAGTTGTAAAACGAATATGCAACCTACGCATCTTGCAACTTTTGAAACTCTAAATTTACACGTATATATTAGGCTAAGAATGGAGCATTTTTCTCCTTCACCAGTCCATATATAAGCTTGTCGATGGGATGGGAGATGCAGGCTGTCACGCACTGACATTTCTCATCAACTTTCTTGATTTTAGTACGAAAAGCTTCTCAGTACATAATATAAAAAAGATCACTTTTCTCACTATAAAACTTGTTTCATCCTCATGTCCCTTCCTATTCTGATAAATCTAGCCCCTTGTATCTGTAAATTCATATGATAATGTGTCTCTATTTCTTTACCAAATGTGGTATCCCGTTCAGGCAACTAAAAATGGCGGGCTCCATCAATCAATTAAGGTTTTCCTCTTTCTCTCTAACATTATTGTCAGTAGTCATTCTTGAATAAGTCTTTCCGTATCCCGGAAACGACTCAGGGTGTGATGCTAGAAATTGTTGTTGATTTAGTTAGGCATTATATAATAGAAAAAGCCACTTGTAAACCAAATCAATTTATATACAAAGACATTGTATGTAAACATAACAGATATATAGTCAATACTCTTTTCATAGCTTGGTTCCTCTTCCTCTTCCTCTCTCTCTTCCTATTTATATTAACTATTTGAATATAAACTCTCTCTCTCTCTCTCTCTCTCTCTCCCTTCACCACATCAGTCCCTTTACAGTATCCTTACAGCAAATTAAACATTTATCAGAAAAACTTTTAAAAACAACAAAAAAAAAATACATATAAATTCACAAAAAAAAATAAAGAACCACAATGACACTATCTCAACTGCAATTGCCTCCAACAACAAAATTACCTGCCATCAAACTGCCTTCATTAGTCTATTCAACAAGAGATGAATGGGCGTTCAACAGCAATCAGCAAATGATAAGCTGCTATCAGGCATCGCATATCGCTCAAACCCACATGTCAACAGACATCTTACTACCGCCTATCCTACCAACAGCTTCTGCTGCAAGTAGCTATTCACCACCGCCTACTAGTCTGCCTGACTCACCTCCGTATTCATCCTGCTCGTCTCTATCTGTTTCATCGCTGCCTTCATCTCCCGATACAGTGCCTGACACATCTTTTAGTCCATGCCATGTTCCACAGCATCATACATCAACATCAACAAAAACTACAAGGAAGAAGGGATGTTCCATTGAATCACTTCTCAACTCGGGATCAGAACTTCTTGCTCTGGAAAGGGAAGATCAGCGCAATAGACTGTCTTCTATCCCTCCAAAAACAAATCCATTGACACTTCAAAAGAAAAAGATCGACAAAAGAAAACGAGCTGCAGCCTTACCCTATTTCAGCAACAAAAAACAACCAGCATTGGATGATAATCGAAATACAAAAGGATTGCGACTCTTTTCCAAGCAAGTCTGCGATAAAGTAGCTAAAAGAGGTGTTACTACTTACAATGAAGTGGCAGACGAACTGGCAGCCGAGATACAGCAAAAGAGCACTGTACCTGTAGATCAGAAAAACATTCGCAGACGCGTCTATGATGCTCTCAATGTCCTGATGGCTATGGAAATCATTACCAAAGATCGTAAACAGATCAAATGGTTAGGCTTACATCATCATCAACAACAATTCGCCCCACTTGAGCAACATGACGCTGCTGCTTCTCTGGACATCAAACAGACGATACTTGAACAAGAAATCCAGCAGGAAGAATCGCGTCAACAGCAACTGCTTGAGTCTATCCAAAAATCAAAACACGACTTGAATACAGCATTTGAAGATTTTGCCCGATTAGAAAAACTGGTCAAACGAAATCAACAACAACAACAAACAGAACAACAAACCCAAGTCGTTCATTTACCCTTTTTCATGGTATCGTCCAATGAAAACATTCACACACATTGGAATCATAGCAAAGAAGCAGTTTTGTACTCTAATTCAAATTGCAGCGTTCATCAAGACATGGACATCCTGGCTAAATTGTGGCCATCGTTATCCAAAACTCCCAATGTCGTCTCCTAAGTAAATTCGCTCGCTTGTTTGTCAATCATTTCATTTATCTTTATTATGTCACATACCCTTCCTTATACCCATTTCTTTCTCTACAGTTCCAAATTCACTACTATATATATATACACACACACACACACACACACACAAAAAAAAACATGCCATTTATTTCACATCTTATTTGTATCAACATTTCCACCTTCCCCATCATTTAAATGACTTATTTGTATGCCACTACTTCCATTTCTTTCTTCTTTAGTATCCAGAATAACATTGTAAACAACCAATAAAGTCTATGTAATTTAACTATAAAAAACTGCGTTAAACAAACAACATTTCTGCCATTTTTCATTGCTGTTACCATTGGGAAAATCTTGTCTTGTTTACATATCAGCGGCAGCAGGCATACACAGTCAACATGACGTATCATTATTGAGCAATCATCCTACACAAGCACTTGCAGGAAAGGCACACTAAACTATTCTGGCATGAAGCAAGGAGCAAGTGCGCTTAAGTATTGATCATCCTTGCGAACGATCAACATCGAGCATGCACGGAACTTTTTAAAAAGTAGTCAGATAACCATTTTTCTACTTCATCTTCTTAATGCAGCACTTTTAAAAAACACTATGAAATACGTTAGCCACTTCTTCATGGCTACAGCCGTATTTATGGCTCAAGCAAACGGGCAAAGCGGCCTTGGTAAATGTCAAGAGGAACATCAAAAGGCGCCCCATATGAATGTAATTGGCGCTCTTGTACTAAAATGTGATGTCGACGGCACTTATAGCTTGAAACAGTGTAGTGGTTCAACTGAATACTGTCATTGTGTACATCCTACAACTGATGAAACAATCTCTAAACCTGTTAGAGGTGAGCCGCCACGTTAAATCCCTGTAATAACTGAATAATAAACTTGTCATAGTCCCAAACCGGCAGTGTAATGCTGTTTGCCTAAACAAAAACTGTGTCATTCAAAGAGTATCATATGTGTTTTATTCCAGTAGACAGAGAAGCTCAGTAAGGTGTTTTTAAAGGGCTCGCTATTGGGTTGAAGACCCCATAAAGGTGCATCGGCAAGAAGGTCGACGTTTTTGCTTCAATGAAAATCACGGAGCAGCATAACGAGCTCAATCGTCTTTCCTGTGCGGCCTCATCCCTGTATTTTGGGGATTCATTTTTGATGAACAAATGTTGAGGACTCCATTTTGATATTCTATGATAATGCATTGGATCTGCTTCATTTCGGTCAATCACCAAGCTCAGTGCACAAATAGATCTGTTTTGGCAGAAATCGCGTTCGAGAAATTGGTAGCTAGGCAGTCAAGGTTCAATGCATTGAAGTTCAAAGTGAGGCTGTTTGTTCTGAACCATGACAGGTCTGAAACCGCTGTTTTGTAACTTGGTGTCTGACAGTTACGGTTGAGCTCAACAAACATCTCGTGGTGTACAGTAAAGCCATCGCCGAGTTCAATGTATTTTAGGGGCAATCCAACCGCAAGCAGCGCGCTGTATAGCTTTTGGTACCCAAGTCTTGACATCCCTTGATGCACTGCAAAAAAATCTAAGCGGAAACTGTTTCTGTTGCGAATCATACCATCAAGAGGAGGCATTGCCAAGGTCGAGGACCATAACATTCTCGCAATACGTCAGGATGTTTAAAGAAAAGGCTGCAAGAAGTAGAACAAAATAATTTTAGCTTACTGCTATATGATATATCAAATTTTGCATTCGCTGCGATCAGTATCAATAAAGCTTCTCATTTGTCAAGCTTAATTTGGCATATAGTCTTTTTGCAAGCACAATGACATACAAGCACCAGACTTCAAGCTTAATGGCGACTATATGAGAGCCTCTAGATCTTGGGTGTCTCTCTACCTTTATCTCGCTCCGTTAGTTTCATGTGGCGTTCGGTCGACTTTGTCCATTATTTCATTCCAATACTGTAAGGTTCATCAAAAATTCTACTAATTAAGCTTTTTTGGATTCACACTAATATATGAGAGTCTTTTATAGCTGTGAACCTAAATCCTCTGCAGTGTTCCACGTCTGTATCAATAAAAACACTTTGAAAAAAAAGGCACACTTCATACTTGCAATGGCCATTATTACTCAAAACATTGCAAATCGCAGCAAAATTTGGGCGTATTCGAACAGTGATTTCTCGTGTTAGAAGTTGTTTTAGACGTCCAGAATAGCACCAAAGCACTGCTTTCATCTATCATTAACTCACTGACACCATTGCTCAACTTTTTGGGATCAAAACAACATGACCAAAAATCGGCCTCCAACCATGAGGGGGGTACCTCATGGAAAAACGACAATAATCAAACAATCACGTTTTTGACCCCAAAAAATGAAGACTTTTATTATGGTATCTATTAGTGCAAAATGTCTCCCTCAATTCAATGCAACCCCTGAAAGCACGTTTGCTAGACCCTCATATGCAAAATCTCGACAAATCTGCCAAAAACCTTATTTCAAACTTTCATGGATTGCTCGATAAGTTTCTTCAAAACACCCATTTCAATTATCACCGTTGGATGCGCCTCAAAAAGTGCTCTTAACAAGCTTAAGAATGTACAAGATGGTCATGACACTTTGTATAGTCGAATCAAGCAAAAGATCTTTTTTTTTAAAAAAAAAGTGCTTATTGATTGAGCCGCGTACACTAGGAGTAATGGGTCGAAGTGAAGAGGCGGGTGCAATAGAGAAGAAATACTATAAGAACATAAAATACTAACTAATCTAATCTAATCTAAAGAACTATCTAAACTATCTAACTACAAGAGGGAATGGATTTGGTCCTCTTCCACTGTCTGGTGAACAGTGGAGCGGATATTTCTCCAGAATCGCCTCAGGGACAAGCACAAATCGCATATGGGCTAGCCATATTTGAGACAGGGTGATGAGTAGGATTCTGTATGGACGGATGCCTTTGACTTGGGAGTACCAGATATCCGAAAAGTCCAGGGACAGAAGAGCCTCTTTGATGTCAGTGATAGTCGTGGTGGGCCAAAGGAATTCGAAAATGACGCCTTGCCATACCTTTACTTTGGATGAAGCAAAAGATCAATTGAGTCGATTTTGATCAAAAATCGACGAATCAAACGATAAGCACTACGGAGATTCAAACGGGATATTGATGCTTCAGGCTTTGCGCCATTATGATGGCTCATATAAAATCACCTTTGTCATCACTAGAATATTGCGGTAGCATTCAACAAATACATCGAGAGTCAAATCAAATACATCGTCAATTTCTATAAGCACCCTTTTTGCAAGGGCAATCTGATTTCAGCTGGATCACAATTATGCTATCCAACATCGTGATCCGATTCCATGTTTCTTGATAAAGCTAATTTTATACCAAGGACTATATCAGAACAACAATAAAAATGTTCTATGTAATTCATGCGCTTCTCAAGCAATAAAAGGGGCGCATCACCAGGGTTACATTACATCTTTCACATTTAAATAGTATGCATTGAAAGATAGATTGCATTGATTGATCCGTTCTCGAAGGTATTTAAGCTCTCCAGTTTGGCCAGTGTCTTTCTTTTCTCTCTTCCAGATCAAACTTTCATTCAATATGAAGTACTCCAGTATCCTACTCATGATTATGGCTATCTTTCTGGTTCAAGCAAATGGACAAGGAGCCCTTACCAAGTGTCAAGCAGAACGCCAGCAAGCACTCAATCTTCATGTGATTGGCAATTACATCCCACAATGTCAGTCCAACGGAAGCTACAGTCCAAGACAATGTTATGGATCTACAGGTTACTGCGTTTGTGTTAACACAAGCACCGGTGAAGCCATCTCAGAGCCCGTAGGACCTACAGAAGATCCCGGTAAATTGCCTTGTTAAATGAACTCTACATAAATAAAGTCGTGGTAGCTCAAGAAGCAGCAAACATGCTGTTTGGCAACTAAAACTACGCCTCTACAAATTGGTGGAAATACCATAGAGCCCCACACTCTAAGAATTTCTGTCCTAGGAAGTGTCTGTGCAATAGGCTATTCAGCTCTTATGGTAATCACTGGAATGCGTCAAGAATGATCTCTGAAAGTCAATGGACATTCCTGCTAGTATTTCGTCAAACGCACAAATTCGTTTTAGAGCCTCAATGCTATATTAGTGTGCACTTCATTATGTTGTCATTTGGATTGAGTGAGCGACCACGGGATGTGCTAACGCAGCTACGAATTACAACTGAGATGACCCTTCAATTTCAAGCTTGCACTTATGTAAGCATTATCTTTTCCATCAGAACAAGACGCAGATTCCTGGGTAGAGATGTAACAAAACAATGCCTTTCCAATCAATGGCAATGTGGGACTTGTGGCACCACAGAGATCTATTTCTAGCAAGCGTTGATTGGAGATGGGTAGAAAAATACAGAAAAAACCATGATGCCATCATGATGACCGGGTCTAAAAGTGAGATTGATATACACTAAAATTATAAGGGGCGTTTGACATGGAACACACACCGAATGATCAGCATAATATGAATCCAAGATGCCAAATGGCATGTTTCAAGATGTTTGCATTGTAGCTTTCTACTCTATCAAGATGCACACATAAAATTTTCCATTTGTCTCCCTTGTGAAACATATAATGCGCGACCACCTGGCTATTTTGAATCTCCATAGAAAGAAGTGGAAGAAGGATAGAAGATCCCTCTGAGATTAGCGTGAATACCAAGTTTGGGACCGTGCGGATGATGTAAGAGATTACGAGCAAATGTTGTTGTGTAACTGATGAGAGATGGTATAGGATTTGATTCAAGTAATCAACAAAAAATAAATGTTTTTTCCCTGAAAATACGATACAGAAAAAAAAAAAAAAAAAAAAAAAAGACATGATATTGTTCATGTTGTTGTATCGGCCATAAACATCCCAGTTTCGGAAAGACGCAATCAGACTAAAGAAACAGGGCAAAGAAAGCCATGATGCTAGTTGGATTTGCCGGCGGAGTGTTGTTGGGTTGGATAGTGTTGAAAAGCGAAAATTTCCATTCTCCTGTATGGGAAATCAAATCTATATAAATGGCCTTTGTCTTCGCTTTCTCTCGCTTTTTTTTTTCTTTCTTTTTTCTAGTACCTTATCGATCTTCATCTTCTCTTTTTCAAAATGTCCTTTGCTAGAAAGCCCTCTGCTGTTGGTAACGAGCGCCACCACCCTCATACTCTCTCCACTCTTGTAAGTACTTTTTGAAAAACACGTAAAAATCATGCTGACTGACATGACATATGATAAGGATTTCCAAGGTGCTAGCTCTGCTGCTGCTGCCAAGGCCATGAAATCTGAATTGGCCAACTTGGCTTCTCAAATCCAAAATGAAGAAGAGCGCAAGGTAAGATAAGCGTTTGAATGCCTCCAGCATGTCATCATTGACATTTGTCTAGTATTTCACTCAAGAAATGGACGGCTTCTACATGCTCTTTACTCGTTATTTGGACGAAAAGTCCAAGGGAAAGAAGTTGTAAGTATCATTTTCTGTTGGGGAGACACTTTCACTGCGTGTGAGTGTGAGGGCATGGATGATGTTTATTTATTTGTTACTCTTTAGGGATTGGGAAAAGATCCAGACTCCTTCTTCCGAGCAAATTGTTCCTTACGCTAGTATTCCCGAAGTAACTGATACCGCTGATCTCGAAAAGTTGGCTGTCCTCAAGCTGAACGGTGGGTTGGGTACAACCATGGGTTGTGTTGGCCCCAAGTCTGCCATTGAAGTACGCGACGGCATGACCTTTTTGGACTTGAGTGTTCGTCAAATCGAGGTAAGCGTGCTTTTATATATCAGCGAGTCAAATTTCATCGTATTGACACGCCTGTATGGTCTCTAGTACTTGAACAAGAAGAACGATGTCAGCGTCCCCTTCATCCTCATGAACTCGTTCAATACCGATGATGATACCAAGCGTATTGTCCAAAAGTATGCCACCCACAATGTGGATATCATTACTTTCAACCAATCTCGCCATCCTCGTATCAAGAAGGAATCCATGCTGCCTGTTCCTCGTTCTCCCGCTTCCCCCATTGAACAATGGTAAGTAGTCTCTTGATTGTGTAACTTCCTACAAAAGTATTTCGAATTGGGGTTTCTAACACGATACACAAAATATAGGTATCCTCCTGGTCACGGTGATTTGTACGAGTCCATCTACAACTCTGGTCTTTTGGATCAATTGATTGCTCAAGGCAAAGAATACCTCTTTGTCTCCAATGTCGATAACTTGGGTGCCACTGTTGATCTCAACATCCTCCACCACATGGTCGACTCTGGCGCAGAGTTCATTATGGAAGTTACTGACAAGACCAAGGCTGATATCAAGGGTGGTACCCTCGTTGATGATGATGGTCATATCCGTCTTTTGGAAATTGCTCAAGTTCCCGATGAACATGTCGAGGATTTCAAGTCTGTAAAGAAGTTCAAGATCTTCAACACCAACAACTTGTGGGTTAACTTGAAGGCTATCAAGCGTGTTATGGACGAAGAGGCTATGGACTTGGAAATCATTGTTAACAACAAGACTACGCCTCAAGGTGAGAAGGTCATTCAACTCGAAACTGCTGTCGGTGCTGCCATCAAGCATTTCAAGAACGCTCATGGTGTCAATGTGCCCAGAACGCGTTTCTTGCCTGTCAAGTCTACTTCTGATTTGTTCTTGGTTACCTCCAACTTGTACTCTCTTATTCACGGCCGTCTTGTGGTCAACCCTGACCGTATGTTCAGCAATGTCCCTCTTGTCAAGTTGGGTGATCACTTCAAGAAGGTCAATGACTTTTTGACGCGTTTCAAGACCATTCCTCAAATCTTAGAGTTGGATCACTTGACTGTCACTGGTGATGTCTGCTTTGGCTCCAAGGTTGAGCTTCGTGGCACTGTCATTATCGTTGCCAACCACGGTGAACACATTGATATTCCTTCTGGTACCATCTTGGAGAACAAGGTTGTTACCGGTTGTTTGCGTATTCTCGATCATTAAGTATTTTATTCCCATTTTTTTCTTCTCATTCACCACAGAATCCCTCCTCTTGTCTTAAATAATGTAATCTCATCATAAAACATCTGCATCTCCTTTTCGTTTTGAAAAAATAAAATCAATTCCACCTTTATTTTGTCTATGAATCCATGCTCTTTTGAATCTTTTGCAGTAACACATCCATTTGCGATGCCATTTTGGGCTGGCCCTTCTTTGTTCTTGCCAGCATTTTGCTTCTCTGCTCGCTTCTTTCTTTGTAATACTCTTTGCGAGCCTTCTTTTCCTCTTTGAACCTCTTTTGACGCTCCTCCTTTTCATTCAATGATTCCTTTTTAAGTTTCTCACGTTCTTCTAATTGTGCTTTGAACGGGTTGGGTTTGAGTGCTTTTGTTGACCGCTGCTTTTTTCGAGAGGGTTCTTCGTTGTCGCTGTCTTCTTCTTCAGATGAGGACTTGTCCAAGTCAAACTCTTCCTCCTCCTCCTCCTCCTCCTCCTCAACTTGCTCTCGCTCTAATTCAACCACGTTTCCATCTTTATCAATTGTACGCTCAGCACCAAAAATCTAGTTGACATGTCAGCATTCAGGCCATTTCCTCAAAGATCAGGCCTCATTTACCTCTTTGACGTAGTCGGGTGTATCATCTTTTGAATCTTTGTTGAGTTCCTTGTAGTATTGGCTTTTGACTTGGGCCTTGTGTATAAGATCGTATTTTCTTTTTTGCTCTACATCAAATTGAACCATGTCAGTGCCATCATCTCATGATGCAGAGTGTCGATAGTCTTACGTTTTCTTTGTAATGGCGTTAATGGCTTTCTAGGTTTTTTCGTTTGTGGTTTAGGAGGCATCTTGAGTGTAAATGTTGTATTCGAAAAAAGAAAAATTTAGAAGGATGAACCAAATGGAAAGCCAGTCGTTTCATGCGACATGAATTGCACTACAAGCCACCAATAAGCTTGACATTTGGTCTCTAGCACCATACTAAAAACACATTCCATTACTCGAGCATTTTCTTTAAAGTGTTGATGCTTTCATGTCAGAATTGTGTATAGAACATTCAACGCTACTACCAGCAATCCACTTTGATAGGAAAATTTATTCATATCGACCATTCTCTGCAGACATCAGCTCAATATCTGCGAAATCAGTGGCCATACTTTTTGCATCATGCGTGATATATATCACATAGATAACCAAGGCTGATATAAGCGATGAAACCACAAAGATAATGTCTGACCAGCGTTTAAAGTAGTCGAACTCCACAGACTGCAGTGACGACGAGACCAAATATCTATGCAAATTTGATTGATTAGTACTCCCGTTTCATCATACAAATGCAACTACTGTACCTGTATTCTGGCGGTAAGCTCATCTGCATCATCAACACCGAACTCAGAAAGTACATGCCCATCATATGAGCCACAAACAACAAGATATTGCTTGCAGAAAAAGTGACTTTAAGCATAAACACTTGAAGGACTCGAGTTAAAAGCTTCAGGAACCCTCTTACAGATCCAAACACAATGATACCTGCAAACCAAAAGCTAAGCTGTTGCGACCAGAACACTGGATCAATCTTGAAATCCATATTGTTTCTATCCAAATGGCTCATCATTACGGATAGCATTTTTGTGATGGGATCAGAGCTGCCAGAGCGCTGCAGCAATACGTTGATCGTCGTCTGTGTAATCATTAGTCCTTGTCAAATAGTGTTGGCTCAGCGGCGCCTACCACAATCAGTTTATAGATACAGTATATAGCGAATATTTTGTCTACTACACCCCAGATGCGTCCCTTCCAAGTCTGCGAGAATCTACTTTTGGCCCTGCCACGCTCCAATTCATCCAAATCAGATTTCATATTGACAGCTAACCCTTCCAATTGCTCAATTTCAGTCTGCAGCAGCCTAATTTCTGCATTCATGTTGGTAACCTTTACTAACAAAAGCCCATGCACATACCATTGTCGTCAGAGCCTGTTATCGATGATACCATACGCGCGAAAAATCCATCGTCGGATGTAGATGCCTTCTTCTTGTCTGATGCGTCCTCTTGACTCTGCATTTTCTCCAACAAGACCCTTTTGCCTTGGATCATGTCCTCTGTCTGCTGATAGGCGTGTTCTGCCACTTTGAAATCTTGTTCGCTGACATGTCTCTTGTATGAGGACCAAGTTGTAAATGGCGTGTTGACCACACCAAATCCAGATAATACAGAGATCAAAGTGATCCCAATGACACTGATACGAATAATGCCGAGTTCAATCCATGATGTCGTTGCTAATCGCCTTTTAGTACGTTTTGCGCGTGCGGAGATTGCATTAGCATGATGATCGTTTTTACCTAGTGCTGTGTGTTGCTCAATCTGACTGAACAAATAGAGATAAACAATCCAGAGACTAGTTGTCAGATACATGGATGATTTTGATTTCCATCCTACGTTGCGTTAGCTCAAGAAGACACCCTTTTTGGCGTGACAAACCTACCTCTTGTAGTATGTAGGAAAGCATACAGTTGAAACCAAGGTATAGCGACAATGACAAGCAGCAGTAGTAGGTCGAGATTCAGCTTCCAATACTGTGAGCGTGCTCTGTTTTCGAGCGTGCAAGATGCTCAATTAGTTCTGACGAGAGCTTGTGTACAAGACATGAATGCTGGCTTACGTATTGGAGAAGAGGTTGATAATTTCACTAAACACAAGCAGAAACAGAGTGCAAGAGCTACTGAGTGTCAGCGAAAATAGCAGATGTGGTATATACAGCGGATGTTTGAGCGCCATCGGCGAGGGTGCTTTGTAGTCATTGAATAGGAGCTTTGCGACTCGAGTTGATCCAACTGTTAACAAAATGACTTGAATCGAAATGAAGATAACCGTATCAAAAGCAGCCATTTATAGTAAAAAGACGGGAAAAGAGGAGAAAAAGGGTGTGGAACATGTATGAAATTTTATCCTATTTATTTTGTATCCCAAATACCACCTTTTTATACAAGTATTTACATTCGTTGTTGCTGTCTCCATTCTACATAATCATCAAAAAGAACAGGCCCTATCAGATGCAGAAACGTTGAAAACCAGGTATTTTTTTTTTAAAAAAAAACACGCACACACATCCACTTACATGAGGAGGAGCTATCGTAATTTGCAAGATCTTCAGGAACTGCTATGCAGAAGTCGAGTAAACTTGACCATTGGTCCTTGTTGACCACTTTGACAGGTTTCTTTTCCTATGCAAGACAGATGCCAATGGGTAAGCATATGCCAGATTGGCAAACTCTAGGAAACTTACTTGAATGAATTGTGTGAAGGATGTGATGATGGGGTATGTGTGTTCCAGCAAGATATGCCAAAGAGCAATTGCCATCTGCACACACACACACACACACACGTTAGAACAGCAGAAACAGACAGTTGAATGGCCCTGTAACTTACCTCTACTTCCATACTCTTTTGACTTGCTGATTTGACATAATTGAAAGTGAACAGGTATAACTGCTTGAATTGAAGAGGGTCCTGAGATACCTGCAATTCCCACTCCTGTAACGTTTTTTTGAAATCTGCTGGCGTTGTAGAGCTATGTGTCGTCCATGTTAGCACAATAGACTGAGATGATGTATCAGCGATCTCACCCAGTCGATTCCATTGTTTTGATCCACTGTTCCTTTGTGATATATCCCATCGTAGTTCCCCCCATCTTCCAGCCGACAATGATAGGAATGGCCTAAACAAAAATGCGTCAAAAATTGTTCATTCCTTGAACGCTCTCTCATTCATTAGGCAATATCAACCTACACTTTCGAGAGAAACGCCCAGATCCTCAAAGAGTTTTTGACAGCCATCAGGTGGTATAATGTCGGCATCGTCTTTGTCTGCATACTGTTGGAACCATTTGGTACGTTTATCCAACTCTGCTTTTTGCTGCTCATATTGATTTAGTTGTGTGTAATACAGGATCTACTCGTTTTGAGGATGCACTTACTTGAGCTGTGCTATACAATGTATAGAGTGTGTTGAATGAAAACGTCAATCGAGAAATACAAAGGTGCAAAAACCAAACTGAATGACTGACTACTTACGCTTGTTTCTTCTTTTGTATCTTTACTTTTCTGGGATACAAGGCAGCATCGCTTGCAGGAGCTTTGCGTTTAGGTGGCATTGTAAGTACTGTTGTGCTGTTTGTTTTGCGTGCAATGGAAAGGAGAAAAAAGAAAGACTGTCTTGCAGTATAATTGAAAGATCAAAATTATAGCGTGGATAAAACAGGACATGACGCCTCTACGGGCACCAGAAGTGTGTTGTGCCCCGCGTTGTGCGGATGTGAATTAGAGGTTTGCTGTTGCAGTGGCATTTCATTTCATTCACTCAGTGGAAAGTGATTTGAATGTTCTTTAGGCTTCCATCGCTAATCAAGCACATGGGTTTCAAATATAATAGAGTACAGTACAAGTAAAAAAAAAAAAAAAAAAAAAAAAAGAGAGCTTTGTTATTGAATATAAAGATGACTAGTAAGACTATTGAAAGCACATTAACGGTGTTTCTTTTGGGATGCGCCATTAGACTCTCTAATTTGTTGCAAGGTATTATAGACACGTTTAGCCAATGCAAATATATCACCGTCCTCAGCATCCTCCTCTCCTATTTCCATCTTTGGTTTTTGTCCTTCGTTGATAATTCGCTTGATGGACTCTGTGATTGTGTCAGAATTTGCTATCAAATTTAATAATCGTTCATCGCCACCATCCAAAAATTGTTCAATTGTCCAGACACCGATATGCTGAAACGCAATATCTTGTTCCTCAGATAAGAATTGGATCAAGAATTTCTCGAGACCACCAAGTGGTAAGTCCCAGGCCTTGACAAAAGGTGTGTAGTCCTTGACTATATGTTGCAAAAAAAAAAAAAAAAAAGCGTTGAGAAAACGCAGTGGATCAACAAGAGAATGCATGCATCCAGCTTACCTTTTGAACTAAGATTTCCAATAGCAGCAGCAGAGTTACCTTCCACTTCCATGTTGGAGCTTGATGTCAATTCCACCAACACCTCCAAAATGCCCATGCTTAATAATCTTTGCTTTAAATCATCGCTGAGAGCCAACACAGCAATAGCAGCCGTCATTTCTGTCTGAACACTGGCAGGCACCTTGTTGATCAGTGTCTTGATACGCTCCACAGCACCAGCTTCCACAATGGCTCGTTTATTGCGCTCGGAACTTGCAGCAAGATTTCGCAGAGTGGAGATGGCATGACACTGAATTTCTTCATTGTCGTCGTAGGCCAATAATTCAATGAGAGGATTCACGAAACCACCATCGATGATGGGAGATTCGTTAGCAGGATGAATGGATATATTACGGATGCATGCAACGGAGGATAAAATAAGTGGTAAGAAGGAGGATTTTAATAGACGTAAGAGTGGAGGAAGGCCCTTGCAACGAACGATTTCCAGTTGGTATTTCTCTATAAATCAGAAGCATGAGAAGACATTTTGTTTGGTTTTTATGCTATTACCGTCCGACGCAAGATTTCTTAAAGCAAGTGCAGCTTGACATTGCACTTTTAAGCTCTTGGTGTCCATTAATGCGATGAGATATTGTACCAGCCGCGAATCGGTCTGAGCAAGTTTCTTGCGGTTGCCTCCTGCATCGAATCAAGTCGCTTTAGTAACACGCGCCGCTGTATCATTGACATTGTACTGCTTACCATCGACTGCAATGTTGGATAAAGCGGTTGTACAGTAATACTGGACATCTGCGTCTGGTGAGCCGAGTAAGCTGATCAGTACAGGAATAGCGCCTGCATTCACTAGTTGCTGCCTATTTTCCTCTATTGCCATACAAGCATTTTAATCATATTGATCAGCAAGGCTGCCTCTTTTATTTCTCCCCTTACGTGTATGTGTCATGTTCAGTAAGGCGCCTGTAGCATTTCTCTGGACTCTCTGATCTTTGGATTTTGCTAAATCAACCAACAAGCGCAGAGCATCCGACTTTGCGATCTTGGTCTTGTTTTCATCTATTGATCCGCTGAGGTCAGTATACAATGAGACGGATGACGGTATGCAAATTTACCATGAGTGGCAAGGTTCGTAATGCAACCCACTGCGTTGCATTGGACTTCGACGTTTGGAGATCCCATTTGACGGACAAGCTGATCCAGTCCGCCGAGCTTTACAATCAGAAGCTTATTTTCAGCTAGAACTGGTTTAGCGCTTTGATGCTGTTTCCTAAATCAATCAACTTACTGTTTACAGCGAGATTTCCCAAAGCAGCGCTTGCAGCTCGTTGAACTTCGACATCATGAGACTGTAATAAGAACAATATAGGGTCCAAAGTGTCACGGCCAACTTGGCGCACATCTTTCTCGGTGATTTCTGCAAATGCGAGTGCTGCTGATCTTTGCAAGTCTACATTGTCTGAATAGGCCAAAGTTGAAAGTGCTTGTAACGGCTCTCCCTCAAAGAAATTGGTGTCACTGCGATCTATACAAGAGGTGATGTTCAGTCTTGTTCATGTTGCAATAGACTTGTCATCACTGTACTTTCAAGGTATTGCAACAGCTCAGCAATAGCCTCACGCTCGTTCTCTTGCAATAAGGGTTCATAAAGTCCCGTTCTACTGCGCTCTACACATTGTAAACAAATCCACATGTTAGAAATGTGGTTCAACATGCTGGGTTCTATCATCCTGTGTCTTGTTCTTACTTCCAAAGCAGTTTGAGCAACAGCTACTACACGAATTACCCATTTGTTGTAGTTTGTAGTATGATGATCGAGAAGAATAAGAAAAGATTACGAAAGGGAAAGAGGAAAAAGGAAGGAAAAAGAAAAATGTGTGCAAAGGAATCGACGACAAGCAGCTGAAATATGACTGAGATTGATATTACTCGTTCTGGCTGCAATGTGTGTGTGTGTGTGTGTGTGTGTGTGTGTGTGTGTGTGTATATATATATATATGTGTGTCTCCTCTTGCTTTATCTTGGCTGCCTTACATCATTCAGATGCTGTCATGTCTTGCCATGGATTTGATAGTGATAGACCGCCTCAAATTCTTGTCTACTAACAGTAGCCTTCGACTAGTATCAAGATCAGGTATAAAGAAGACTCTCCACATGTCGATATATTCCATTTTTCAATGGGTCTGGATCCCCTTCCCGGTTCATTTTTGGAGGTATGACAATTACTCAATGGTAGGTTTCGGAAGTCCCCAAACGTGTGTGGCAATTGAAATATTGCAACTGTGGTGCATACTCATTGAATGTGTGCAACCTCAAATTGCTTTATGAATAGCATTTGCACGAATTTAATTATACAGAAAAGACTCTCAATAGGCATGATGATGTATTCAGCTGTCAAAAAGTCTCAGCTGTCAACACTACACTAGCTGCGACACATGGTTTTCGCCAAGATGGATAAAATGCCAATGACAGCAATAAGAGCAATTGCCCTCCTATCTGAGCATTGGATGTACTGAATGTAAATCCAATGATAAATACGGCTTTCGAGTAAATGAATTGCACACAAATCCTAGTAACGAGGTGAGGGCACACTTGACCATTTGTGAATTGGCTGTTGGAATGAAGCTCAATTCATCTACAAATGCTCTGGTTGTTGCTGCTCAGGTTCGTTGTGTTGTCCTCTTGCAAGATGAACTGTCCAATGAACACCTCGCATGCGTGCTTGCTGAAAGATGCCTATGAATGTCTCGAGAGTACCTGGAATGTATAAAATAAACAACTCGCCTTACGGATCTTGTTATATAATCTGATGATTCGCTCCAAGATGAAATATCATGTCCCACAACAGATGATTGTATGGATACAATAGCACTCTGGGAATGGCGATGGCACTGCACTGCTGCCAGAAAGACGCTCATCATGCAACACTGCCAATAAGGGTATGCTAATGTAGTTTTTTTTATTTGCACATAAGAGAAATTAAAAGGGGTTTCAAAGGGGTTGGATGGATGTAATGTATTTGCTTGTAATGAATGAATAAGATTAATCTTCCTTTGCTGCTGTTGCTGTTGTTGTTGTTGCTGTTGCTGTTGATGGTGCTGATGCTTTTGAATTCACAGATGCCTTTTTGCTCTTCTTTTCCTTGACTGGGTCAAATCCGTACAATGGAATGAAACTCTCGACAATACCGACATCTTCGAATAAGTTGGGGAAAATCCAGAATCCACGAGGCAAAACAGGATATGTAATAACATAGAGAATGAGACGCACAATGGCGATACCGAAAAAGACACCAACCAAACAGAGAATAGCAATACTGAGATACCAAACACCCAATCTCAAGAAATTAGGCCACAGAGGGAAGAGCACACCTGCCAGCACCACAGCCACCAAAGCAGCAGCACCCATATACAACTTGACCTGCGAACCCTCCCAGATCCACATGTAATAACCATCTTCTTTCACTTCTTGAACAGGGTTGGGCTGCAAGATACGAGGAGAGCCCTTGCCGCCAATAGACTCGCCACGGTCAACACGTAAAATGAATCCAAACTTACCCAAATCATTCAACACATTGAATGCCTCTTCACGGGTTGTAGGTGCCTTGTCGCCCTTGGTGACCTTGGCGTAGTTCTCTTTCAAAATGGCGTCGATTCCTCTCTTTCCTTTGAAATACTCGAATCGTTTACCGTTGAATACACCTTGTCTAGCCTTCAAGCCAGATTTCTTTTCATCCTTGAGGTAATTGGCAGTGTTCTTGTAGATGGCAGGAGCCTTGTTGGCGTCATTGACTTGGATCGTTTGTTGATGACCGCCGCCAGAGGGTCCATGATTGCAGCCGGGTCCATGTTGATGACTCATTTTAGAAGGTGTGTATAAGAAGGAGAAGAAGAAGAAGAAGGAAAAATGGCGAAAACGTAAATCCCCTCTTTGATGTCCCATTTTATTAACACATTTTTAGCCCAATCAAAAGTGGACAAACATCTAGTTCTTTTTTAATTTACTCGATGGATTTGAAGAGGAGGAAGGTGGTGCCATTGGTCTAAACGCAAATTTGGTTCTAATATGTTGATGGGTGAGAATGATGACTTTTTTTTTTTTTTTTTTTTTTCTTTGTTTGGCATACTTACTTGCAAGTAGAGCACACAGGAGACCATTTACAAAAAACTAGAAAGATCGGATTAGCCGCTGTTATAGATCACGTTTTGGCATATACTTGCTTGATAAACACACAGAGCAGACAAATCCAATGTCCACAATCTTCTTGTGACAAAAGCACGCAGCTCGAAAATCCACTTGGTCTTGGCTAGGCAAGTTGAGATAGTTGCGAGAATACCTGTCAGGTAAAAATGCCATCATCAAATACTCTAGTAATGCCTGTCGATTTTCCATTTTGACATAAACACCTCCTGTAATGTTGGACGCCTGCTGTAAAAAGGCTGTTTCCTCTCCAAAAACCTTGCATACATCCAAGGGAATGCTGGCCTTTTGTGCCGAGAAAATGCAGTTCATCAGTGGGATATATTGATACGCTGAATCTGGAGATACTGATAAGACTAATATTCTCGGCTTGATGTGGCCCTCGTCATCTAACTTTGTGACACGATTGATGTAGCATAATGCCATTGACAGAGCACCGGTGATGGTAGGTGAAGCGCCCATGTCCTTGTTCAGAAAACTGGCATCTGTGCTCGACAGTAGTTTCTGCAGGTTGGATACAATCTGGTCTGTGACAATCTGAAAGTGGGGATACATGTTGGCATTGCGTCGGTTGCCATTGTTGCTTGTGGTGGCTTCTTCATTGTCTGCTAGTGGATACAGGATTTTACTAAGAAGGGATGGCGGTTGAGTAGATCAGCACTATGTATACTACGGTGAACACCATGCACTCACCTTTGTCCAACATGGCTTGCTATCACTACTACTTTGTTGTTGTATTTCAGTGCTAAGTGTGCATTGATAAAAACCAGCACTTGGCTCAATGCATTGTCTAGCGTCAGTGGCACTTGGGCATTGGACGAGTCTTCCCAAGCAAATGGATTTGTATCAATGATAATCACCAACAAATTTGAGTCATCTGCACACGCAATATTCACATTAATGCTCGTTTCAGAGGCTTTTTGCAAGGGGATATGTACCTTCACTTAAGGACACGTCTTTCATTTGCAAGTAGAGTAGAGATTGAAAGAGAAAAAAGCTCGAAATAATTTTTTTTGTAGGCAGATTGGAGTTCAAATACGCCATCCCATCATGCCTTCTTCATTCTCTCTTTGCCAGTATAGCGTAGTAAAGACACTTTTCTTGTCCGCAGTGAATTCAAAAGAAGCTAGAGAGCGCTCGCCTACCTACCAGAGATGTTCAGGCTTTGCCACAGCATATAGACCCAATGAATAGCATCTACTTGATCGCCAACCAACATGTGTGCCATGCAAAGTCGCTCTATGGATATAAATTAGCTCTTCTTCTGGACGGCCTGATCTCTCGCTACACTCTACCTCAACAGATAGGTTATATTGTGTTCAAATGCTGCATAGTAGCTATAGCGGCATGCTTTGTTCGTTATTGAGCTTGGGATCAAACGAGGTAGACATGACCAACGTAGTAGTGTCGCTGTGACGAGAAAGAAGGAGCAAATTTAAGCTTCGCTCAATTCTGGAAGCAATTTAATTTGATCTTCTTTCATATTCCATATACTTGAACAAAAGATGGATGACCCCAACGCTGACACCGAGTGGTAATACCAACAATGGCCTTGCATGTGTGCGCTCATTGCGAAATGTTCTAAATTTCATTCGTTTCAGGAATGATATCTTACGCGCCAAGGGTATCTTGCCACCCAAAGACGAGAAGAAAGATGACGAGCTCGAGGATGCCTTTGTAGATATGGTCAGAGCCAGACAAACCAAGCTGGATAGTCTCGACAATAAGGATCTTGATGAATTGGACGAGTTGGAGGATTTGGAAGATGATCAGGTGTTGAATGAATACAGGTACAGTGCGAGTGTCAGAGAGACGAGGAAGCTTTGTTGTATATTCATACGGAAATAGACACAAGCGTATGATGGAAATGCAAGCACAGGCTGCCAAGGAAAAGTTTGGTGAAGTCAAGGAGATCTCGAAGCCTGACTTTATCAAGGAAGTGACAGAGGCAAGCAAGGAATGCTATGTGGTGGTTCATTTGTACAAGGACTAGTAAAGTAGTATAATTGGAGAGAGCGGGGAAGAGACATTGACAGCTATTTGTGAATAGCATTCCTGCCTGCAAGTTGATGAACCGTTGCTTATCTGAACTGGCTCTTCAATTCAAGGCAACCAAGTTTGTCCGCATTGTAGCCGATATGTGTATACCAAACTATCCTGACATGAACGTACCTACTTTGTTGGTGTATGGCGAGGGCGATATCAAGGCTAATCTAGTGGGTGCTATCCAGTTTGGTGGCATGAAAATGACCGCCAAGAGTAAGTGAAATATACAGTTGAAGAAGGGATTGTGATTGACATGTGGGATAGGTCTCCGCGCTATTTTGGCACAATATGGTGCTGTCCCTGCTGAGAAAGTGGCAGACGAGGACGATAGAAACCAAGAGCCTAAAAAGACCATTTACCAATCAAGAGCCACTGCTGCTCTGAGTGATGATGACGATGAGAGCGATACAGATGATAGAGGATACTATTAGAAATATATGTTTGTTGAATTTACCCAAAAATATCAGCGTACAAGTCTCGTATCAATGACATGTACACATAAAGCTGGTCATAAGTAAAATACAGGACTTGTGTAAGATCTACAGCGACTTTTTTTTTTTTGACATATTGTCATTGCAAAAGACACCTTCATGAGGCAACGCTCCCCAAAAAAATCATTTGCGCTAAGCAACTGTCCTTTCAATTCCATGACCCCCCATTTAATCAGCGTCGCAATCACCATTGTCATCAACAGAAAGGCATTTAGGTCAGCCAGCAGCAATGCCACCACCAAAATTGATTCAAACTCAGTTTATTTTTTTCTGTTCAAGATTGGACAGATCTTGTCTTTTCTCGACTTCTTTAATTTATTTCAAGATATTCGACTATGTACATTGTGATAATCATCCGATGCTTCCCAATGCATTCTTAATGTACTGTTCAAGACGCTTCCAATGGTATTAATTGTAATAAGTGTTTTGACTGAAATTACTGAGCAATTTAATAAAGTTTGAAATGAGGTTTTTAGCGAAAATAGCCCTATTTTGCATATGAAAACCTCATAAACGTGGTTTCAGAGGTTGCTTTGGATCAAGAGAAACATTTTGATTCAATATATACTATAGTAAAAGTTTTCATTTTCAAGGTGAAAAACGCGATCCTTTGATTTTCGATGAAAACCATGAGGTACCCCTCATGCTTTTTGGTCGATTTTTGGCTATGTTTTTTAGGTCTTCAAAAAGTTGAGCAAATGTGTCAAGAAGTTACTACTACTCAAGTACAATTGTTTGGCGTTATTCCGGTGATTCAGAAAGGTCTACATGTCAAGATATGAAGGCTTGAAAGCTGTCAAATTTGGTTATGCATTGCTTTATAGAGTTTATTTACACGGCATGAATCATATCTCTGGTAACTGAAGTCTTCTGGAAGGGCTGTTCTGCAGCCTGTGCAATTTCTAATTTGAATAGAAGGCATATTGATTTTGTTAAGATTAATTCATGCAAATTTTGACGCATTATGTTGCTGGCAAGCTTATAAACAATTAGATACTATGGTTTTGCGTCTTTGCGTCGCTACAATCAAGCCCTCGTATAGATCAATGCTATCAAATACTGGATTGGATGCTTAGTTGTCATAGGTTTGCGTCTTTGCGTCGCTGCGATCAAGCCCTCATATAGATCAATGTTACCAAGTGTTGGATTGGCCGCCTTATTACCAAGGCTTTGCACTTTCGATTTGTTACGGTAAAATCCCCCTATAAATCAATGCTATCAAGTGTTGGATTAGACACATTATGTTCGTCCCCAAAACTCCCTCCCCATTGCCGGCTTTGCCGGTGGTTTTATTCACCTTGTACGGCATACAATTCTTTAAAATTTTGAAAGGATAGGATTTCTACTTTTTTTTTGAATGTTTTACAGTATTTATAGTGAAGATGGCCTTCAGAAATAGTGACTCCAAACCACAGATCAATGATGATATATTTGCCTTTGAGATGCTCTTATGAGGACATTGATTACTTACTTGAAGATGTAAATACAGAGAAACATTGCGTATGTATTACAATCAAATGTGTTAAACGCCACCGAATTCAAATGCTTGAAGACGTTAATATCTTGACTTGTAGACCATTTTGAGCCACCAGAATGACACCAAATAATTATACTCAAGTAGCAGTAACTTCTTGACGCCTTTGCTCAATATTTTAGGGACCCAAAAAAGATCGCAAAAAATCGCTTCCAAACCATGAGGGGTACCTCATGGTATTTGACAAAAATCAAACGATCGTATTTTTCACCTTGAAAATGAAGACTTTTACTACGGTGTATATTATATTAAAATGCTTCTCTAGATCCAAAGCAACCCCTGAAACCACTTTTGTAGGGCTTTCATACGCAAAATCTCAACATTTTGGCCAGAAACCTCATTTCATATTTTCAAGAATTGCTCATCAAATTTTTTCAAGACATTTATTTTAACTAGCATCATCAGATGCATCTTGAAAAGTTTCTCTAGAAAGCTTAAGGGAGCATTGAATGAACATCCCATTTTTATAGTCGAATATGACAAAAATAAGTCGATCAAGTCGCAATGTTATCAAAAATCAACAAATTGGGACAGAATGTCAATCGGACCTCTAACCGATTTTGGCAACTGCAAAATGTATTCTCATGAAAACAATCGATGTTTATGAAGCTCATAAGAAGGGAGTTGCGAATTGCTGGTGGTGTAGTTTATATTAGCTAAATTTCGTAAATATGTTTGTGCCATTTTATTTTTGATGGACATAATTCGTGGAAAATGCTTATTCAAAGTGTGGGCCCTCAATGCAAAACTGTCGCCTAATGGTCTCAAAATGGAATACGATATTTCAATCAAGGGTTAATCCAACAGCCATCAAAATACTGCAACCAAGTGTGGAGAGTTCCAGTGAAATTGGAAGTCTCTCAACATCATCTGATTCTAAGCTTCTCTCAAGTCGCTAAAAAAAACAATCTGCCTTCAATCGCTTTTTACGATTGCTCATCCATGCGGGCCTTCACATTGGATGCCTACGTATATTACAAATACCTACAAGTGACTAGCTTAAAACATATTCTCCACTCGCATATTACATAAAACCCTTAAAGCATCGACTTGTCTATTACACTTTTCTTTTGCTGAAACGTTAGAACAATGAGTTCAAAACGAAACTATGCTTCCAGCAGCAATGGCGGTGGATACAGCAACAGAAACCATGCTAGAGGACAAAATAGAGATAAAAGTCAACGGCCATTACAGAAATCATATGGTAAATTCGCTCCTTTGTTATCCATGATCAAATAGCTATTAACCTACGCATCCATAAAAGCAGAGCCCAACTTATCAAACGAGACTCGAGCAGTTCAATTACTGAGACGCATATTCAACGATGACGACGATTCCCTCTTTTCACGTCGAATTGGCAACGCGAATCAGCTCCTCAAGATGCTGGAAGAGTCGAGAAGCACCATTTCAGACTCGCTTGAATTTCGACAGGAACAAAAGCAATTGCTAGACATTTGCGTATACGATGAAGGGCTTCGACGTATTGTAGAGTTCACAAAAGCGCCGCCAGCATTGAGAAACACCATGCTAAAGATTGTATCGGGGCTCGCTTGTTATACGAGACTGGATCTTGCTTTGAGCTGGATCTTTGATAGACTCTCTGTCTGGGAGACGTCTGCCAATGATGCCAACAAGGATCGAGAGTGGAAGAAATGGTTGTTGAGATTGCTAAAGCAGGCAAGTGAGATGAAAAATGGAGGGGAGGGGCTGTTTAATCATGCTGCAACAAAGCGTAGATCTTGATAGATTCGGCTGCAGATCAATACACATACAAGCAAACAGTGGAGATGTCACCTATGATCTTGGCCAGCATCATTTCGTTTCTGGACACAATGGATTCATCAGACTATCTTCCAACTGTGGTAGAGATTCTTGTCTATTTCTCAGAGAACTATCAAAATATATTTGGACAGAGATTTAATGTAAAAATCAAGCGTTACATAGGATCATGTGCAGACACTAATCGGCATGCAACATAGGATATCATTGACTTGCTAGTAGGATGGAATATGGACCCTGAGCTATTGGAACCAAAGAGAGCAATCATCGTTTCTTCCTACTCGAAATTCAGTGTATTCTGGGCTGGCTATTTACCGTTTGCAGTGGAATTGTTAAATCACTTTTTGACCGACATGCAGACCCTGATCCGCGAATTGACGAGCACACATACACCGGAAGCACAGACCAGGAAGTGGGCAGCATGTACTAGTCTATTAAGGTAAATCTAGGTGGCAGCATGTGTTTGTTTATAGCAGTTGTAGATTAAGCTGTGTTGATTAGCTGCTTCCACGCTATTCTAGATACCATCTTACCACTGATTACCACTACTACCCCCAGCAATTATCACAACTATCAAGCGTTCAACAAGCTACTGCCAGGGCTTTTGGATTTGGCTGTCAAAGCACAGCAAGCCAAGCCTGGCGATCAATGGACTCAGTCCGTCAACACATTGCTGCTCTTACTGATCTCATACGAACCCGCCAAATACCGAGCCTACCAATACCAATTATACCTTTATTTGTTTGGATACCAACACAAGCAAGCGTTTTCATACAGCAGTAGCGAGGACTGTCAGCATTACCTTGATTTGCTTTTACGAGTAAGTTGGAATGTTGCTATGCTGGACGTAGGATCCATGCTAACAGAGGTGTTAGTTTATCAATTATTGGGGCCAAGACATTGACGAGCAGATTGTGTATCAGTTGCTGGACGTTCCATCATCACCGCTGTACAAGATACGAAGCCATTATGCCCATCACAGTCGATTGAAAAATGGACTTTTGTTGCTATTGCGGTTTCTTATCCGAGTGCCTGTATCCGACCACAGTCGAAATCAGCTAAACCACCAACTCATTGCAAAGCTAGAAGAGCACCAGCGCCCACTCAAACAGCAACATGGCATGAATGGTAGTAAAAACATGCTTCAGCGTACGATGGCCTTGATTGATCAGAACGATGGCTCTATTGCATTGCCGATTCCTGCTGACACACTCGCCAAACAAGTGGATGACGAGCAGATCCAGGATGCCCTTTTCTTCAACTATCTGTTACTCGACACAGCAGCAGTATGGCCTATATTGCGCTTTGAAAACTCCTTGATCTCGCTTGAAATGCTGTGTATCGCTTGGCAGAGCAAGTGCAATGATGTGTTTGATTCTTGCTTTCAGCTATTGAAGAACTTTTGGGCAAGGTAAGTGAAATGATGTGTTTGTGGGTAATGACAATGATAATTCCAACCAAGCGTATTCCTAGTTTGCATTATATGCTGGAAGACGAATATGCCGTAGAGATGATTACCTGCTTGGTTGCTGATTTGCTAGACCATTGGAAAGAATTGAGTTTACAGACACGCCAATCTGCGTGCCATTTTGTCAAGGCTATTCTGCTCGAGTTGTATGATACCGAAAACTTCCATTTAGATGTGCATACGCTGTTTAAGCCCGTTATCTCTGGGTTCCTCCATGCTGCTGGTAAGGGTAACACGTAGATGCTGTGCTCTGTGGCGATTTATACTTTTCTTTATAGGCAAGGAAAAGAACAGCGGTACAAAGCAGCTTATTCTCCAGCTTGTTACCTATTACTGCCAAGTATTTGGATCCGCTGAAATCATAGACTTCATTCTGGAGCATGTACAACGCAGCATCAACAATCCATACAGCACGGTGCAACGCGCAAGTAAAGACCTGCTGACCACTTTAAATCCATTCATGATATCTGAAGTCAACAAGTTTGACGACTACACGACAGCCTTTATCCAAAGTATCATGATGGCCACACCACACACGGGGTCATTCAGGCCTGTTCATTACGAAATTGCCATGAAGCATCTAGGTATGTCAAAGCATTTGCTGGGTGGTAGTGAAGCACACGAGGATGACGCCAGTCAGCCCCTTTCAGCAGACAAGGAAAATTCGTCAGGTTGGGCTAGACGCCTGTTGCATCACTGTGATACCGTCAACAACATGAAGCACGTCAGTCTCTTTGCCGAACTAAAGGAAGACATGGAACTTGGATGTATCGTTGACTTGATCAATAACAGTGAGCCATTGTTGTGTTATTGGGCCATGTGGGAGTCAGCCAGGTATTGTATGCTCTCTCGTTTGCGCACGCCGTTTGGTGGTCCACAGCAGACTTTTGCAGCATTCGAGCGTATGCTGCAAACCTTGCTATCAAATGCCGAATCGAAAAACTGGTAAGTCAGTTGTGCACTGATGATGCCACACACATCTGATAGAATGGACTTAGTGATGGCGATAAGAACATGGACCATTTACGACACTTGCTGCTCTTGCTGGACCGACTGGAGCTTCAGATATCCAATGCGACCGATGGCTGCGCTACTGCATCTCTGCCTGCGGTGCCTCGATCCAGTCTGATTTTCTTTAGGACCAACAAAAAGACATGCCACGATTACTTTTTGAGAATCAGGCCCTCCATGATTGCCGGTGCTAAGATTGTCAGAAACGATCATTTACTCATCACACACGCAACCCAAATTCTAAAGGAACTAGAGTCTGCTGTTCCATCCACAGATGTATCAAATTACTTTAAGCAAATCAATGGCTACTTGTGTGATTTAGGTAGGATCTACAAGGTGTAATCTAGCGCTCAGAACTAACGCCGTTTGTAGTGGAAGCATGTATCCGAGAAAAATACATGGATTTGATCTATGGTATGCAGGCTTGGTACAAAAAACTGATTAGAAGAGTGCAGCACGCCCATCCTCAAAGTCAATTGAGTTTTGAGGGCTTGATCGGCCCAGCAAAGGGAAGCTCTGAAGAAAGCGCCTCGAGCAATGTTACCTGGTTTCAAGTAGCAGCTCAGTTTGCATCAGTAAGTTGCTGTGATCTATAAGCATGCAATGTGTGGTTGACTCATTCTGCTCTAGGGTCGCGATGAAGCAGCCATCAAAGCTTTGACCAGCCTCAAATCATTGGTGAGTCGAGATGAATTTGGCATTCTGGATATGCTTGATCGCCAATTGATCCACTTCTACACCTGTTTGGAAGATTACGACTCGCTACAAAAAGCACTGGATAGCGGATCCACAGTGATTGATGACTTCATCTGCGAGAGTCTACGTGCTTTCAATGCCGGCAATCAAGCTTCTGCAAAAGAGCAGGAAGAGGCTATCAAGAATGTCAAGGCATTTATCACCAATGCTCCACTGGAATCATGCCTCGAATTGTCTCGTCTCGACACGTTTAGGCATTGGCTCGTATCGTCATCCTCAACCACTACTAGTGCAGATGATTCACTGCACATTGGCATCACCACTCGCTTGACGGGAAGAATACTTCAAGTGCTCAAGGATGGTATCTTTAGCAACATTTCAAGCTTGTTGGAGCTGCAACTTGTCCAATCTGATTGGGAAAACCTGATTGCCAGCGCTAAAGATTGGCTCTACATGACCTCTGGCAACGTGTCCAATTTCCATCATTTACCTCCTGAAACAAAGCACTGGGCAAGATTATCCACGTATTTCGAAAGGCTGTATACACACAACAATGCATTTGAGCACGCTGAAGTAAGTCAGTGTTTGGGTTTCATCCAACTGCATGCTGCCAAGGTAGCACGTCGTCAAGGCAACACCCTGCTCGCCGAAAATCTCGTCAACAAGGCTGTCCGTGTTCCCGATACCGAGTATCTGGCACTGTATGAACGTACAAAGATCCTGTTTGCTCAAGGCGAATATGCGCATGCCATGAAAACTGCCAATAGCGTCTTGATGCATGTGACATCTGCTCCTGGATATGAAGAGTTGAAGAGCAAAACCTATCTTAAAGTGGCCCGATACCTCAAGAACTGTCCTGATACTCAAGTGGAGGGCTTGTTGCACCAATTGGATGCTAGTCTGGTCAAGATGCAAGCAACTGATTTGCAATCGGCTGTGGAAGTGTCTATTGATGATGCGCTTGAAAAGTCTATTGAAAACAACACCATAGACGGAAGACCCTGGTTTGATTATGCCACGCATTACTACAAGCAAGGCTGGCGTATCTTGGATGATATCACAAAACCGGATGTGTCTATGCCAGCTGTTCTTTGGGCCAAAAAGAAAATGCAAAGTGTATTAAGTGATGCTGTAAAAGACACCTCGATAGATAGCACGCAAGTTGAAAAGGTAAGACGATACCAAAGGACTCAATTTGAATTGGACACTCATCTGTCTATCTGTAGTCCATTTTTGCCCTGTTGCTAAAGTATTCCAGTGCTGTGGGCGACAAGGAATTATCAGATTCCGATGCATTGAACTCTGATTTGAAGCAACTGATACCCTTTCTGGAATCCAGCAGCCAAGCGATTATTGTGGACACTATGAACGTAGTGCAGCAAATGATCATTGGCAAGTTTTATGCTTCTGCGCAAGCGTATTTCCGCTATCTATCACTCGACATTCATAACCAGCAACACGTAAGCTTGCCATCTTTTGTGTCAGTTCTGCATACTAATACCTCTGTGAATAGTCTGATAGGAGTGCCAATATCAGTTCCACATCCATGATCATCACAGCAACTCTTCGTCTATTGCGAATTCTGACGAAATACGGCAAAGCACTGCAGTCGCTGTTTACCAAGCACATTGAGATGGTGCGTGTTGACTTGTGGAAGCCAGTGATCCCACAGCTGTTTGCTCAATTGAACCATCCCAATGACTTTGTGCGTCAAATCATCGGAAAGCTAATCAGCCGCATTTGTGATGAGTATCCTCGCGAAATTGTGTATGATGTGATTGTGAATTCGACTTCTTCAAAGACAAACCGCGAAACAAAGCAGAGTCTGGACGCCATTGCCAATCGCATGATGGATAGAAACGAGCTGTTGTGGGTCTCGACACGACGCATGGCAGAGGAATTAGAGAAAATCACTGTACTGCTGGAAGAAAGATGGCTCAACAAGATTGCTTCCTTACAGTTCGATGTCATGCAACAGTTTACCAAGCTAGATCAAGAGTCTGAACGTCTGCAAAAGTCCAGCATGGATCCAGCTGAACAGGAAACAAGCTTTTTGAAACTGTATGATAACATGATGAAGTTTGTCATTACTTCCATTGACAAGTTCTTGATGGAGACGGCTTATGACTCTGTTGTGGCCACTCCTCACGAGCAATGGTTTCAAAAATCATACGGTAAACAGTTGACTCAGGCTTGCAATCTACTTCAAAGGCCTACTTCAATGAAAAACTATCGTCAAGGCTGGGAATGCTTTCAGCAGGTAAGCGCAATATAAAGACAGGTTGAAAACGATGCTCATACTTTCTGGCCCTGTAGTTTCATCGTCAACTCATGGTTGAAACTCACAAGGTGCGTATTCTGGAGCTCTCTCAAGTATCGCCCTACCTTCATAACATGAAGGACACGCCTATTGGCATTCCTGGTCAGAATGAAACGCAAGAATCCTGCTTTATTGATTCATTTGGCTCCAGTGTCATTGTATTGCCCACAAAAACCAAACCCAAGAAACTCGACTTGAAGGGCACAGACGGCAAAAAGTACTCCTACTTATTCAAGGGCCTGGAAGACCTTCATCTGGATGAACGCATCATGCAATTACTGACAACAACCAATGGTTTATTGAGTGAAAACGGAGCCACGGCGCTTCGTGGTATGCGAGCCAGAACATATGCTGTTATTCCCTTGAGCGACCATTCAGGCATGATTCAATGGGTGAATGATGCTACCCCATTCTTTGCGTTATTCAAGAAATGGCAAAAGAGAGAATCCACTGCGCACATGCTCTTGAACAATGATAAGCCCAACGAAGCTTACCTGCAGAGTCTGATGCAGAGACCTACTGAACAATTCACAGCCAAGGTGGCATCCTTCCTCCAATCGGCTGGATTGCGCGTAACCGCCAATAGAAGGTACTGGCCCAAAGAAGTGCTCAAAAAGGTGTATCTGGAACTGGTCAAGGAAACGCCTGGTGATTTGCTTCAGAAAGAGATCTACTACTCAAGTGCCACTGCTACTGAATGGTTCAAAAAGAGTACCTCCTTTGCCCGTTCGTTGGCTGTTACCTCCATGATTGGCTATATCATTGGTCTGGGCGATCGACATTTGGACAACATGCTGGTGGACTTCCGTTCTGGTGAGGTGATTCATATTGACTACAATGTCTGCTTTGAAAAAGGCAAACGACTTCGTGTGCCAGAGTTGGTGCCGTATCGTTTGACTCAGAATCTGTACGGTGCATTGGGTATCACCGGTGTCGATGGACAGTTTAAGGCGGCTGCAGAAGAGACGTTGCGGGTACTCCGAAAGCACAAAGAGGTCTTGATCACTTTACTGGACGCATTTGTATATGATCCTCTTGTTGACTGGGAGAGCGAAGCCATGGAAGCAGGCCATAGGCAAATGATGGAATTGCAAGCCAATCTCAGTCTGGTTGCTACGCGTGTCATCAAGAAGCAGGCAGAGCAAGACAAGGAACGGAAGATTATATTGGGAAGTCTTTCAGGCTTGAGGCACAATCTACACCAATGGCAAGAATCCATGTTGATCGAGGCAGAGACATTGAATGCTGAGGATGCTAGTGATGAAGAAGAGCAGAGTCTAGAGCATGATGCTGTGATGTCTTCTGCGACCATTGAAGGCGAAGATGCCACATTTCTGGGCAGGCTTCCCCTGTATCTGCTTCGTGAAGTTAAGTCTCATCTGACCAATGTGTATTCTCTGGTAAGAGACTCTCGATTACCAGCAGAAGGTATCGCACCTATTTTGGAATCCATCATCATTATTGAAACAGACGCAGACAATGAACTACGCCCAGCCCAAAACAGTGCAAAGGTAAGTGAGCGTTGAATAGACGCCAACTGGTATTGATTCTGTTGAATAGACTGCCTTGGATGCCATTACACTGATCACAGCCGAGCTCAAGAAGTTTGACAAGCAACTGATCGAAAAGACAAACTACGAATCAGAATGGACGTACAGTCAATTGTTGAATTTCATCAGCATCCTGTCGAAATCTGTGCAGGATTACTTTACGGCATTGAAAACATTGGAAGAGTTTGGTCCCGATAGCGTGAAAAATAGCTCATCTTCCAATGCTGTGGAGGAAGAAGAGTCTAGCCATGCTGCTGAAGACGACAAAACCACGCACCAGCAAATATCGCAGGGTCCATGTAAGTGTTCTCAACAGATCTGAAAATAGAAAGTAGTATTCACATGCCATTCGTTGCAGATGTCATTAAACCTGCATCAAGCAATCATGTTACAAAGATCATGAAAAGAATTAGATCCAAGCTTGAAGGCGCTGATTTTGGAGTTCAGCACAAGATGAATGTCTCTGAACAAGTGGCAAGATCGATAGAGCAAGCTACATCTGTTGATAATCTGTGTATGATGTATGAAGGTTGGACGAGTTGGGTATAGGAAAGAAGCTGTTGACTGTACATATCATTCGCTACTGCCGCCATGACATCTTATAAGAGCTTTTACATTGCATTGGGAGGAAAAGAGAAGAACACGCCCAAAAACAAAGAATGGCTTTCATGAGAGGAGTGCTGAATTGGTGTTGAGGTATCTCCACTGCTTAGCTTAAGTGATACATGATTTGATTCAAATAAACTAGTATATAAAATCACTTTAGTGGTTGTCGAGTGTGATGGCATCATGTTTCTGTCATCAGTCTTGCTGAAATCAATTTGACTGAGATAATCCTGATCCGACGCCAGTTGAGATATCGTAAAAGATAACCTGTTATCAGTCCTCTAGCGACGTACTCCTGATTGCGTATCGAAAATTGCTCTATTGCCATCATGGCATAGATTTGGGGTATTTATAACTTACACAAGCGGCAAGGTGCCCTCAGGTAAAACGACCGGATCACTTTTCCATTAAAATTCGAATCTCCTCTACCCTTTCTTTCCCCCCCCCCCCCAAAAAAAAAGTTTAGAAATCAGGAACATTGTACTAATGCTGCTTACATACAATCATATGGAAACGAGAAAATTGGATGCTCGAGTCAAATACGGCATGTAGCATAGTTATTTTCAAGGTGGAATACTGACAATCTAAAAGGCCCGGATTCATCTCCTGTTATGAAGAGGTGTATAAAAATTTAGAGTTTTTTCTGTACCATCAAATGCATTACCCCTTTTTTTCATGTGTCAAAACAGATAGCACATGCATCAAATCAAGCTGTTCAAATGCTTTTCAAATGGGAAAAAACACGTGAAAATACAAAAAGAAGAGATAGTATTGTAAGCATGTTCATCATGTATAAAAAAAAGCATTCTTTTCTTTTGATTTCTTCATCTGATGAATTACAAATCCTCTACAGCTACAGCTACAACTACAACAACTACAATAAACCATCGAATGACACATCCCATGAAATTGACTGAGTCATATCCTACATCGATGCACAGCAACGCCAGCAGTCCCTCTACATGGCAGCAATTAGTAGTTGGGGCTGGCTCAGCAGCAGGATCTACAGCAGCCGTTGTGAGCGAGGAATCAATGAAATGCTTGCGATATTGTGTTAGCTGGCTACAGTACGCTATTCGGCATTTGGGACAGCAGATGAGTTTGCTCAGAGGTTTTCTTGTATCGCTTGCAACGACTTCGAGCTCACAGCAACAACAGCAGCCTATGATTTTAGCTACGATCAAAAGGGATATGGTATCTACATTAAGAAAAGTGATTGATATCATCACATGTTATGCCAGTAATGCTTTACCGTATCAAGCAAAAGCAACCATTCGAGGCACGATATTGAATTTACCAAGCAGATGGGTACGTTCGCGTTGCAATCAGTCGCAGTTGATGAAGCTAAACATAAGTTCATAGGCGTTGTTGTATGATGAGACAAATACTGCAAACGATGATATGATACCGCAACAAGCAAATCCCAATGAATCGTATAAGCAAGAAGACGTTGCGCTTCGTTTGTTGGCTTTCGGTCAAGAATCCAGTGATATGTTGACTTCAATTCATACAGTCATTGACGATACTATACAACGAGCAGAGAGCTGGTTAGAGAGATTGCGCTTGATAAATCCCATGTCTTCTCTGTCCACTGCACCGTCCTCCTCTGCAATGCCTCATCAGTTACCTTCCTTATCTATAAATCAACACAAATCCAAGGAAGAATTCAGCAACAATAATGAAGATGAAAATTTCTACAATGTGCTATTGCCACCAATCCTTAATCTGCATATATCGTCTTCCTCGTCGACGGTAGCAACAACCACCTCAAAAAATTAAACATAGTACTATATACATTTAAACAAATAGCTTAATTCCATTCTAATTAAAAAATCTAATACCCATGCATACATAGTTCCATGTGCTTATGCGTACAAGTACTTGCACAACAAAAAACATGCTACACTATTAATCTTAATTTACAGTATGTGATCAAAACTCACATTGACAATAATCCATTAAATCCAGTATTTGTAACCAAATCTAACCAATTTCGTCATATATACGGTTATTCAAATGCGTTCGTGCGAAATAGTACTTGTAATTTATACTTTATAATAGAATTTACACCATTGGGTACCATATCATCTGATGTACTAGATCAGTGTTCCATAAAGATTCGATTCTCAAAATTTGCCGCAGAAAAAGCTGTATAACAGATGCATCAGTGTTGCATTTACAGGACCAAATGCTCGGATCAGAACCACAAATCAAAAGTTCTCGTTAAAAAAATATATATATAGCATCGAAATTCCCACTTTGGCTACAGATTGTCTTCAAGAAACAAACCAAGGGATTAATACTGAACTATCCAGTAGCGAACTGATAAACAAAGCTATCTACCCGACTCAATTCCCGAAGTCAATGCTGTCCTTTTGGCAAAAAAAAACAACAGAAACAAGCTAATTTCACTGCTGCAATCCGAAATAAATAGCCATCATAGATCATGTTTTTAAAGTCATAGAGGTGAATATACCTAACTTTGGGAGACTGACTTGAGAAGAAATAGGCAAGGTGAAGGCTCGCTGTTCTCGAATCAAAGGTTTCAACCATCTTGAGTATCTGTTCGTAGCTTGATATTCCGCCTTGGCAAAAAACCATAAACCTGCAACGCCTCGTGTTCAAATACACTATCAAATTTTCAGGTTCTACGATTACATATAATGTGGCAGGGCAGAAATATCTGAATTTGATCCTTGCATAATCAAATCCTCCTCCTCAGTGTGTTTTTTTTTTTGGCAATTGGATCCAAACACTTCTCCGTATCCAAATATTTGAAACTTGGTACTAATGACCATTTATCAACATGCAAAGTACTTATTGATAACTTAAAACCAGCAAGTTACTATGGCCCTTTTCATACGCTCCGATTTTTAAAATGCTTGGTCAAATGCATACATGTGTGGTGTACACATGAGAAAGCTCGACGGAGATTCAATTTCTATTGTTCTGAATGATGATCCATGGGATTCCGAAATCTACCGACCTTAAAAGTACGCGTTTCTTGATAGTAACCACCCCTTCAAACTTATATGAAACTTGTAGAGAATTCAAAGGAGAACACAATGGTGCCCATATCCAGTCTCTGGTGTACATTGTTCACTAGATATTTGGTACGATTGTTTTTGCAATTTTTTGACTGTTTTCTAAAGATTAATCAGTATCTGTCATCAAAGCATTTTGTTAAGCATTACTAAGGCCAAAGAATTTCCTATCGAATGAGCTATTGCTTGAAGCTCTGGCGTAACTCTATCGTGAAATATTGAAAATATTGTCCTGACCAAAAAATCGTCGCCAAATTTTTTTACTTGCTATCACAGGCAGATTTTGAAGGAAAATCCATGATTTTGCATGATACTCTTTTTTGACCATATCTCGACACATACTCACTAGATTCACACAGAACAAAGACCATTCGATAGCTCTATGTTATATCCATTATAATATAAGGGTTTTAAGTGCCAGATGTGCGTTCCCTTTATAAATTTGCTCAAAATCATATATTTTATGAGCTACAAGCAGGGGATATTCAATTTTTTTTATTTATCTATAATAACCATACCATCGTATAGAGAATTGAAAAAGAAACAAAAGCTACTAAGCTTTAGGCTCGGGTTCATTTAGTAAAATCCTGAGGTACAGCCCTTTGAAAATTGATCATTTCTACAATTTTTTTTTTATTACTCATCCACATCGTCCTAAACTTGGATGCATTTAAGTCGTGTTTTCTCGTATTGGAGGCCGTTTTAGATCACCAGGGTAATGCCAAACAGTTGTTCTCATCTAGGAATTACTTACTGACGCCTTTGGTCAACGTTTTTGAGGTTGTTGCCAGAAATTGCCTTCAAACCACGAGGGGTACCTCTTGATTTTTGTCAAAAATTAGACGATCGCGTTTTTGACTTCAAAACTGAGACCTTTACAGTAGCATATATTAAAGCAAAATGATTGTATCGATTCAGGGCAGTACCTAAAACCACTTTTATATGACTTTCATACAAAAAATCTTTACATTTTTACCAAAAACATGATTTGATATTTTCCAAAGTTGCTCAGTAACTCGAGTTAAAAAGGCATCTTTTAATTAGCACCATTAGATGCGCATTGAAAAATACCCCAAAAGTGCAGTAGGAAGTGTTTTTTTTTTGTAGGGGAGGCGAGCTCCAGTTTTTATTTAAAGTCCTGTAAATGTCGCTATAAAACACATATATTAAGCGAAGCGCAAATAAATATTAGCGGTTGCAGGCAATGACGACAATGCCTTTCTCATAAAGGTAATCGAAGTATCTGAAGCTGTAATAAGGAGAGGAACACATTAAAAGGCACTGTAGCATAGCCTGGCTTCTACATCCTGCTTCTCTGTGAACGTTAATCACTGCAGACTGCTCTTTCAAAGGTAAACTATCCACTGGATTAGCGTACGATTCTCACCAAGCGCTAGCGAGATCAGACGGCTGGTACAACATTTGTACGGCAATAACTCTGTATAGTAAATCTTCGTTCGCATATTCCTTCTGTCCAGAAACAAAGACACCAAACTCTCGCCTTCCATATCAAACAGCTCTTTGTAGGTGACATTAACGCTGCCAAGAGATGCTACATTTCAAGCAATGACAGAGAAATATTTCTATTATGCCATGACTATTCGCATACATCGAAAACATAGTGAAAAGCCCTGACATCTCGTGCACACTCCACGTGGAATTCTGACATGGGGCGATCTGGTAATATGCCATGTCTCCAGCTGCATAATGTATTAAAAGTGTTACACACAGCTGTCAGATGGCAGATAAACACAGTGCTAATTCCAATCAAACTGGCATACATGCAATACCCATCAAGTCATGAAACATTGAAATAAGCTTCTTTGCAGGTAGTGCATTCAGTTCAATGGCATTTCATCTTTTCACATTGCCGAGTCGAAAGAAAAAGGCATTTCTTTTATTTTTCTTGCATTGGATGACAAAGGTCAATGTTGTATGCCGTATATTTTAAACAATTTTGCCAACACTTCTTGAGGAATTTCATCTGGCCAGGATTTCAGCAAGTCAAACAATCGTTGAATCACTAAATACAGACATGTCATTTATCCTGCATTCATCTCCTAAAAAAAAAAAAAAAAAAAAACCTACCTTGTTGATGTTTCTTGTCTAAAAACATGATCAACATATCAATTCTTGGCACTCGTGAAAGTCCCCAAAGCACATTATAGACATCTGTAGGTGTCTTTTCTTTTGTATATCGTGCGTCCACAAAATCAAGCATTTTTTCAAATTGGTCAGACTCAAGCGAAGACTTGAAGATGGCTGGATAGTCCCTGGGTGGGATGACTTGAAAGTATTGGTATAAAACATCGTCTCCTCTGCCCTTGTACGTCTTCCAATCTCTCTCAAATTCAAAATTAGTGCGAGGACAAGTAAATTTCAATGGCACTGATGGTGGTTTTGTGCTGGTGGTGGTTTGAACGGGTGGAGTCACGGCCTTCTTTGCTGGCGCGTCTACTTTTTGAACAGGTTCAGGCGTTAATGTCGGCTTATTGGAAGGGTCAGCTTTTTTGACGTTGGGTGTGGATGTGGGAGATGCGGGTTCTTTCTTTAGCGATGTGGGCTGCTCGACCATCTTTGATTTTGTATATGCTCCATCTATCACATTAATGGGTAATCTACGCTTTTGTTCCACAGGCTCAGGCTAACAGAAAAAGATCAGGCTCACGTATTAATCAGAATCCTGAAAAAAAAAAAAAAAAAAAAAAAAAAATACCTTTCTTGATTTGAGCTTCTCCACAGGTTTGACAGCAGGCAATTTGTTCAACTCATCCAAAAGTGATTTATTACTGGGTTCAATCGTCAAACCAGTTTCAAAGTCTAGATTGTTTGTATGTGAGTTCATCAATACATCATGGATCATTTGTTGCCGTTAAACCTTTTCTAGCTTCATTCATTCTCCCCAATTCACGTAATGCAATACCACGTCTCCACAGCGCCTTTACATTCTTGGGTTGCAACTGAAGGCCCCTTGAACAATCCTTCTCTGCCTCCAGGAAGCTGCAAGCAAAGCATGTCAGTCTCTAACCGCCTCACATAGCCTAATCACCCCAATGTTACCTGTTTGTTTTGAGATAGGCCATGGCACGATTGACAAAGTAAACAGGCACAGTGGGATCCAAATCAATGGCTTTTCCATAATGTAGAATAGCGTTCTTGTAATCTTTTTTACCAAAGTACTCATTGCCCTGAACATGTTGATTTGAGTGTATGTCAAGAATGTGTGTATGTGTATCGTCGCGATGGACACACGTACCTTGGCTTTCTCGGCCTCTGCTTTTCCAGCTCTTGATTGAGGTGTTGTGGATGTCTAATTTAAAAAAAGTGCATGTTGGTGATGTATCATAGCATTGCCTAAATGCAAAGGTGTACCTTGCTGGTGTTGGATAACTTATCGATACCTGCAGGCTTTACATTGTCGACAAGAATTTCAGTTGACTTTCTCACAGGAGGCAAGGCCTAATAATAATATAGAATTTAATATGTCTAGACTCGAATTCATGCTTTATTTCTTAATCTAGTACTTGGTCATGAACAGGCTTTCTTCTAAGCAGCGCCTCATCTTTCTTGTGGATATCCGTCTGCCAATTCAAGAGATCTTTCCACAATGCTTCGTTTGCCATTTGATGGGTTTATTCTCGAAAAAGCAAAAAGAAAAAGTGTGCGTGGTAATTTAAGCTCTGTTTCTCCTTTCCTGACCAATGACAAGCCACTGGTAGCATCTCTTCTTACTACAGGATGCCTTATAACGGAAATGCCGATGAGTCTATACTATCCAACCTTTGGTAACTCAACACTAAAAAAAAAAAAAATATCTCCTCATCAAACATAGAATTCTTCCTTCTCTTTTTCTCTCTTTTTTTTTTGCTGTTTTTATCGATCATGGTTACATTACCCACTTTTGATCCTGATACCAAACATGATGTCCATGCACCTGCATCCACTTATTACACGACTGGCGATAATGCAAGACAAAGAACTAGAACTTATACGGTAGGTGGAGCAAAAAATCGGTTGCTCTGATTATGCAGCCAACATCTATTTTCCTTTAGAAAAGTCGCCTAGACTTGCAGGCCAGTGGCAACAATCTCGAAGGCACTCGTAGACGTCGTGCTTCTCATGGTAACAGTGTGCAAAATGACAGGGCTTGTCATTTAAAGAGAAACTTATACTGTATCTATAGACGACAAGAACAAAGCACGCCGTTTTTTGATTGATGTAGAAGAGACACAGCGCAAGATTCTGGAGCAAGAAGACACGGATGGCGATTTCCAAATCACTATCAACGATTTGGGCCCTAAAACCATGTCTTTGGGCACGGCTGATTCGGGCGGATACCGCAAAATTGATATTCGTGGTACCTACATGTTGTCCAACTTGTTGCAGGAACTGGCGCTGGCCAACGATTACGGACGAAAGCATATTGTACTAGACGAAGCTCGTCTCAACGAGAACCCTGTGGATCGTCTGTCTCGCATGATCAAGTTTAACTTTTGGGATGGTCTTACCCGTCGCATTGATTCAGACTCATTGGAAGTAATTTGTCCTGATCCCAAGAACAGATCGTCTAACAAGAACCCTCGCATCTACGTGCCATACAACGACAAGGAAGCCTACGACTTTTACACGCAAGTGAGCCACGTACGCAAGCACTTGAATCTGGAAGTAGTGTACCTGCCTGAGAAGATCACGGCGGAATACACCAAGAGCATCAATGATCGTCCGGGCCTCTTGACGCTGGCTATGCGTAAAACAAAAGACGAGCAAGGCAACGATACCTATGTTGGAGAGCCCTTTGTTGTGCCAGGTGGACGATTCAACGAAATGTATGGTTGGGACTCTTATTTTTCAGCATTGGGGCTACTGGAAGATGGTCGCACCGAGTTGGCTCGCAGCATGGTGGAGAATTTCGCCTATCAAATCAAGCATTACGGCAAAATCCTCAACGCCAATCGCTCCTACTATCTGTCTCGCTCTCAGCCGCCCTTTTTGACTGACATGACACTCAAGGTCTTTGAGCGTCTGCACCCTCAAGATGAAAAGGAAAACAAGGCATGGTTAAGACGCATTCTCAAATCTGCCATCAAAGAGTATTGGGAGGTGTGGATGTCTGAGCCCAGATTGGACAAGAAGACCATGCTGTCAAGGTATCGACCTGATGGTTCTGGTATTCCTCCCGAAACAGAGGCCTCGCATTTTGTACATATCATTGAGCCCTTTGCAGAGAAACACGGCCTCACTGTAGACGAATTCAACCAGAAATATAATGACGGTATCATCAAGGAACCCGAGTTGGACGAGTACTTTTTGCATGATAGAGCAGTGCGTGAATCCGGACATGACACCACGTATCGATTTGAAAAGGTTTGCGCCAATTTGGCCACTATCGACTTGAATTCGCTGCTATACAAGTATGAAATGGACATTGCTGATGCTATGGTAGACTATTTGGACGATGATTTAGAGGATTTCGATGGTGTCAAGCAGAGCGCTGAAGACTGGATGGAGAGAGCAAAGCAAAGACGGGAGCGCATTGACAAGTATTTGTGGAACGAAAAGGAGTCCCTCTATTTCGACTATGACACTGTCAAGGAAGAACAGATTACCTACGAGAGTGTCACTTCATTTTGGGCGCTCTGGGCTGGTTGTGCCAGTGATCATCAAGCGCAAGAGATGGTCAAGCATTCACTGTCCAAATTCGAAGTAATGGGTGGTTTGGTCTCTGGTACCGAAGAGTCGCGTGGTGTTACATCGCTTGAAAGACCTAACCGGCAATGGGATTTCCCATTCGGATGGAGTCCTCATCAAATGCTGACTTGGGTTGGTCTAGACAAATACGGCATGAGAGATACAGCTGCCAGATTGGCTTACCGTTGGTTGTTTACGTGAGTTATGATAGTTCGTACATGTTATACAATTGGATCTAACGCTTATCATCGTGTATAGTATCACCAAGGGCTTTGTCGATTTTAATGGTGTTGTGCCCGAAAAATTCGATGTCGTCAGTCTATCCCATAAAGTAGAGGTGGAATACGGTAATGTGGGCACAGACTTCAAATGCGTTCCTCGAGAAGGTTTTGGCTGGATGAACGCCTCGTATCAAGTGGGTCTCAGCTACTTGACGACTCAAATGCGTCGTGCCTTAGGTGCTTGCACACTGCCTGATTTGCTGTTTGAAAAGGCAATGATCCGCGAACATCGTATGCTGGGTATGACGCCTGAAGAAGAAGAGGCTGCCATGCTTCGTCGTCGCACATCCACTTTGGCTGCCAGAGCCATTACGCGCAATGGTAGCATCAGTGCTGCTGTTACTCGTATTTCTTTGTCGGATGGCTCCAGCAATGCCACTTCTTTTTAGTAATAAATATCCAGTTTTGCAGTGATTTGATATATAATAGAAAGCATTCATGCAATGTCGATGAACACACCATTTTACGCCAGTCACCAAAAGGTGCATTTGAATTTCAAGCCTTGGATGCAAGTGCTGTCTTTCTCTTTTTCTCTTTAATTCATCACCAAATGGACTCGAACAAGAACAAGGTAAAGACAGCTCTGTTTTGCGTGCTCGCATCCACAGGCTTATACGTAGCGAAATAGGCATTAGTGCGAGGCATCCCAACACCTCCAGTATTCGATTCTGCACCCAACGTCCATGCCGGTATCCCCATTCCTTCTTTCTCAAGTGCACCTGACTTCTCAGCAACAAGCCGTCAAGGTAAGATTCATGTTCGAGCCTTTTTTCTCGCCAAAAGATAGACTGACGACTCTTAAAGGCAGGCCATCTCGACGTGAGCAATCATCCTCGCCTGACAATTATGAAGCAAGACATCATCACACATCATCGACACACCGCAGTAGCTCTCGTCGCCATGATCGTTCTCGTTCTCCATCTCGTCGTCATAGATCCCGTTCACCCCATAGAGGCAGTAGCAACAGACATAGGCATAGATCCCGTTCACCATCACATCACAGTAGCAGCCGTCGCCATGAGGTAAATATGCAGTGTCAATCGCATTTTGACATGAGGCTAAAACATCTATCAGAGATCATCATCACATCGCCATCGAAAGAAATCACCAGAGATTGTACACACTGGCACGCTGAACACGGGCATGACGTTTGTGATGGATAGAAGAGGAGATGCCGATAACTTGAGGTATGGAGGCAATCACATCTATTCAATACCAGAGTACAAGAGACGAGGAGGAGGAAGAGTGGTGGGATTACCGCTTGACAATCGCATTGATAACTCGGTTACCAAGGCAGGCCAAGTGTCTCTTATTGATCGATTCGATAAAAAGCCCTCGAGATACACAGATTCAAATTATGCTTGGAAAGAACTAGATAAGAGCCTCAAAAGGTAGGCTGTATGTCATGGTTGGAAATGAATACATGGACTTAGTAGCAAGTGCAGGATTCGCATCAAGCCAAAACACGACACACCAGATCCATTCGCATCACATGCAGACACCATTCCATTTGACAATCACCTCAGCAAACATGTATTAGAGAACGAAACCTACGCAAGTAGTGGAGTTGATTATCGATCATTAGAAGGAAATAAAGTGAAGCCAAGACAGCTAGATGAGGAAGAAGACGAGGAGGAGGGCGAAAGTTTCAACGATCATATACGTCAAAGAACTATTGATTTTAATCGCAAATTGGATCAGCAACCAGATAATGTGCAACTGTGGTTAGATTTTATTCGATTTCAAGATGAAGCAGCAGCAGGATTGGATCCCTCCATCACAACCACTTCTGCCAGCAGCAATAAATCCAGCTTGAACGAAGTCAAGTTGAGCATCTTTGAAAAGGCTTTGGATCACAACCCCACAGACGAAGAGCTGATTTATGAATACCTGACGTGTGGAGCAGAGACATGGGAGACACTGAAATTGCTGAGAGAATGGGACAAGATGCTGAAGCAACATCCAGACTCAATTCGACTGTGGGCTGAATACATCAACCTGCGCCAAACCAACTTTGCAAGTTTCTCTTACACTCAATGTGTCAAGGTTTTTGAAGATGCCTTATCCACATTGAAGCGACAAGCCCACCGATGCAAACAGGACGATGTGGAGCGACGACAAGACATTGAATCGTTGATGGTGTACATTTTACTTCGAGCTTGCTTGTTTATCAAGCAGTCTGGATACCAAGAAAAGGCATTTGCCATCATCCAAGCTGCAGTGGAATTCAACTTGTATCAGCCTGTTAATTTCACCATGAAGCAGCACTCGCTTGAAGAGAAAGTCAATGCATTTGTGGAGTTTTGGGACAGTGAAGTATTGCGGTTTGGTGAGGCAGGTGCTCTCGGATGGTGTGAATACTTTCGAGCTACAGACAACAGAGAGGAGATACTAGACACTGCATTGGATAAACCACCTACCAACGACAATGATGATGATAACGACATGCTGTCCTTGCAGGACTGGCTTGCTGCTGAAATGGAAAGCGAGCAAAAGAACCGCCTACCATTGCGTATGAATCAAGCTGAGGATGACAGTGTAGATGAGGATCCATACCGCATTATTCTATCCGATGATATCACTTCATTTTTGTTTGACACAACGACAGAAGATGCTCGCCAAAGCTTGATCTACAGCGTGCTCGTCTTTATGGGCTTGCCGTACACACCACCTCATGTTGGCACCAACACGCACTTTTTTACCGACACGTTTACGCACAACGAAATGGCACTGAACCACTTTTGGCCTAGCAAACCGAGCACAACAAAGCATCTTGTGTGGTACGTTGCTGGTGTCCCCATGAATCCTGAAGAGACCGCTTCCGAGGTGAACCCTTACTATATACCAAGCTCTTATCCTGTGGGTTTGAATGAATTGTTTGCTAAACCAGGCAACTGGTTTAAATGTGCAGGAAAAGAATACATACAGTGCGACGTGGACGAGGCATTTACAAGGTACGCATTTGTCTATCAACATTGCTTGTGAGGTCTGCTTACTGATCATTTTGGATTAGAACCGTGTTTCAACAATTACTAGCTGTCGAGAAATCAGAGCACTTGACGATATGTTACTTGGCATTTGAATCCAGTTGTGGTCAAAAACCGTAAGTTGCATGAATCATACTGCTTCTCAATATCTAACAAATTATATTCTCAGGGGTCGTCGATTAGCCAAGTCGTTATTGAAGGACCAGAGAACGAGCCTGACTTTGTGGAATGCCTATGCGCAAATGGAAAAAAGCCATGATCGTATGGATGAGGTAAGCCATCGCCATGATATAGTCAAAATGCCCCCCTAATAACCTTTATTGCATCATACACGATAGGCACGAAAGGTGTATTTGACTGCCTTGTCCATGTATCACACATTTCCAGAACATGAGCAAAGAAACGCACCTATCCTATACCACATGTTTGCCAAGCTGGAATTGGAGAACAACAGACCTCAAGAAGCACTCAAGATTTTAGCATCCATGTCCAGTAATGAACCCTACAGTAAGCATATGAAATGAAAAAAAGGGGGTATTGCAGACAAACTGATTTTCCTTTATTTTAGATGATCAAACGCCACCCCCAACGTCAACGTTAATTCTAAAAACCAGAGAGGTGTGATATTACAAATGAAGGGAGAGCTCTATTAAACTGACACTTGTGTATCTAGTACTTTACTCAGAAACTAGCGCAACTATCCACGTTATCGCAATCGCAATCAGAGAGACCCATTGCTATTAATATGGTAGCATGCTGTGGCTTATTTGAGTACTTGTCGAGTGGGTTGGACAGTGCATGCCTTGTGTATCAACGTGCGCTTGATTACATCAAAGAGCGTCAAGCAGAGCGAGGATATGAATCAGAGATGGTGTGGATTGATTACGCCACCCTGCTTTACAGTCATGCCACTACCAGCACTAGTTACAAACCGGGTTTATTACGACAAGCCATGGAGCAAGCGCTTACACTGTTTCCCAATAACACCATCTTTCTCGGCTTCTACATTTGGAACGAATCCAAAACCAAGATATTCAATCGAGTGCAGCATTTACTGAATGATGCGGTCAAGAAGTAGGGAGAGTGAGCGGGGTGATGCGTGTGGGCAAGATGACTGATATCACTGTGTTATGAAATAGGGACTCCAATGTTATTTTATGGCTCTCTGCCATCTATAGTGAATTGCACAAGTATACGCCATACCATGTCAACTCTGTCAGAGACTATTTTGAGAGATCGACGCAGGACACTCGTACAAGATCATCTATTTTGCTGTGGAAGTGCTATATTCAGTTTGAGTTGATGCAAGATAACACTCAAAAGGCTCGCAGCTTATTTTATCGTTCAGTTCGCGAGTGTCCGTGGTCCAAAGGTAAGCTGGCCAGTTGCTGTGTTGAATGAGGTGTCTGGCTGACATGAGATGGTTAGAATTGTACATGCTCGGGGTCAAGTCGTTTGGCGCCAACATGGATGAAAAGGAAGCCAACGAACTGATCAGCTTGATGATGGAGAAAGAGATCCGACTTCGCATTCCTATTGACGATGAGATGTTGACATGATGATAAATGTTGCCAAATAAACAAGCTGCTGGATTACATCAATACAGATTATGGGAGGTGCTACCTTTTATGTGTATAAATAAAGCGAGCATGAAAAAAATAAACACTTTCATTCTTTCTCACTCTTTGCTCTTTGCCGTAGAGAAATGAAACGTAGAAACACAATTGATAGTTTGCATGTCAATTGGCCCATTGTTCAATACTATTACACACACAACAATGGCAGCTGCGATGACATTTTGATCCAACATAAATCATTCGACACACCAAGACAAATCCATCACAATCAACCAAACCACTACAATAACCGTCGCAGGACGTTTCCCTTGGAGAAACCAGTTCCTGGAGGAAAGCTTCATCATCATCCTCAGAATCGTCGGCATAGTCATAAAATCCAAATCGTGACACCAACCCCCATTGTCCGTCGAGGGTCATCCTATCAAAATCAGCAACAGCAACAGCAGCAAAAACAGAAAAAGAAGAGAGAGACACTGGCTAACATCATATACAACCTATCACGAAGTAACAGTAGCACATTGACCAGTGGCAACATTTCCTCCACGATGAATCATGATGATACCCCCCGCGTGGACTCAGACTTGGACATCAAATGGGAGACAATCAGACAATACAACCCGCAGTTGGACAATGAAAAGATACTAGAGCAAGTCAGCCAAGATGAAGATGAAAGCTATTCATATGATTTGACATCTCAGGAACAAAGCAATCATGTGGCGGCAGTGGCTATGAATGATGGCAGTAACAACAGTAGTAGCGATGACAGTAATGGATTATTTCTTCCTGCTGGACAGGAGGAAAGTGGTGCCACTGGGTCAAGCGATGCAATGAGCATTCAAATGGATGCAGCAACCAACAGCCATGAGATGCCAGCCACGACAGCGATTGCACTCAAGACTGAATTACCTACTGCTATTACGCTCGTGCCCATGTCAAACATTGTCGACCATACAGACATGTTTCTCTTTTTATTTGGCTTCATCATGTTCCCTCTCTGGTGGATTGGCACATGGCGGTTCTTTATGCAATCAGACAAGACGTTTCTTCACAAGCAGCAAAGAGCCTTTCAGATAGTGAACTGTTGTATGGCACTGGCCAGCCTTTTATTAACCGGATTGATTATTGGTTTAGTTACTGTTTGGGCATAGAGCTTAAATCAGTTTTGATCTCTTTGATATCTTACACATGACCGTGAGACAATTTTTGTACCTTTTTTAATTTTTTTTTTTCCATCACTCACCATCTCACTACGCTATTTGCTTTTACTTTCCTCTCTCTCTTCTTATTACAATAAAACAAAATGTTGCGCTTTCAATCCACGTTTTCTCTTTCAAAAATTGCAGCAAGAGCCTCATTGAAGAATCAGGTTTGAATCATGCATCATAACACAGAAGAAATGCTAATAATGGCCGCAATTTACACTATAGATGTTAAAGAGAAACTATTCAAGAGCTGTAGTCTCTCCTTATTCCACTGATTTCGTAAAGATCGTCGAGGTCGGCCCAAGAGATGGTCTTCAAAACGAAAAGACTCTTGTCCCTGCTCAAGTTAAAATCGAATTGATCGAGAGATTAGCGAATAACGGCTTGTCAGTTGTGGAGGCCACTAGTTTTGTTAGTCCTAAATGGGTTCCTCAGGTAAGACACACTGCAGCAGTCTCAGTTACAAATTTGAAGACTGACACACACTTCCACAATGCCAGATGGGTGATAACAAGCAAGTATTGACCTCTATCAAGAAGAAGCCCGGTGTCTTTTACCCTGTCTTGACTCCAAACCTCAAGGGATTAGAAGGTGCTGTTGCTGCCGGAGCTGAGGAAGTCGCTCTTTTCACTGCTGTAACAGAATCATTCAACCGCAAAAATACAAACTGCTCCACAGAAGAATCACTTGTACGAGCCAAGGATGTTTTGAAAAAGGCATTGGATCAAAATTTGCGTGTGAGAGGTTATCTTTCATGTGTATTAGGCTGTCCCTACGAAGGCAAGGTCAATCCTGAAAAGGTGGCTGAATTAGCTAAAGAATTGTATGATGCTGGATGTTATGAGATCAGTTTGGGTGATACCATTGGTGTTGGTACCGCTGGTTCCATGGCTACTTTATTGGAGCATGTCCTCAAGGTTGTTCCTATTGAAGCTGTCGCTGTGCATTGTCATGATACCTATGGTCAAGCACTGGCTAATATCCTAAAGGCATTGGAGTATGGTGTTCGAGTCGTTGATAGCTCCGTTGCTGGTCTTGGTGGCTGTCCTTATGCTCCTGGCGCCAAGGGAAACGTGGCTACGGAGGATGTTGTTTACATGTTGAATGGCTTGGGTTTAAAGACCGGTGTTGACTTGGATGCTCTCATTGATACTGGTGATTGGATCTCTGAGCAATTGGGTAGACCTACCAATTCAAGAGCTGCTGCTGCATTGATCACTGCTCGTAAGAGAAGACAAGAGCTGGAAAAGGCTGCTTGTGTAGATTCGAAGGCTGCAAAGCTTTAAATTTATGAAATAAACTATTTGTATTACTAGAGAAGCACATCAAGATATATTGAGCATATTGGGAGACTAGAAGCTATCATCAAGATAAATTTGCTGATCCTAACTTTTAACTGAACATTATACCTAGATCCAAGCTTTAAAGTTTGGGCCATAATATACGTCTTTAGTGGGCAATGATGAACGTCCACTACGGATCCAGGTGGGTCCATGAAGTCTGCTTCCAATTTTACAGAAAGGTAGGCTACCGAGGGAGGTTCATGGGGTACAGTTTCAACATTTCGCCCTTTTCTGCTTAGGTCTCTCTCCTTTTTACTTGTTTTTATAAGGCTAGAGGTTACTATGGCCCCTTGAGTTGAATGCAAGAGCCTTGTGTTGGTTATTGTTACGTTTGGCGCAGAGAAAGTCGAAACCACTTGGTGAATAACTTGCTTCGTTGTGGTATGGCAAAGGTTTGAAGCTGTGCTGTTGAGCATTTTAGCCAGCTTTGAGTAATGAGCTTCATACGAGAGCCTGTTAATTACGAGAGATTACGCGTAATATATCGATGGACCAGATATTGGAAAAGGCTGTAGTCAAAACCCCTTGATCATTAGATGCTTCACATTTGATAGTACGATCTGCCTTGGCTAATTTACTATCTCTTTTCAAACTCTTTTATCAGAACTATACACATCACTACCGACTAGCCTGTAACAGTACGTAGTGGCAAGAAAGTGGATATTACGATTCGTAACAATGTTAAGCTATAAAAACATAAATTCTTGAAAGCAAAAACTAACCTAGATGCTACACACACTACATCCAAAATGTAAAATTTTAAAAAATGTTGTCCGGCTTACCTGATTCGAACAGGTGACCTAAAGATGACAGATTCACTACAGTCTTCCGCTCTACCAACTGAGCTAAAGCCGGATGGATGCTTGAATGGCTCACTTGGTTAGAGCTTCATGCGGAAGCAGTGAGTATGCCGAGAGGTCGTGGGTTCGAATCCCACCTTCGCATCCATATTTTCCGCCTTTCTAACCTGGCATGTTACTCGGTACTTGCGCTTGCACGTTTAGGTGTGCTGCGGTGCGTCTGGCCGGTTTCTACCTTGAGTCCTGTTCGTCTCCCCCGTCTTGCGGCGCGGCCATTGCCATTCCTCCCTCTGTTTCTCCTCCTCTCTGGTGGGTTTTGATGCCGTTTACTTTATTGGTCCCCTCCCTTTAGCAGCTTCCCTCAACCTTTAATTTAAACATGCTTTTTCCCGCCGAATCACTGTTAGTCTTGCAACATATGATCATACCGATTCCGCAGTTGACTACAATTGTAAATAAATAAAAATCCAATATTAAACTGAGCTAAAGCCGGGAGGCATCTCTTCCCGTTTTTCGACACTTTTTGCCACCCTCTTTGGAAAAAGTATCCTGAAAACCACAAAAAACGTAATATCTCATCATCCAGTACTCCAATCCACTCGAAATTGTACCAGTATACTTGCATCCATCAACAGTTTATTGTGTTATAATTTCAGAATTGTCGTACACCTGTTTCATATTTTTTCGAATTGTTGGAATTTCAAAAAATATTCAACGCCATGGACACCAATCTACAAGCTCTGGATATGAGTCACTTTCCAGCGATACTGCAACAAATCCAGCAACAACTTACTTTGGTAACAGAGAAAGTTAACAAGCATGAGGACCTCCTTACACGTTTGGCTGCTTTGGAACAAGAAAACAAGGATCTGAAAAAAATTTTACAAGGCAAGGACCTGGTTATTCAAAAATTACAACAAGGTCCAGTTACTAGTCACACCACTTCTCCTGGTTCGGGTCGACCCAAGGGGGGCGAAAGTTCCTCTATCCCAGTGTCTCCAAAGCCTCTCAAGGAAGCTCCTAATTTCGCCCAAATCGCTACTGCTGCTGCTCACAAGCCTGATCCTAAGAAAAAAGACAAAAAACGTCTTGCTGCTGGTCGTGCCTTTACCACTCCTGCTACCAAAGGTGTCCAGGGCTATCAATATGTATATATTGGTAGATCCCGAAAGATCCAACGTTCTGAAGTGCGTAAGCATCTAGCTAATGCTAGTGTTGATCTGGGTCGTGTCTTGGATATCTGCTTTCCTGCCTCCCATATTATTGGTGTTCTGTTGCACGTTCAATACGTTGAGGAATTTACTGCTTTATTGACCAAGGCTAAGGGTGAACTGTTTCCTGCTTTTGATCCATTGGACCCCAGCAATATTGCTGATCCCAAGTACGCCAGCCTCTCTGATGATGATCGTCATGCTCTGATCCACCAATTTACTGAAGCTCGCTGCCTGCAAACTTTGTCCTTCCTCCGCCCACTTAATGTTAGTGGTGTCGGTAAGTACTTTATACAGAAAGGTTGGATCTGCGATGAAAGTCTCTCTGTTGCCGTTGCTCAGGCCGTTGAACGCTTTGCTAAGAAGGAGCCCAAAAAGGCTGATTTCCTGTTCCGTCGCAAGCTGAACTCTGATTCCCAGGACAAGGCTGGATCTGATAGTGATATGTCTGATGTGGATCAATAATGAGTTCCTTCTCTGCCCCATCTATACTGCCTAATAGTGTTAATGTGCCTGTCTCCCCGGTTTTCGTCTCTCTTTCACTCTGGAATGCCAATGGTCTTCGCCAATCAACAGTCCATGATGTTCTCTCTCATGTACTGGATACTCAGGTTCTGCTGGTTACTGAAACTTGGCTTACATCTGGCTCTTTTCCAACAAACTGGTCTCAATTCCATCTCTATGGTTCAAAAGTACCTGGTGCTTTCAATCGTGGTTCTGGTGGTGTCACTGCCTTTGTCTCTCCTTCCTGTCCCTTCACTGTCTCCCAACTACCTTCTTATAATCCGCACACTCTGTCTCTAAAGGTTGGCACCCTTACGGTTCATTGTGTTTACTTTCCTCCACCCTTATCATCTGATAAGGTGCTCTCGGCCCTTAGTTCACTACCTATGACTAGGGATACTATCCTCTGTGGCGATTTCAATGCTCGGTTGGGTTCTCTCACTGGTGACGCTATCTCCAATGCTCGTGGTAATGCTCTCAAACCTTGGTTTGATGAACATTGCTTGTCTGTGCTCAATGCGTCTTTGGCTTTTGGCGTTACGACGTATTCTTCTTTTCGGCAGCAGCAAGAATTGAGTAGTGTCATTGATTTGTTTTTGACAAATATTGGTGATGTTGCGTTGGTGAATCCTCAACTGGTGGTTGAGTCTGATCTGTCTCTTGGTTCTGACCATCGATTGATGTCACTTACTTTCGGGTATGTGCCACCTCTCGATGACACTGTGGCTCCTGGTGATTCTGTTCTGGCTCCTCGGCGTCAATGGAAGCTCTCAAAATTGACGAAAGAGAAGCCTTTGGGCTTACTCCGTGAATCCTTTCGATCTTCTGTTGCTCCTCTGGTTGGTACTCTTTCTGGTTTGGTGTCTGCTCCTCCTGGTGTTCGTCCGGATATTGATGCACTCAACGATTCTTTGAATCAATGTTTGTATGAATCTCTGGATAGTTCTATTGGTGTAAAATCTGGTCGTCCTGGCCATTGGAAGAAGTACTGGACACAAGAAATTCAGGATGCTGTTACTGCACGCGATCGCTCATATAGTCAATGGAGGCATGCCTTTGGTATTGCCAAAATTGAAAAATGGTTCTTATACAAAGTTGCTCATCGCAAGTTTCGTTCCCTGGTACAAGCTGCAAAGCGAAGGTCCTGGCAACAATTTTGTACTGCCCTGGAGTGTGATTTCTCAAAAGCTACTGCTGCTATTAAGCGCATCAAGCGTAATAAAGAATCCTCTCCTACGTACAGCCACCCTGATGGTCCTGCTGCTTCTGTCTCTGCTATGGGTTCTCATCTCGCCTCGGTGTATGATGGCTCTCTGCTTGCCACTGCTACTCGTCCTGCTGCTCCTCCCACCTTTGACTCTGTTCTGCTTTTCTGTGTGCCTGTGGACATGTCACTGTTTGATGTTGATACTTTAGTATCTCATATTCGACGGCTCCCAACACATAAAGCTCCTGGTCCAGATCATATCAAGGCTGAGATGCTCAAGTCCTTGGTCTCTGAGATTGCTCCTGTCTTGTCGTTGCTCTTCAAGTTGTGCTATCAATGGTCGTATACTCCTGCTCTCTGGCGCCAAGCCCAAGTCTTTCCCATTTTCAAGAAAGGTGATGCTTCTGATCCCGCCAACTATAGGCCTATTTCTCTGACTTCTGTTGTGCGCAAACTGTTTGAGTTCTCTCTCATGCCTGAGCTGGATGCCCATTCTCCTGCCCTTGACATTGCCCAAGGTGGTTTCCGCCCTCAACGTAGTCCTCTGGATCAAGCCCTCTGCTTGCATGACTTGATGCATGATTACTTTGTTGCGCACCGTCGTCGTCCTGTCGTCGCTTTCTTGGATATCAAGTCAGCATATGACACAGTCGATCGTCGTGTTATCTGTGTGGAATACATCCACTATGATCTGCATTCCGACAGTTCATCCAGTTACTAGATTTAGATATAAACTGTATGTACGCTGGATTAGATCACTACGGCCCAACTGATGTTCTCACAGAACATGGATGTGCTCTTTTGGGAACATCGATGTTCTCATGAGCACATTGATGTTCTCATTTGAGAAGGTGTAGTTTTCCACATGAATAAAATGGTTTGAATAGCTAAACTATAAAACTGTAGGCCACTACGGCCCAACTGATGTTCTCACAGAATATCGATGCGCTCTTTTGGGAACATCGATGTTCTCGTGAGCACCTCGATGTTCCCATATCAGAACATTTGGCTTTACACTGTGAAGATAGTTATCAGATATGCGCTTTTAAATGGTATGGTCAGACTTTTTGAGTTCTTTTGTTTATTTTTCGTACCGAACGCCAATTCGTAGCATCATTATCTACGAAGTTAGAAGCCTCCAAACTTGCTCAATTTGAAACAAATCAGGAGAAAAAATCACGTGACCCGAGTTTCTGGTTACTTTGAGTCGCTATGTCAAAGTGGTAATATTCCTGACTAACAAACTGAAGGTCGCCAGTTCGAATCCGAGCAAACTCGTTTTTTCTTCGTTGGACGTTAACCTTGCTGGGTTAATTATGCTTTTCTCAAAATGCTTTGATGGTCAGTGATGCGGATCCTTTTCTTTTATTATTTTTTTTTATAATTATTTTGCGCATGCCTTCATGGACAACAAAGCTGTAAGAGGTATACAAGTATGATTAATGAATGTAGCTATGTATTGTATTGACAAATGTATTATCTTTTATTTCGTAGCCTCAAGTGGGTAGTTTTACGCGAAAGCAAAAAAAAAAATCTGTATGCGATTTCAATCCTCGTTAAAGGTTGCGAATATCGCCAGCATCGATCGACATATCTTGTTCAAACGCATGGTAGTTTGCAATGACGCTAAAGTGCAAGTCGTTATCCAAAGATTTCACCAATCCCACTTGCATCTCAACATCGTCAATAGAAATGACAGCATACTTGGGATCAATCACTCTCGGCACCCTTCTTGCAATTTGTTGTTCGACAGGCTCATTCATACGAACAAAAGGGACAGACCTGTCGTGAGAAGCAACACCATGATTTTTCATGGTTTCAACGAAAGCCAAAAAGTAGGTCGACCCATCATAGACATGTTGGAAAAAGAATATCACTCGCGAAACAAACCAACAGGAGACAGGGTGGTTAAGTCGATTGAGGCGAGTTGACCTAAACATGACCAGATGGTTGCTTCTACGAAACTCATGCATCTTCTCTCTGTATATTTCTGATCCTATGGCAGTAGAACCGATTAGAGCACGATGGGCAACCTTGATGGTCATTGACAATGGACTGTTCAGCCTTTGAAGTAAGAATATCTTGCAATAGTATTTCGACAAAGCACGCTTGAATCTTGCAATTGGAACACCATGGAGTTCAGCACGATCAGTACCATCGAAGCCAAAATGATGATCCAAATTTGTCTCTTCTTGATCAGGTTCCCACAACTGTGAGCTTGTTAGAGATTCTGGATGATTGAGGTATGTGGTGGATGCATATGGCTGCGGTCGAATGCCTTGGAGGAACTCATTTGAGTCGAAGATCCTTTTCAGCTGGTTTCTGATTGCAACAATTTCAATCAAGTTGGAAGATTGCTTGCCTGTCCTTGACTTGCCAGTTATCAAATCACCAAACTTTCCAATGCTTCTGTAAAATGGATGATGTTGTTATGTAAGTAACTGGATGTGTGTGATAAACATAGCATGTATAGATGACTAACCGTTCTTGACTTCGTGAGGAGTAGGCTACAATTGGCCCCATTTCTCTTATCATCCACACTACATGTGTAAGCTGATGCATTACGGGACGGAAGACCGAAAGTGACAAGCACATGGCATCTCTCTGAGCTTTGCAGTAGTCAATGAAGAAGTCAATGCATTCATCAATCTCTGCCAACCTAGACTCAGTGAACTCCCATTGCAATGCAAGACAGACGCCTCTAACCAGCTTCATGATTGCTTTCCTAGCCTGTGGACTGGCTAATTCTGGGACAAAGAGAGTAGGTATGATGGTCTATTTCAAATCAGAATAATCAGATCCTAATTCACGCCTTACATGTGTACGTTTGCAGATTACAGTGGATCTGATCTTACCAGCAAATTATCAAGATAGTCAACACTGCGGGTGCCTCGTAGCTTCTCCACCAGATTCAAAAAGCTTCCATCAAATGCAACTGGTATATGTGATCTTGTGTCCTCAATTGCTTTGCCAATCTCGAACAGCCGTTGCTTTGGAATGAAAAATGGATAATTTTCTCGCTCCAATTCACCATCTGGATATGTGTAGAAGAACTTTGTGTTGTTCGGAGACAGGTCGACAGTGAGCATCTCGAAGAGTTCTGAACCAACACCTCGTGCTAATGTATGCATTTCTTCGAATCCAAAGCATTGGGGTGCAATGCATGACGATAGCTGATTGAAAAGGCTGACACCGTTGAATCCAAGGTTGGACTCAGCCCTCTCGTAATCTTCATTCGTACGCATGCTTCCAGCATTTGGAAAGTACATTCCATGGCTGCGATTATCAGGGTGCATGCCACGCGAAAGACACCAACGACAGCCATACTCAGATGCATGATGAGCACACTTGCTCCAGTCAAACACGGCTAGAATAAAGCAGGTAGGTAAATCAATTTCATGTTAGCCATTGTGGATGCTGATTAGTTGCTTTATCAATCAGGATATTTACCTGGAGTATCACCACCACAAATTAGAGGATGAACCTTCAAACGAATTGGCCCAGCATCATTTGTTTCGACTACCATTCCATACGTAGAAAGCCACTGGAGCTCTGCCAAGATGATGGAAATGAACGAGTCAAATGATTTGGGCTTCTTTTTTCCTGGAAAGATACAAAGCTCGTGCGTGTACTCCTCCTTGTAACGCTTGTGTGGATCGTAATTGAACACCATCAGATGAATAATTGTGAATAGCCGATCACCTCTCTTTTCAACTACAAAGCCATCATTCATGATCGCAACTGCGATATCCAGGTCATTTGTGAAATGCGTATTCTTGATGGACTTGTACGTGGCGCCGTCAAATACGTCAGCAATGATAACATCGGATGGATTCTCTTCAAGGTCTCTGTTGTCGTAGGCATGTCGGTACCGAAGCTCCTCTCTCGTTATTGGATTCGCAACTAATCGTGATACGATGTCTCCAATTGACATGACTTTCATTGTTGACAGGGCTCGATGATCTCCCCGTGCATCGTATCTTTCATGGGAACAAATATTACAAATTGTCTCCTCGTCGTCTACTTCCAATGCGTACAGCTTGCAGCCATTGATACACACATCATATTCATGGGATGTCAACGATGATTGGCGCTGAAGCATGCTTTGCACACGAGGGCCATGCATGATCTCCGGATTGCTTTCTATCAGTTCATGGGGGGAGGATCGGAAGCTGGTGAGTTATTGTATAAATGACATGTCATTGCAATGCGAATTACCTCGACTAATTTTTTCTGTATCTCTCAAAACAGTGTTCATCAACCTGACCAACTTTCTGTATGCATCCCGTGGTATAGCAAAATCATTGACGATATCATACAGCTCAATCGAAACCAGTTCTGTGGTTGTATATGTATTTTGGTTGATGTCTTCGAGGGATCTGCAATCGTAGAAGCAAGCCTGATCTTCTGCATCTGGGTCGACTACTCCAACTGTCTTGTATTTGACATTTAGCAAATCAAATTCAAGCCCTGGTTCTTCTGGATTGTCTCCTGTTATCGCATGTGTGGAATCCGCTATTGTGAGTATATACATCTACTTTAGCGCTGCAATTCCTTACCATTATTATCGACAATAGGCAGCAGATCAGCAGCACCCGGCGTCTGTTCAAAGCCTGCGTAGTCATAATCAGCATCGTCAGCAGCAGGAATCATTTCTTCAATATCACTCATGGCATCATCATCATGCAGCTGGTTTGCATGATCTGAATTGGCTGTGACTAGCGCACTGGGGGGAGATTGTGGCTGTATCAGCGTTGTTTCCACTGGAGGTTGCTCTTCCATTTCAACATCTTGATCTTCATTCAAAATGGGAGCACGACAGTTTCGGCGATGGTTGCGTAGAGCACGGGCACTGTCAAAGCTGGTATAGCAATTTGTACAGAAGGATGGCTCTGTTTCTCGTGATATACGGATTGAGAATGACATGTTTGGAGAAACCAAGAAAAATAGGCAAGTAAAAACAAATTTCAAGTGGCAGCTTTATATACTAATTCAAGTTTTATTTGCGCTCGCCAACAAATGCGTTTATCATCGTTTACAAGCAAGTGATACGTAGTCTTGCATATAACGTTTGGTAACTCAAAGTCCAAGATCAAGTAAGGAACGTGTTTCCTATGATGTGATATGTCGCCTCAGGCTACTTCTACGTCATTTCACTTTCAACATCATGTCAAATCGAGTGGTATTCACTGTGCACATATGCTTATACTATGGGCGTACAATGAGGTCAGCATTACTTGCATGAAGCCTGTGAACCGAATGACGTTCAACAACGTGGTGGTGTGTGCGCAACGAGATATACGGTACAACACAACTCTGAACATATCTTTTCTTTGCTTACTAAACTTTTATTATCAGCGCGAACCATGAACAACAACAACAACAACAACAACAACGCTGCCAGCATTGACTTCACCGCAAGACTCTTGCAAGAAATGATGGCAATGAGATCCGAAATCAGCCAACAAGGCGTACAACTGAACGTCTTGAATGATGGATTTCGACAGCAATTCATGTCGCCATTGGAAGACGCAGGCAGCGATTTGGCAACAAGAAGCATCCTGGATCCCACTTACAGAAGCCAGGTACTATCAAACAGCAACAGAAGAGGTCCTCGGGTAATTGAAGCAAACCCTACCGGCAGGGCCAGAGCTTCTCCTGTGGAGAGATACAACGCAATGCTCCAGCATCTACACAAACTATGCAATGGGGCATCTGTACCCGATTTGACACCAGGGCAGCTCAAATCGCGCAGGGAGAAGCTCCACCGCACAGCAAAGAGGGTCTTGGAGGCTATACTGGTGATGCATCCGAATATCTCGCATTGGAATGCCCTGGACCATGTGCAGGATGAACAGGTATATTACAGCCTGGCACTGGAGGAGCAGGCCCTGCAACGGGACAATCTCATGATTTGTCTCTGCAAGAAGCAGTGGTGTGCCAGGTTGTTGCTCTCCCAGGCCTTCAAAGCAAATAGAGCAAGCAGAAACCGAGCTGCTGCTGCTGATGCTGCTGCCAATGTTGCCAATGCTGCCAATGCTGCTGCCAATGTGTCTTTGCAAGAAAACGAGGCAAGAAGCCATCTTCTGGTAAGTAGCTCCTATTATTTGTTTTGGCCATGGCTAACATCTAAGTATTGGAAACATTTCAAATGCTTTTAGGAGACTGAATCAGCAATTGTTGGAGACAGTGATATTGCCCAGCTTGCTCAAACTGCCGGTGTTGGTAATGCTGAGGATGATGACAACCTTAGTACTACTAGCAATATGTAATGGTGTGTGCGTTTGTGAGATCTTGTATATTTCATCCAAAATAAAATTACTTTGCTTTTGTACATTTGATGCTGCCTTGCTCTATTGGGATTTGAGATGATGGATTAGCTGCGATGCCACATTTAAAATCACATTTGATAGGTCACTTCAGCTTAAAAAGTTACTTGATTTGGTTACATCAGTCTGATACTGTGCATGATTAGAGCGTGTTTCTATATTTTTAGATCGAAACTTTGTATATTTAGGTCATCCCTTGAGAAAAAAGTGCTTTTGTTTCTCTTTTTTCTTCATTTTTCATCTATTTTCACTTTAATTCTATCAGCATAAGAGACATGTGCTCTGTAGCAGCAAGAAGAAGAGGCAGCATTTACCGTCCATGGCTTTAAAGGTGGAGGCTAGGTTTCAATGCCATTGAAGAAGGAATACCATTTCAAATGTGCGCCGTGGGAAGCTTCATATCCCTGCCATAGTATCCAGGATGGAATCTTCATTTACATCCTTTCGAAACAACAAATTTATGGTATGTCCAATGCTTCTTGCCATATAAAAGCTAACAAATATCTTGTAGAAATGTAAAGGCGACTTTGCCAGGTCAATTTCGATGTCGCAAGTATGCCATTTGGTTAACCGTTTCCCTCCATCCTGCTGGTTCCATTTATCTGCTTTCTTGCTATCACTGTTCAAGTAGTAAGTCATCTTTTGCTGCATCATCAGGAAAAATCAGTCGTTACTCACCTGATAAGTTAACTAGTGCCAGCGTCGAGTGGGTCTGGCGGGTTTGGCTTGATAACTGAGCACATCTCTTGCATACTTTATGGATCCCCTTTTGCATCCAGTGAACAATGGCAGATGCTTCATAGTTGAATGATGCGGTCTATACATCTGATTCTTCTGACGGCATAAGACGCATTAACATTCGTTCGATGTTTTCTTTTCAAGAATGTCTGCTCCCAATGAGTCGCTGCCTGGTGGTGTGCTGTACTTTCTATCTGTCTTGTGAAAGAGGTATTGTAGTCATTACGCCTTTGCTGGAACGCTTTACTAACTTGATTCAGTTCACATCTTTGCTGATAGGTACATGCACATCTTTGATATTATGCTGGCTTTTGTACAATTCGTTGCTCTACATGGAACACTGTTGATGGCTTCAACCTTTTCATTCTATGCTCTCTCTGGATCTCGCCTGGAAACATCACTTTTATATTGCCCTAAAAACTGATAATATTGGGAAACACGAAACAGTTCATACTGATCCAGGCTATTATTCTCAATTATCTTTGACTCTACTATAGCCTACAGCATGACCATTACCACTACAAGGCTTTACTATTGCACGTTTTTGGCACGTAGCCTTCGTTTACCCATTAAAATTAACCAATAATAAATGTATAAATATTTAAACCACAATTTCTGAGCCAATGAAAGCTGCCAATATTTAAACCACGAATTATGGGCCAATAAAAGCTACAAATATTTAAGCTGATTCAGACCTTCAATGATCCCATTTCAGCTCATCGATAGGTTCATGCGCGATCATGAATGTTCTCATTTGAGAACATGGATTTGCTCATTTAAGAACATCGATATTTTGATTTGAGAACATCGATGCGCTCATAAACAGCTACATTTGCTCTTATTTAAGAACATGGATGTGCTCATATGGGAACATCTCGGATGTTCTTATGAGAACATCGGCCGACTTATAATAGATCTTTAGGAACGCCGATGTTCCCATATGAGAGCATTTTCCACTTTTTGGGAACATCGATGCTCTCGAATGAGAACATAAAATAGATTCTTATATGAGCACCTCGATGTTCTCATGAGAACATCAGTTGGGCCGTAGTGTAGGCAACAGAGAGACTTTTATTATCTGTAAGATTCATAAAATTACTAAACGTATTATAAATTGCACGAGAAAATGGCAATTTAAAGTTACCTAATAACTACTTATTAAAGTAAAAGAATATATTTCGATAAGATATTCGGGTAGTTTAGTGGGAAGAACGTCAGACCCACAACCTGTCGGTTGTGTGTTCGACCCCGGTAGGAGCATTCTTTTTTTTTCAAATTTGTGAAAATCGATGTGCTCATATAAGAATATGAATGTGCTCACATGGGAACATTTCGGATGTTCTCATAAGAACATCGGCCGACTTATAATAGATCTTTAGGAACGCCGATGTTCCCATATGAGAGCATTTTTCACCTTTCGGGAACATCGATGTGCTCATTTGGGAACATCAAATAGATTCTCATATGAGCACATCGATGTTCTCATGAGAACATCAGTTGGGCCGTAGTGGATGTACGATATCGATTTATACTATAAGAAGATATGGACTTCAGATACGCTAGTACTATAAGATTCATACTATATAAGATATAGGCTATAGATGGCACCACGGACATGGATGGCACTATAGACTTATACTTGTATTCCGACATTGACTACGGATGTTTACCATATCTGGATAGGCACCAAGATTAATGCAATATGAGCTTGTTGCTTCAGATGTGCACTTCATGATCCACGCTATAAGACACATGCTTATATCCGTGATACTAGCTACAGATACTTTATGTACTACAGACTTGTACTATATATGAGACATGCTATAAACATGCATACGATATGCTATAGACATGCCATATATCCAGATACATGCTAAAGATGTATGCTTAGCGATATATACTCAGATATGTACTATTAATATAGACTAAGTAGACTGTACCTATCGGATACTTGCTACTAGATCGATATTAATTATCCTTATAGAAAGGATAGATCAGGGTACTTCGGATGAGAGTCTAATTATTCATCCAGACAGAGCTAAATCATGATTAGCTTGCTGGAGTTGTCTTTTAGCATGATTAGACATTAGTTGATCTGAGTTGACTTATTTGTTAATCTAATTAATAGAACTTTTATCCATTGTTATAGTATATAAGAAGGATCATCTACCTGGCCAGTAGAGAGACTTCAGTTTACTTTACACCTGTCAGTTTGATAATAAAATATACCTTTATCAAGTTGACATTACTGTTTTTTTATTCTTTTTTTTCCGTGAATTTTAGTCTATCAAGCCTCAAATTCCACAATCTGGTCTGCTTTGGCTGGTTCTAGTCTTCCTCGTGCTGTTCTGGGTCTGTTGATCAACATGTTTGATGATGTGTCTGTTTCTGTCTTGATTGCTAATCACAACTCGGTTGCTTTCTCTCCTGTTACTGGTGTTCTGCAAGGCTCAGTGCTCAGTCCCCACTTGTACTCGTTGTATATCAATTCTTTACCGAGTCTTTTGCGTTCTGGTGCTACTGGTGCTACTATGCTGCCTGTGCCTGGTGCTGATGCTCCTATTGCTATCAATAGTCTCCTGTTCGCTGATGATGTGGCTGTCTTTGGTTCAAAGTCTGAGGTTCAGCGTATGTTGGATCTTGCTGCTGGTCATTCTGTCTCTCTTGGATATAGGTGGAAGCCTTCCAAATGTGCTGTGCTTGGTACTGCTGCTGCTCTTGCTGGCTCTCCTCTGGTACTATACAATGAAGCTCTGCCTGTCGTTGACGAATTTACATACCTTGGTATGCCATTCCGATACAAAGGCCTGCATGCTCCTGGTATTCTGTCTCTGCGTTCTGCTGGTGCTGTCAAGACCATGGTTCTGTTAAACTCTGTTGGTGTCAACCGCAATGGTTTCTCTTTGCTGCTCTCCTCTCGCCTGTACAGGACATTTATTCGTCCTAAGCTTGAATATGGTCTGGCTATCTCCCATCTCTCTGCTCGTGATTTTACTGCTATGGATACTTTGCAAAACCGACTTGTTGGCATGTTTGTGGGTAGTACTTGGGTCAATGTCGCCAAGCACATTACCTGTCTCCCCAGTATCAAACATCGCTACAATGTCCTGGCTACCCGTTTTGCTCTGCGTGCTGATACTCTGCCTGACGATTGTCTGCTGGTTCTGCTTCGTGCCCATTTGCACTATACAAGGTTGGATCGTTTTATATGTGAAAACCCTCTGTATCAGTCGCTGCCTGACCCTGTTCCTTCTTCTGCTGGCTTGCGCACTACCTTTGCTGCCTATTGGCAAGATCAGGTTGATCTCCAGCTCTCTGCTGCTACTGTCACTGGTCGTCATACTTTGCTTCGTGCTTGTCGTCCTGACACCATGAGGCCTGATCCCATACTTTACCTGCCTCTTGGTCGTATTGCTCGAAGTCGTTTGGTCCGTTGGCGCCTTGGTCGTTTCACAAACATGCGAGAGGAGTGCCCATGTATGTCACCTGCAGGTGTTCACATCTCTCGTGATCACTTTTTGTACTGTCGTGCTCTTGATCCTGACTTGATCGATGCCTTGCCGCCTGCTCCACCTGGTGTGCACCGTATTGGCCATGCTCTTAATTGCCTGCCAACCACTGCCTCTGCTGGTCTTCCTGCTTACTGGTCTGCTCTACTGAACCTACTGTATGCTATCGATTGCCTTGTGCATCCTCTGGCTGTCATTGCTCCGGATCCAGATCCAGCGTCTCTTTGGTACTCTCGTACTGGTTGATCTGACAGGGATGAACATGTTCCATTGTTGTTTTCTACGTGCGGCTCCTCGGTGGTAAGTCATTATCAAAGTTCCCATCCGTTGGTTGTCCCTCGAGATCCTCAATGTGAGCATCACTAGTCTCCATGTCCTGCACTCTTGTCACTGCATTTTTTGTCCTTTTGAAAGTGCTCTGGAGGATTTTTTTAGTTACTTGTTCTATATTTGTTCTTGAAATTAGGCTATGCTCCCATCGAGTGCCCACTAAATTTCATATAAATAAAAACCAATCTTAAACTGAGCTAAAGCCGGGACTTTTTGCCACCCTCTCCGTAAAAAGTTTCCTTAAAATCACGAAAAACGCTATTTTCCCAACAATCAGCAACTCAATCAACTCCAAAACTATACCAGTATACTTGCCTTTAGTCTCTGTCTATTGTGTTATAGTTTCAAGTTTATTGAACATCTCCTTCATATTTTTTTGGATCTTCAACAATTTCTAAAAAAATAATCAGCAATATGCCCGAGTTTCAGCACCCAACTGATATGAATCAGGTTACTGTTATCATGCAACAGTTACAACAACAACTTGCCTCTCTCTCTGAACGTGTTAATCAACATGATGGTATTTTGGCTCGTCTCGATGCTTTGGAAAAGGAAAACCAAGCCTTGAAAAAAATTTTACACGACAAGGATCTGGTCATTGAAAAATTGCAAGCCACGTCACAGGATTCTGTTACAAGCACCCCATCAAAGGGGCATCTGGATCCACCACCTCTGCTACTGCCACCACTGATTCTGGTACTATTAGCTATTCTGCTATAGCTAAGAAGGCTGCACATCGCCCTGATCCAACTAAAGCTGCTAAGAGAAAGTTGGCTGCTGGTCGTCTCTTCAAAACGTCTGCTGCTAAGGGTCCCCAAGGATATCAATATGTATATATTGGTAGATCTGGTAAGATCTTACGCTCTGAAATTCGACGCACTCTCAAGGCCATTGGGGTGGATACGTCTCGTATCCTCGACATCAACTTCCCTGCCTCCGAAGCTATTGGTATTCTCCTGCATACCCAATATGTTGCTGAATTCTTGGCTCTGCTCCGTGCAAGTGAATCGGAAATATTGGAGGATTTTGACCCGTTGAATCCTGCTAATATTGCCGACCCACAATACGATGCCTACTCTGAACACGATCGAATGGATCTTATTGCTGAGATGGTCAATGCTCGCAGCGTAGATGCTCTGTCCCACATCCGCCCACTGAATGTGAGTAGTGTTGGCCGTTGGTTCCTGGATCTTGGATGGATAGTGTTGAGGATATAGATCATCTCTGAGAGGCAAATGCATTAAGCGTCGTTTATTACATAAGAGGATCTGAGAATGAGCTGAGATGCATAGTAGAAGTGAGAGGTCTTTATTCAAGCAGCACGAAGGAACATGAGTGGTGCCATCAAATGGCTAATCTATATCCTGGTTCCTAGAGAGTGGTAGCCTATGGTCTTTCGTCCCTGGAAGTGGGTTTCAATTCCGACAAATGTTCTTCCGTCAAAGCTATTAGGAAGAACATTCTATCCTGGATCATCTTTGTTGTTTATCCTTGACTGGTGGTTCATGAGTTCTGATGCAGCACATCCTTGTTACTGGTTCAAGGCTTATACAATTATCCCGCATGTGGAATTTGAGGCTTTACAGACTAAAATTCACGGAAAAAAAAGAATAAAAAGACAGTAATGTCAACTTGATAAAGGTATATTTTATTATCAAACTGACAGGTGTAAAGTAAACTGAAGTCTCTCTACTGGCCAGGTAGATGATCCTTCTTATATACTATAACAATGGATAAAAGTTCTATTAATTAGATTAACAAATAAGTCAACTCAGATCAACTAATGTCTAATCATGCTAAAAGACAACTCCAGCAAGCTAATCATGATTTAGCTCTGTCTGGATGAATAATTAGACTCTCATCCGAAGTACCCTGATCTATCCTTTCTATAAGGATAATTAATATCGATCTAGTAGCATGTATCCGATAGGTACAGTCTTCTTAGTCTATATTAATAGTACATATCTGAGTGTATATCGCTAAGCATACATCTTTAGCATATATCTGGATATATGGCATGTCTATAGCATATCGTATGCATGTCTATAGCATGTCTCATATATAGTACAAGTCTGTAGTACATAAAGTATCTGTAGCTAGTATCACGGATATAAGCATGTGTCTTATAGCGTGGATCATGAAGTGCACATCTGAAGCAACAAGCTCATATTGCATTAATCTTGGTGCCTATCCAGATATGGTAAACATCCGTAGTCAATGTCGGAATACAAGTATAAGTCTATAGTGCCATCCATGTCCGTGGTGCCATCTATAGCCTATATCTTATATAGTATGAATCTTATAGTACTAGCGTATCTGAAGTCCATATCTTCTTATAGTATAAATCGATATCGTACATCTAATCCAGCGTACATACAGTTTATATCTAAATCTAGTAACTGGATGAACTGTCGGAATGCAGATCATAGTGGATGTATTCCACACCGCATTCAAGATCAAGGTCCTATTGCTGCGGCACTGTCAAATAACTATAAATACCTTTGATATCTACACTAGTTTTGATCCCTATTCAATCTTGGAATAACATAATAAATATATTCAGTTCTAATTGTATTCACTCTGTCTATATTTCGTTATTTTAAACAACTATTTCATTACATTTATGAAAACAAAGCACACTCCAGTAGCTTTGATATTTGCAGAGAAAACTGGCAATAAGTGCAATTTGGCAAAACACTGGAACGTTTTTTTCGCGCACTGTATAACTTTCCTTGAATAAATATATTTAAATGACATTCCTCACGTCGAACTATTATGCAATGGATGCTAGATTAAACGCTTGCACCTTAGCATACTCTTAAATAAAGAAGGAAGCTTTAAATTGTACCTATTTCGCTACGGTTTTATTACAAATATAAATTTATTAAGATGAAAGCTTAATAGGAGATCAGCTAGCTGGAATCCTTCGGTCTCTGAACTTCTGAGCCAATCAAATCGCTAAAAAACTCCGCTAACCTAAAAAAAAATTTGCGAGGGTTTCCCCCTGTTTTGATGTGAGGCAAAATTTTAAGCGCCGCTATAATAGCAATATAGCCGCTGCTATCATCAAATTTCCCCCAGGTGCTAGAGCATGCCTTACTTACACCACCTAGCTTTAAATCCTGTCATTGAGACCCTCAATCATCACTAAAGTAAGTAGCGATAACCAAGTGGAGGCAGCCTATCCACCTCCTAGCCTCGGATAGAGTCTTGTTGAGCTTCAGCGATAGGCACATCCACACAACGTAAAGAGGTATGCTTCAAAAGAAACACAATAATAAAAGAAGCGAACATAATAATACTATAGAAGTATAGTAGTATATGTAGGCAAAAGAAAAAAAGAATGCTCACACGAAGTGAGCCAAAGGAAAGTATGTTATGTATAAAATATTAAAAATGTTTACGTTATTATATTCTTGTTATTGCAACAAAAATACATACATGAGCAATGTGCATGATAACAGTCTGATGATGTAAAAGAACACAAATGCGCACAATTGCAGGAGCAACAGTAGCACCAGTATAAGTATGTAATACAACATGAAGACCAATGCTGTTTTCATGTGAAGCGACAAAGGCAACACAAACAACAATCCACGGTTATATAACAAAGTATCACAAGGGTAATACAATTATAATATATCAGTGTATCATGCTTGTTGTTCGTAAATACGAAGCAACAACATTGCAAGTATTTGTTGAGCTGATCATATCACAGTCAACCAAAACGAAAGAAAAAAAAAAGCGCAACAAGGCAAACATTACGAATGCATTATCACGATAAAGCAAGCAATAATACAAACGTTCAAAGAAGATTTATATCATTGCGACCAGAAGAAAAAAGATACTTACCACTTACCACCACCGTAGATAGACCATAGGATACGCAATCACCGAATATAGACCAGAGAACGAGCAAGCAACTAACACAGTAGAGCAGGAAAGACCATATTAGCAGCAGCAGCAGCAGTAACACCAGTACCATAGACAAACTAAAGAACGAACGCCATCAGTAGAGAACAGACAAAGACCAAAGAAGTTACTAACTGCTTATCGGCATCGCAGATAGACCAGAGGATATGCAATCAACAGATATAGGCCAGAGAACGAGCATGCACCTAGCACAGTAGACCAGGAAAGACTATATTAGCAGCAGCAGCAGCAGCAGCAACACCAGCATCATAAACAAACCGAGGAACGAACGCCACCAGCAGAGACCAGACAATGGCCAAAGAAGCAATCACCAGACATGATAAACCAAAGAATCAGGCGGCAGAGATGACAGAGAAGTAACGGCAGCAGCACTCACTCAAACAAGCAAGAAATTATTAAAACCTAATAAACAAACTGAATTAGTGTTAATTCTACGCCTTCCAGTGCTCGTTATCAAATGGTACCTAATATATTCCATTCCAAAGAAGCAGTATCAAGTTCTTCCAACAGTACAAGACAGATTTATCGGTGCTAGAGTGTTATTATCAATCAAACGATGTCCAAAAACACCATGGTTTGATACTAAAACGCGTTTTGCAAAAAGGGTAAAAAACGGGTCCATGAAAAAACGAGAGAGCACCTTATCCGACGTCACGACCAGTAGATTTAGTCTCAGTCTTGTATGGTAGCAGCAGTAATTGCGGCAATTTAATTTGAAATTATGCAGTGGTATTTTCGTGTTCAAACTTAACTTGATCTCACATCTTTTAAACGTTTTTGCTAAATTTGACTATGAAGACTGTCGTGTTTACACCAAACTTTCTAATACATCTCTAGAGGACTAAAGAAGCCGCATCGAATGGTGCCAATTTCTTTCAGCTTTCGGACCAAAAATAATGAGCAATTTCCAAAAATATGAAAACAGGTTCTCTGTGAATATGTCAAAATTTAGCATATGAAAGTCTCATAAAAGTAGTCTCCAATGTTGCATTTCATCTTTCTGATTAATTTAATCTAATATGTATCATAGGAAAAGTCTTCACTTTTGACGTGAAAAACGCGATCGTTTGATTTTCAAAAATTTTCCCTTGCTAATACTCATGGAGATACAATGATTTTCATGAATTTGCAATAACCTAAAAAATTTTGAGATAAAGCATCAGGAAGTAAAGCGCAACCAAGGGGAGCTGTTTGGTGTTACTCCAAGCGCACAAAACGTTTTGTGGCATGAGCTATTTGTGTTTGAAAATGGTTAAATTCGGACAGAATTTGACCTATAAGTAAGGTGTTGTAAGTTGCTTGCCAAACCAGTAGGTAAATCACATCTCTACTTGATGATTCAAATATTCAACATTGTACAAAGCTCAAGTCCTAAGTGATAGATGCTTTTATTGTAATTCTGAGGCATAAATATTTCGGTTTGAAACGCATTATTACAGTAATTTGAAGACTTGAGCGTCAATAATATTATGCAAACTTGAATCTAACAACTTGCTCGGACTGAATGAAGCGCTTGTTAGGTCAGCAAGGCACTTTTGATGGTCGTCCATAACAGAAATGCCGTATCTAGCCTTAAAACTAGACTTAAAGTCTATCCAGAGGATGAGTTATCCTAATTCATGTAGTCCCAGAAACAAACAAGCTGTAGCAACAGCCCAATTGGCATACCATTTGTAATGCACAATACATAGATCGAGGAGCTTGATGTCTATATTATTGATGTCGCGTTTTTCAGCAAGGCCTCAAATGCAAACAAAGATCAAGTTTTAACGCAAATTACTACTACGTCAAATCATGAAAACCAATTAAGCTGCCAAGTGAGTTGCTGGTTCCCTCATGGTCGCATGTTCATGTCAATAGATAGCATCTATTGTGCTATCACGCAGTTTTTTTCTTTCAGAGCCTCGTCTTCATTTCACTCCCTTCAATTGTTTGAATAGTACTTGTATTCCTTTAACGTACAATGAACTATACGATGTCCTTGCCTCAAAATGCTAGTATCTTTTGGCTAGGCGCAATGAAGAGTTCCAGAGATAAAATGCTACTGGTTTGGTATATGCTTTTCTTTGAAGACACCCATTAGTTATAGACTAATTGTGAAGGCTAGCATCCATCCTGGCTCTCTGGCCTTGACTTGGATAGCAATAATAGCAATCTGGCGTTTATCCCTTGGGATAGTGACGAAATAAGCAAAGAGACTACATCTTTGTTTACATTTACATCATTGAGCATATTGTTTATTTACATATAGTCAAGACAGAGAACACTGGCTATTGTTGTCTCGAAAAGATATAAAAAAAAAAAAAGTACACGTGCATTATAATTTAATGAAGCTGAATCAGTGCTGCTGAGGCGTATTACTAAATATTCTATCTATAATTGCAACAGCGTTCCAAGGGAAACCTGTAAATACATTTCCACCATGATTGCTTGATGTCTGTTTTAAACTACTGTCGAGTACGTTGGGAGATATAGTTGATTGACGTTTATAATTCTTGGTAGTACGGGTTAATGCGATGGATTTGAGATGATGATGACGATGAGCTATTTGTCGTTGCTCCAAATGGGGAATGTTTGTGTTTGTGTTTGTGTTTGTGTTTGTGTTTGTGGCAGCAGCAGTAACAGCACTGGCGATGGTGGGTACAATGGATGTGGACGTGCTGTGCTGGCTGGCGTCCGATTGAAGTCGAGCAAGTTGTGGATTGACAGGCTTTTGTGGTGGTGAGGATGAGGATGGTGGCGGTAAAGAGTCGAGTTTTTCTATACATCGCATCAGACTCACTCGCATGGGATCCTCGTATCGTTTAATGCATCTATATTCTCTACCAACCATGTCAAATTCTCTGTTCAATTTGTGCATATTGCGAGGATGGACTGGACTGTTCTCATCTTCAACTAATGCTTGTTGCTTTTGTAATAGCAGTTTTTGCTGTGTGCGAGATACATTGGTCATGCTGTTGGAAGATGAGTTGGATCTGCTTTGATTGAATAAAGTGGTGTTTGAAGCAGTGGGTCTCTTGTTAGATGTGAGTGTCATGGTGGGCTCTTCATAAGACGAATTGACAAATTGAGATCGAAGCAGCGGCTTCTTGGTCGTGTTTGTAGTGGTAGATGAATGCTGTTGTTGTGTATCTGTCAATTCAGGATTGCTGTGATGATGTGTGGATGATTTTAAAGGAGATGCAATTGTGGGTAACAGTTCGTTTTTGGGGATAACCAAATTGTTGGCTACTGCATTGAAGGTAATCTCTACAGGCTCAGCAATGTTACTGCTGCTCAACGAAGCAGGATTGCTCGAGAATGTTTTCAATGTTTCTACTGCTTTAGGGGTGGTGGTGGTGGTGGTGGTTGCTGGAGCTATCTCAGAGACACTAATTTTATCACTGGCAGTGGATGCTGTGGATTTCCTTCGAGCCGCTGTAAGATTGCCAAATCCCTTCCTGTCAAAAGACATTTTATGTAATGAGCGCTGCGATTGAGATCGTTTCATTGTAGGTCTGCTATATTCTGTTGTTGAATTGGGTTCGTCATAGTAATCAGCTTCGGTATCAGTGTGATTGGAGCTGTTGGCTCTCACCATTGGAGCGAGTTTGGCTACGTGAACTCGGCCACTTGAGCGTCTCTTGACGTGGTGTCTTACCGGTCTTTTGTGCTGTGCATTGGCAGCCGCTGTGATTGCGGAGGGCGAGGCACTGATGGCTTCTGCTGTCGGTTTTGCAGCCTCATCTTCTCCCATAACGAATTTATTGTTTTCCTTCATAATTTCGCTCAAGGAAAGGAAAAAGAGTGAAAGAAAGAAAAGGAAAAGAGAGGCGGGTTGTTGTGTTTCTCATTGAATAGCCGCGTATTTTTTTCGCATAGTGTGTGTGTGTGTGTGCCGCATTTCTATATGTATGATGGTGCTTTTTATATGTATGCGAGGAGATAAACGCTTAATGCAGTCAGTATCGAAAAATCCCCTTCACCCTTGCGTCCCCCACCCCTCCACCACGTTTGAAATGTTTAGAAAAGATGTTGCTTTGGTCATGTTCAATACATTTGCTTCACTGGCAGGAGCAGCTCCGTTCAATGCTTTTTGTCAAGTGCACAAATGCCGTGTTTTTAGTTGATTTAATGCAATGCTCAATGGTGGTAAATTTCCTCTAGTGATTTGTTGTCGCTTACGCACCAGTCCAGTTTCTTGATCAGCCTAACCAACATGTGAGTCTCTTTGAGACGGTGGTTTGCTTCAACAAACCTACCCATCTTCGATGTCGTAAGTCCATGCATGCACTGTCAATTGCTGACCATTGTTCCATGCGTTTTGCACGATAGTAGAGTGGCAAATATTTTTAGCTGAATTAACAGAATTGAGATCAACAAGCAATCTGATTCTTTCTCGGTCTGATTTTAGCTGTTGCATTTCATCTTGATGAACTAATCCGACATGCTTGAGGCTCGTCTGCATGTCTTCCTCCTCATTGCAACTTACGTCTATAGACATCCTTGATAGAACGAAGCCAGTTGTCAATTAGTCCATACTGCTTATTTCCATATGCTGCTGTGACGCCGCCGCAATTGTAATGGCCTATGAGCAAGTACAGGTTAGGAGGCGTTCAGCTGTATCAAGTATGCATCTCGTACCACACACAATGATGTGCTCCACTTGTAATACTTGGACACTGTATTGTAGCACAGACAGCACGTTCATGTCACTGTGGTTAACAACATTGGCAATGTTTCTATGCACAAAAAGCTCGCCTGGTGGTAACGCTAGAATAACATTTGCTGGTACGCGAGAGTCAGAGCAACCTTGATGGCCATCAGTACGAGCGTAGTGTGTCTTGTACGTTATATGCCATACCAATCCATAGTAGCTTTGGCTCTTGTTTTTGAGCAATGGAGCTGAATATGTGTGGATCTTCTTTCATGACAGCAGCAGCCCATCTTCTGTTGTTGTCCAGTAAGCTGTTCAATGCTTTGTCTTTTGGATCGTATTTCAATAAGCTGGTGCCGGGAATGCATTGATGCTCTTCATCGCCTTCATCGTCAGATGTCGTCAACACGAGTGGTGATAATCCACTCAGTATATCTCGAGTGTAATGTATATTCTCATTGGACATTTTTGTCGTGATGATTGCAAGTTCAAGTAAGATGACCCATGCTTCTCCCTGCTTCAACCATCAATTTATTGGGGGGGGGGGGAGGAAACCCCAAAAATGACTGAAACATTAAGAGATTGACGGCCAAAAAAGCCTGCAATCATCAAGGAGAAGCTGAGAGGTGCATGCCACTGCCCTCATCTCCATATCGCTCGGGCATTCTGCATGTTCGCAGCGACAAATCCCTCTTAAATCTGCGTCATGTACCATTGGCATGTACAGCATTGGAAGGCCATGAATGCCTGATTCAGCCAGGCGAAAACTTTCTCTACTGTGTGACTGATTACCCTTCTTTTTTTGACATGATTTCAATTCAACATTTGAATGAAAAGGAGAAAACTTTTTTTTTATTTGATTTGATCATTCCAAGATGCCTCCAAAAAGAAAGACGACTTCAACGCAGCCCAAGTCCAAGAAGGTAGCCAAAAGTAAGTATTCAACTAGATTCCACAGGGAGAACATGCCTCTGATGCATTGCTATCGTAGCAACAACAATCACAGTGACATCCAAGAGACAGACACGAAGCAAACCCAATGAAGAGCCAGCCATCTTGTTGGAGAAAACCGAGACTGTGGAGACCGAGGCAGTGGATCAAGCGATAGCAGAGACTGTAGAGTCGAATGCAGCCCCATTGAGTGCCATTGCAGCTAGAAGAGCAGCCATCAATGCTGGACTGTACAACCCTGAGCCTGTGGATCACTCTGAAGAGGAATTGGACGACGACGACGATGAGCATTTGCAGCATGCTGCTGAGGGCGCTGATATACAAAGCGTGACAGACGAGGAAGACGAAGCATTGGGAGACGAGCTGGGAGAAGATCGTGTCATGTCACCCATCAGTGGAGCTGCCACACCTAACGAAACATCCACACCACCTCGCCCTTTGACAGCCACGGCGATGGAACCTAGCAAGCCGAAAAACAAAATGTAAGGGACTGCAGTTTGAAGGGAAATGGAGATGAGCCCCACTGACATGTACGCAATCATAGACCTGCATTGATGGATTACAATTCAGTGAGTCGTTTTACACCGACCCAACACAACAGCTGCATCATCAACCAGGAAGAGGACACGTATCTGTTTCTAGGACTGAAGCAAGGGGAACATGTTGTGTTTATGGGCCAAGTGCTGGCAGCACCTTTATACGGATCCATGTCCATTGCAGGAGCAGTGATATCATCTGGAAGGCCCGTGCCGAGAGCAGCAGTAAAAGAGGACTTGCTCGTATCATTCTATCCTGCATTTTCACCACGCACACATTCACTCTTAAGCGTCAGTTCCGAATCCCTGGATACAGCATCTATTCAATCGCACCACAGCCCCGTTGAAATCGACGAATACCTACTAGAAGCAGTATTTGACGAACTCAAGTGCGCTGATTTCGAGAGTATCATTGTGATTAAGGATTTGGAGGGCTCTGGGTTAGAAGATATGTGTGATGCTATCCCATCCTTCAACAAAAACCTGGTCAGACTGACGAAAAAGGAATCCAGTCGTGACACCAGCCTCAGCATCCACCTTTTACCTGGATTTCATCCTATTCTCACACCCACACCAGGCGCCAAGTCGCTTCGCATTGAATCATCCTGGCACACGCGCACCACAATGGCCATCGACAAAGCAACACAGCAAGCAACCAGTCCCTTGGTCAGCGTCGTTTGTGGAGCCAAGGATATGGGTAAATCGTCATATAGCAGGTATTTGATTAACCGTCTTTTGGCCAAATACAACCGCGTGGCCTATCTCGAAACTGACGTCGGACAGAGCGAATTTACACCATCTGGTTTGCTCTCCCTTCATTACATCAGTAACCCTATTCTCGGCCCTCCTTACACCCATCAGCAGCTGGAACCAGAGAGAAGCTTCTATTTTGGGTCCACATCGCCTCGAAGCAACCCTGATTACTACTTGGCATGCATCCATGAGCTAGTAGACCACTGGAGACACGATCAAAAGCAAGTCAGAGATGAGGATCAAAGAGAATGGATTCCTCTGGTAGTGAATACGCAGGGCTGGGTCTCTGGTGTAGGCTATGATTTGCTCATCAGTCAAATACAAAAGATTGAGCCAACAGATGTCTTTGCCATGCGACACCATATGCTCGAGTATAAGAACTTGCATCCTTCATTCAATGTGGACATTCTGCCTTTGCCCAGCACTGAGGCTTTTGTAATAGCCAAAGAGGCACCCACATTGCATTATTTGGACTGTGTGCTACAGGATCCAAACGTGGTTACTTTGGCAGACAGTTTCACCTCCATCCAACAGCGAGACATTACACTGGGCTCTTATTTTCATCAGTCTGGTATGGGCGTGAACCATTGTTTATTGCCTCGTTGGGATTACAAAAAGCACATGATTCATCGCGTTCCTTGGATGGTGGACTGGCGACAGGGCTTAAGTGCCATTTGGGTGATCTACGAGGAAGTCAAGCAGAACGAACTATTGTATGCTTTGAATGGAAGCCTTGTTGGCTTGATTGGCGATGTTGAAGACTACAGACACCAGCCTGGACCTAATAAGAAGTCAGCAGCATTCGAGGACGATACCTTTGTAAGTTTGTTGCCGAGGAAGGATTTTACAGTGTAAGACTAATACTGGCCACTAGACCCCTCCGACATATTTCAATACACAGGACAAGCCAGCACCTAATCCTCAGCTGATGACTTGCCATGGCCTGGCCATTGTTCGATCGATCGATCCCTCTCGCCATGCATTATTACTGCTGACACCACTTCCATCCAGTACATTGGAGAAAGTATCAGGCCTAGTCAAGGGCGAGATTCAGTTGCCGTTGTGGAGCATGCTGGATCAAAAATTAGAAAAGGGACCTGGTGTGGCCAATATACCTTGGAAGAAGGTGCCATACGTTACTCAACAGAGCACAGAAGGCGCTGGTGCCAATGCTCTTCGAGTGAGACGCAATTTGTTGCGTAGATCCCAAGCTTAAAATGTCAAAATAAAGCATGGCATGACGTAGATTTCATCCCAGTATTATGAATGCCAACGAAGAGAGTAAACAACATGGCTGGTTTTGGCTTAAAATGATGTCAGCCATCCTCACGTAGTAAATCCTTGTGCCTGTTACAGATCAAATGTGTCTGATTTACCATCGGCAAGCGAAATTAGCTGGTTTCCTGTACTACAAGCAAATTAAGGGGTAGATAACAAAAAGAAGATGTTGTACAGTTGCATGGATGCGTATTGCGTGGAGATGGCATTGATTTGTAATGCATCAAGGTGTGCGTCTATCCACTCTCAATCGCATGGTCTAGCAAGCCGTTCCGTGCAAGCCGATAAAATGATCACAAAATGTTACATAATAATGCATCGCTTAAACATGTTGGATAATTGACATGTTTGTTCTTTATTTCTAGCATATTTGTTGTTTACTCCAACCAAGAAAAAAAGGAAAGGGGGGGGGGCAGTAATTGATGGACATAAAAAAGAGGTTGCTGTTCGTAATTCCACATAGATATTCTCATATATAACGTATTCTTCTGTTCCATACATGTGGTTCAAAATAGTGCGCTGAAGGCTGCAAACACGTGAAATGGCATTTTAAGGAGTGGGATGGCTAAAGATCCTTAGAGTAGATCGAATGGTTGATAGTTGAGAAAGATTGGCGCATTGGCAGCATCTTGGCTTGTGATAATAGGCGGATAGTAAGATCGTTCTTTACACAGTGATGGCAGCCACTGATGATGGTGGTGGTGTTGCATGGCGGGTGCATGATGTGGATGTGTCTGCGATGGCTGTGCTTGATGATGATGGTAAAAAGGAGAGGCATACCAGTTGTCATCATGCCCGGTGATAACCGTGCCATGGTGCTTTTGATGATTGTCATGTTGCTGTGGCTGTGGTTGTGGATGTTGGTAATGCTGATGATAATCGATCGGGCTATATATCATGTCTTCATCGACGGTTGCAGAGCTCTGCTCAGAGGGTACTGGCGATGCTGGTGTTGCTGAGAGTTCGTCATGGTCACTGCAAGTAGTACTAGCTGCTGCTGCTGCTGCTGCTGCTGCTGCTTCGACTTCTGCTGCGTCCAACTGCTGTTGAAGTAATGTGCCACTTTGTAATATTTCATCCAAGGGTCTCCACGATGAAGTTCTGCCTGCTCGAGGCTTCTTTCCGTTCATCAGCATTTCGTTCAATGGTCTCCACTGTAGATGTGTGCGTTTGGTGCCGGATTCATGCGCCTGTTTTTGATGTTTTGTCATGATGATCTTTCTTGCGAAATACTTGTTGCAACCATCAAATGTGCATTTGTACGGCCTTTTGCCTGTGTGGATACGTCTAATTTAACACGTAACACAAATAGATTATTCTAGTATTAGCGCTGAGTGCTTCCTTTGGATCGAGATGCTATCATTTTTTTTTTTTTTACCTGTGTCTAGCCAGCGAACTGCTATCGCCGAATGTCTTTCCACAGTCTTGGTATTCACATTGGTGTGGTCTTTCGCCTGAATGCGTGCGCAAATGAACTTTTAATGCTGAACGCTACTTTTTGTGATTGTATCTTAGAGATTAGATTGACTCTTTGCATAAATGTAACAAGTTTACAATATTTACCTGAATAAAACTCTTTCCACACTTTGGTTCGTGGCACACATATGGTCTGGTAAAGGAAGGTTAGACACAGTTACATTTATGGTGCGGAGCCCATCGGCAATTTACCTTTCATTGGTGTGGATTCTGACATGCCTAGCCAAGTCGGAGCGTCTGCCTTATACATTGCAAAAGAAAAAAGGGACCCGATTAGCATCGATACCGTTTGGATTTAGCTGTGTAAATTTACCAAAAGATTTTGAACAGCCTGGCAACGTGCATGGATGCGCTTTAGATTCTCCGAGCTGGGTCTCATTGTCGATTAATTCAAGTATTTCCATAGCCTTTGTTGGTTTAATTCACTTGAATACGAATGCTTCAATGTGTGTGTGCTGTTGCTTTTGGATGTTACTGTTTGTTGTCGCTGTAGTCGTGTTATGGATGTATCAAATATGGAATGTAAAATAATGGCTGCTATAGTGAAGAAAGAGAGAAGTGAAAGAAAGGAGAGAGAAGAGCACATTGATCGATAAAATGACTGGAAGCTTTATATTACTTTTTTGGCTACCATCTAAAAGGGTAATTTGCCCTCATCTCTCGGTCCTTTCTTTGCCTTGATTTTTTTGCTCCCCCCCCCCCACCCTCACCTGCTCTCTCCTCCCCTCTAAAAGTCAAAATAGCGCAGATGAATCAATCATAGCATCATGATTTATGCATTGTCGAACAAAGAGAGAATCGTTATCAGCTTGAATTTGGGGGGGGGGAGGAGGAGAGGGGAGGAAGGAGGGGGGAGATGCGATAGTTTATCGACACACAGGGTCCATTATTCATTCATGTCTGCTGCAGGACCGCATGATTTCATGGTAGAGAAAAAAACTTGTATCAAGATCAAAGGTATCACAACCTACTGGATGTTGCCACCACATCATTCTTTAACGTCTCGATCGGCGATGCTAGAAAAAGTTGGCTTTCCTGATAAAGCTATTGTATAGTTCGTGCACTCGTATTAATTAACGTAAATGTGTAATCCATTTAGGCAATTCTTTTGATATTCCATGCGTCTCTAAACTTGCTCCATCTGCTCTCCCCCCCCCTTCTCGGTCTCTGTTATACAAATTAGCCCCCCAAAAGAGGCGTTACAAGTTGCTCCTTCTTTCCCCTTCTTTTGATACATGTACACAATGTACATATAGGACCGGGTTCTCTCAGTCTTGCTTGTATGTTCCAAGAATTAGAAATGCTTTAACCATAAATAATATGGTCATGCTGGTAGCTGAAATCGCACACACGTGCTTTGCGCAAAAGCATCTATTCAAGAGCAAATGCAAGTGAATTATTACCAATTCGATCATGGAAAAAGAGCAAACAAATTCATGCGAAATAGGTAATTTTACATGGATGATATCATTGCTCAAAAGTACATTGATGAACATACATTCGTCCATACGTCTACAGCTCATTTCGACGATCGATCTTTATTTTTTCGACACAAATTGAACCAAGTACTCCACACCTTGTGCTACTTTCGAAACTCAAATTTGCAGTTACACACTTGATTGTCTTTTTAGCCGAGCTAATATATGGACATTGGTGCTCATTAAACCTCAAGTAGGACATTATGATGGATCCCAAGCTATCGGCATGGCGAATAAAGACCAGCTATCCACCCCGTTGACTTGAGAAAGCGCAAAACACATACATTATCTGATTGATTTCATGCGACGAATGCATGCATGCACATGTATGCATTTAAGGAAACAAGATTTTGACAGCTACCAGCAACAAAGACGGGGCGATTACAAATACACAAAACAACATCATGATTACATGTGTACTCTTCACTACGCCGTGTAGTATATTTTTAACCTAAATTTTAATTAATCAGCACAAGAATCCCATTTTTTCTTTTTGTGATATTGTCTAAATTCAATTTGGCATTTGAATGGAATATTCAATTAGAAAACTGTTTTGACAAAACAATCGATCCTGTTTTTTGGCCTATCCACCATGTACCTCCTTCATTCTCCCAATTGATTTATTTTATACATGGCATCTCCATCATGAAGCATCTTTCCAACTGTCGGACGGTGGGCATCTCGAAAGGGGCAATTGGTTGATTTGATTCTAGGCAGCAACATTCGGAGCAAGAGGGTGCGCACGCTTCACAAATATATATAACTTAATTTTATTGGGTTGCTTACTCACTGTAGTGTAATGTTGTATCTAGTATAGCCCTGCTCTAATAAATCATTGAAACCATTCCGCATTCGCCATCTATTGCTGGCATAGAAAGCGGCAAACCCATCATGATTCTAATTTTAGATATATCCTTCAAAAGAATTCATATAATCCTTGAATGGCCAACATCATGTCTACACCTCCAACTTCAAATTGACCCTGCGAGGCACAGTCAAGTATCAGCACTGGGGTGATTTTATCTGTTCTGGCTATCCAATTCCACTAAAGGTTGACAATCACCACCCAGGGTACAGAATGTTGATCGAATTTACGGACGCTGCAAGTGTATATGGATGTTTCCGTCATCTTCTACTAGATCAAAGGCTATCTCTTTTGGCATTGCGCTATGACCTTCAGTGAATCATTATTCACTATGCGCAGATGCGTCATTTGTAGCATTCAACGATGGCCAGTGAGCTGTACAAGGAGCTTTTGTTTGAATGACTAGCAATGCCTATCGAGAAGCACTTGATGTATGAATTTTGCAGGCTTAAATCCTATGCGAGTCTTTACTAACCAGGATAGAGCATCAATCGTGAAACAAGCTGGTATTGCTCCATGTTCAATCATATAATTTAACAGGTATGCAATTTATTGAATAAAAAAAAAAAGAGGTGATGCTATATAATTCGATGAATAGTAATCACAATAAGGTGAAGCTTAGAAATGAAGTATATAGGTTGTATGTGTGATAACAGAAGAATGAATGAAATGGCCAAAAAAAAAAATAAAAATAAAAAATAAAAAGAAAAACGGGGTTGTTGAGGGATATTTGTATGCTTTGATTTTTAATGTTGAGTGTGTATGTATGATTGAGTAGGAGGGGATAAAGGGTGTATAGTATTACGATTATGAATTAGTAGTAAGGTAAGGTTATTTACAAGAAACCTGATTCCTGCAAGAGTCGTGTAATCTTCTCATCATCTCGTTCCCTATAGAGACATTTAATCGCTGTCTATACACATACTGCAACTGAAAACTTACTTGGGCTCTAGCTTCAGGCTTTCTTTTTACAATTGATCTTCGTCACGAGAGCTGTGTAGGTTGTCTTGGATAAAGTTTTGAATTTCTTCGACTGCTCTGTACTGGTATCCCATCGTCTGATACTGCTGAATCTCTCGGATCACTTCAGCAGTTTTAGCGCGCTTTGCAAAGTTGATCAAATCCTTTGATGTTTTTAGAAAGTTTGGATTACCATCTTCAATAAACGTGAGATCCTGGAGGTAGATGCCCAAGAAGGGAATACAGGGAGGGTTCACAGAGTGGATCAAAGCTCTGTACTGATTAAAATTGCGACTTGCTCCCATGAGCTTGCGGATGTGTGCAACAATATGATTTGTGCGAGCACCCACCATTTCCCAGGTTCTTTTGAGGCGACCCACAGCACTATTGTCGAATGCAGACAGAATGGCCATGCAGGTATTAAAGTTGTTAAAGATACGACAACGTTCAGCAACGTTGACCCAGTATTTGATAAGTGCGCTTCTCTTCTTGACCTCAGATTGGCTGAGAATCTCGTCCGACACCCAGGTAGTAACTTGATTGCAGTAGTCAATGGACGCTTGAATGTTACGTGCTACCGGTGTGCGGTGGTCGTCATTAAGTGTAGCATCCCGAGACCAAGCCTTGTCAAGACATTCAACTGGTTTAATTGAGCTGTACAGCTTGAAGTCCATTAGAGTTAATTGACGTGCCATTTCAGTTGTGTCCAGATCAAGCAGACGGAACTTTTTCAAATTTCTTGGTAATATGGGATCAGGGGAATCTTGTTGTTGAGTAATAACCAGCTTTTTGAGATTCTTGCAAGCGTCCTTACGCTTGTGGATCAGTCGTTCTAATTGGTATGCAGAGAAGCTGAGTGTATCCTTGATGCTGGTATTCGTAAAGAACAGCAAGCGATCTAATATCACAGAGTCTTCCTCGTAATAGTATTGCTCCAGCCAAATCTTGAGCACGTTGAATACACGCAGACGAATCAGTTTTTGCTTCTTGGTAACCCAGATTTCCAGTTCCTCGGGTGTTAGATCGGCAGGTGGTTGTATATTATATCTGGCTTCAAGCAATTCCAATAGCTCCATCGAGGTACAGAACGACCGGTAAGTAAGTAAGAAGGTGCTGTTGAAGTTCATATCTAAATAGTCATGCAACGTCATGCGCTCAACAAGTGCACGAAGAGTACCCCCTTTGACACTACCCTCAACGGTGAAGATAATCTCATTGGGACTGTAGTCGTATTGAAGATACCGTTGCTCATCTTCCTGCACGGATGCCGCTGTATTGACACTGGTATTGGGCACTGCCGTGGCGGAGACTTGTCTTGTTGTTGCTGATGCTCCTTGCCCAGGATTTACTCCCCCTTCTGCGGCTGTGGTTGTGGCTATTGTGGGCGATGTAGGTGCCGCATTGCTAGCAGGGGAATTGGCATCAGGCAGATCATCACCAAAGAATTGCTTCAATTTAGCGCTTGTATGCTTGGATTGAGCCTCCGTCAATGTATGAGCTCTGTTCTTCAATGTCTCGCCCATTAATGTAGGTGTGTTTTCAGTTACAGGAGCGGAGGAGCGGTTGTTTACTTTTGTGTTGCTGTTACTGTTGCTTGGTTGCAGCGCTGTGTCTACAGACAATGATTGAGATCGCTTCTTCAAGTCTTCAATAGAAGTTAAAGAAGGGTTTTTAAGGGTCATGGATGAAGACAGACTTAAATCAAAGGATAAATCGTGACTTCCAGTCGAGTTGCGTAGGAAATCACAAAGAGAATTGTCCTTGTCGGTTGAGCCAAGCAAGCTGCTACGATTGCTGGATGTAGTGCCATTGGTGAGCTTGCCTTGCTCCTTCATCAGACGCTTCTTCTCGTTGACCAGATCAGCCATACGATCGCACACCAGTCTGATAGCGTCAATAATGGACTGAGCAGCCTCTTGCATCTCTGAGATGGCCTTTTCCATGGGAACAGTTTCATCCGTCATTGTTTGCATTTTGAAAAAGAGTAGACCCAGGCCGTCATACAGCTTTTGTTTCGCAACTGCCAGCTCCTTCATCAGAGGCGATTGAATGACTCCGTCGAAATCAATGTCTTCAATGATGGACAAGAACTGGCCATTCTGGTTACCAAAGTTTCTATATTGAGTGAACAGTAATACAGCCAAAGAACAGCGGGAGTCGCTATGGCGTGTGAGATTTGCCATGAGTGATTCCATTGATTCTTGCATGCTAGCACCGTAAGCATCCAGGTTGTCGACTAGATCAGATTGCAATTCGTATTTTGCTCGGATGCCTTGATCTACCATGGATCCCGAAGCAGATGAGATGGAGTGTTGCCGTCGGATGGCTGTGGAAGCAGCATCCCATGGTGCAGCAGCATGACTGTTTCGTTCGTCTTGCGGTGAGGATATCAGGTGTGGATCAACGTGGGTTACATCGACAGGTATGCTCTCACATGTGCTGATGAAATTGCGAACAGCCACCAGCAGTTCGTGGCAATCCGTCAGCAGCTTGCTCACATCACTGACAGTGCCATCCGCACACAGTTGGGCTGACAAGACGAGTTTGGACATGGAAGCCATCATGGCACGGTGATGTGATCGGAGGACATTGCTTGTTTTGATATGCAATGATTCCTTGCTGATGGTACCTGAAGCAACCAGCATGAACCTTACAGCTTCCACTACACGAGCAGCGTACTTTTTGTACAAGGATCTCTGTGAGTTCTTTGCAGATCCAATTAAATTATTGATGGACAGGGTGACATGAACCGAGAGCTTATTCCATGTGAGTGTTTCATTACTGTCAAAGTGAGGAGAAGGCTGGAAAGAGTATCCTTTGGTGGATGTTGGGGTGGTAGGCGCTGTAGCTGCTAAAGCCAATCTAGGTTGAGGTTTAGGTGATCCCTGCTGCTGCTGCTGCTGCTGCTGTTCCTACAAAAGGGAGTTACTAAGTTGTTGTGCTCCATTTTGAATTTGACTGAATAACTACCTGCGAATCTGCATGCCATGCAGTCTCGTGAGTTGACAGATTGTAGAAAAATGGGAGGCCTTGAGGTGTGGTGCGCTGGATCCACTATCATATACAATAATGAAAAAAGATTAAGGGGTCAGCTCTGTAGCTCCTTTTCTCTGTCCCTTGTACAAGATCAAAAAGCTTACTTTTCCCTGCTGCTGGAAGTCTTTGAGTGATTGATCAGACGCAATGGATTCTTCAGACGTTGGCATGAAATTCACTTCAAGCACAGAGTCTGATCTCGAGTTGCTGTCAATGGTGGAAGTAGCAGAGTCCTCGTCCGATTCGCCATCGTAATACGAAGCAGTATCATCGTAAGGATAAGTGGACCGCATTTCTCCTGTGAGCGTATTGAAATAATAACTTGCGGATCCATCTTCGCGATTCTGAATTGACCAGTTGGGCGGTAGGGATGTTCGTCTACTGGATTCGTTTCCGTTTGATCCCACTCTGTCGTCAAACAAATCTGTCTGTGCGCTGATTCTTCTGCTGGTGCCCTTGGGCTTCATCGACGTCGGCGACTAAGAGATACGGATGAGTTGCTATAGCATGTAACTCCAATTCAACTATTATGCGTACCACAAGTCCTGTACTACCGTAGTCTTCAATGATTCGAACGTAATTGCTAGGAAACCAACCACGATTCCCATTGCACCTATGTACGCAAACGATGTGAGTTTCTGTGTTGCTGCAGTCTGTTGGTGACTATGTACCATCCATCCCACCAGCCAGACGGTAGCTTGGCTAATACATCTATGTAGTCGCCTTCCTCAAATCGCAATGAAGAAGGGTCGTTTGATTCAAAAGAATAGAGCGCCTGTACTCTACATAACAGAGAAGGTAATGCCATGGAGATATTTATTAATGACGAGTGTGGAAAGCCACTTTCTAATGTAGTGTTTTCTGATAAGGTGGGAATAGACAAGACGAAAAAAAAAGAGAGAGAGAGAGTGAGTGAGAAAGGAAAATAATAGAAAAAAAGAGCAGCAACAAATAAGGCTCTCTCAAAGGGAGGAGAGAAGGAGGGGGGTGGGGGAAGAAGAGCAGAGCATGAAGCCAGCCCAGCCAAAACCTGAGCCAAGTCCGCCTTGAATGAAATTCCCAAGTCATTTGATTGCAACACGTTATCAACACTGTACAGTGCTCCAATCGACAGTTGCATTGGCCTCCTCAATTGCATCAAGGAGTCTTTCTAGGTCACGATGCAGGTTCACTGTGGGCGCATTGACTACAATGCGAAAGAAGTCTGGTTTACCAACCAGAGGTGCGTGATCGACCATAAATTCACCAGACTGATTCACCCTGCGATGGAGCTCTCTTGTTACCATGGATAAGTCAATGTCTTTACCTGCTTCCGCCAGCTGTGGTGGTACAAACCAAAAACAGATCTGTAGGAAAGGGCTTGGATCTTTGACGAGTACAAACGAGCTGCGTTGTTTCACCAGTCGAGTGAATTCCTCCGCTGAAGTCAAGGCTCTGTCTACGCGAGCACCCAATCCTTGCTGGCCGTAGAACTTCCAGGCCAAAAACACCTTGGCAGCATCGGGACGACGACCGCAACCAATGGTGCCCGCTCCCAGATCATAGGGATTACCGTGAAACAGGTAATCGGCTCGCAAAGAGTTGGCTTTGGCAAACAGCAAGTGGCCATGATGGGGTGTGATCAGCATGGAGCACTGCAATGGAACGCCGAGCAGTTTGTGTGGATTCAATGTGAATGTATCTGCCAATTCAGAGCCGTCAAACCAATCTCTCTCTGTCCTTACTTTATCTGAAAAGATGGCAGTGCCTCCCCAAGAACCGTCCACATGAAGCCAGCAATTGTACTTTTTGGCAAGCGCTGATATCTTGCGGATAGGATCAAATGCGCCCAACACTGTTGTTCCAGCTGTTGCGTTGATGAAAAATGGCGTCTCACCCTTTTCGATACTCAGCAACAGCAATCTCTCTAATGTACATGGTGTGTGAATTTATGTCTAAAGCGCCTATAGAATCACCCAATCATTACCTAATTCATCTACTTGCATTCTTCCAATGTCATCCACTGGTACTTTGACTATATTGTCTGTGCCTAACCCCAGGACCTGGGCTGATTTATCAATGCTGTAATGGCTGTGCAGCGAGGTGAATACTGTCAGTTTGCCGTAGCTGGCTGCTGGATTCATGGGTCGTGGAAAGTAGCCCTCTGATTTGATCATTGGGAATAGCTTGTTTCTAGCGGTAACCAGTGCCAATAAATTGGACGCTGAACCGCCTGGACACAATAAACCGCCTGAATTCTATTGCAAAATGTATAAGATGATTGCGTTTTTAGCTTGAATTACAAAGCACCCTACTTCTCCCATATTTAATAATCGTCCTACTGCCTTGGTCACTTCAATCTCCATCAAGGTGAATACGGGTGATACATGGTACACATGAACATTGCTGTTCAATACAGCCAACAGCAGCTCGGAAATAACGCCAATGGGGTTGGTGCCAGCGTACAATTTATCCATAAATCGAGGGTTCCATGAATTGACACTGTATTTAAGTGTTGACTTGATAAGCTCAAATGTGCCTGAATATTGTTGCCATTTAGAAACACACTAAAAACAGATAAATACACACACACACACACACACACACACACCTTCTATACCAGTGCCTTGGGTAGGTAGTGAAAAATCCATGGCCTTGTACAATTGTTCGGGACGTTGAAAGGTGACAACAGGCCCTGTCTCATTTTGACCCTGACGCACATCTGTCAAATGAAAGATGGGTTACTTCTCTTCAAGTAGAGAATTTACATTCTTACATTGGATGACCATCTCTTGCATGAGTGTCAACATTGTGTCAAGTTCAGATGCATTGTCAATGTCCTTGGCAGCTACCATGATCAGGCCTGAAATGAAATCTTATCGGGAGTATTGAAAAAGAGAAAGAGAACAATTTTAATTGGGGTTGATAATAGACTATCTAAAACGTTGAGAGATGTGTGCGCCAATTGAAACGAGGGGATTTGATTTTGGGTGGCAACCATGGGCAATAGGAAAACAGCCTGGGATGAATCTAGTAGTATGCATAAATTTTTATTATTATAGCCCAAGTGCCTCTACTTGAGAGCACGCAATATCACAGGCAAATTGCTTGTTTTGTCATTTGTCTCAAAAAAAGGGGAAACGGATCAATGACAGGCTTGGACTCGCTTTTTTTCAAGGGTAGGTCGCAGTAAACATGATCCTTCAGAATTTAAGCGCCATAATGGACAAAGAATGGACCGTTTAGTGAGATCCATCATCTCAGGATGCTTTGGGTTTGTATAGGCAGATCTAGGATCAACAGTCTGGGCTGTCGTGCCGGCCAGAAGTGTTTTAATCTGATATACTGCTTTTGAGGCAAAAAGATGCGATCAATTGACACTCCATGTTACAGCTTGAGAATAACTCATGGGTGGCCAAACATTGCCAAATCCTACTGTAGCAGCGAAAGAAAGCCATTTAATGTTATCTTGATCATCGTGGTTCACGCTCAAGAGTGTTCAATGCACCACATAGCTCGCATAGTAATTGGATCTTTCTGATAAACCTGAAATTTCACGCTTCAAGAGTTACTGTTGCATGAAAACCTTCCACAAACAATTTGTAAGTGCATATTTGACTCTTTTACGATACAACGTATCTGTATCAACAAAAGCAGCTCATATTCGAGCCTACAGCGTACTCTTATTACTTCTTACCTCTCAAATTTATGCAAACCACAGCGAAATTTGGAAGCACTTGAAGCGTGTTTTCTTGCGCTGGAAGCCGTTTTAGACTGCCAGAATTGTGCAAAATAATTGGTCTCGGCTAGCACTATCTTGCTGATGCTTTTGCTCAACTTTTTTAAGATCTTCGAATATCGACCAAAAACCATGAGCTATCGCTTATGGTTTTTATCGAAAATCAAACGATCGCGTTTTTGACCGCAAAAACAAAGACTTTTGTTATGGTGTATATTACATCAAAATACTTCTCTCGATCCAAGGCATCTCCTGAAATTTTGTTTGTGCGACCTTCATATGTAAAAGCTCGACCTTTTAGCTAAAAACCTGATTTCATATTTTTTAGGATAGCTTAATATCTACAGTCAAAAACCATATTTTAATTAGCATCATCGGATGCGCCTTGAAAAGTACGACAGAGATGTAACAAGAAGTACGGAATGATCAGCACCTTTTACATGGTCAAATCTAGCAAAATAGATTTATGGAGTCGAAATTGAACAAAATTGAACTGATCTGAAGTAGCTGCGCAGCGGAGCGTAAAATACATATTGGCTGGTAAAAGGTGATGATAATGCCTTTCTCATGAAGGCAATCAATGTTTTCGAAGCTATAATGAGGCGGTTGCAAATTTAAGAGCATTATGCTCTAGTTTGGCTCTCCTCTATTTTGTTTCTGTTACAAAACTCGGTATCGGTGAAATCTAGTCAATTTTAACTGCTCTTTCAAAGGCATGCCATCCATTGGGCAGCAAAAGCATTTAGTTGTGCATTAGAGAATGTTGTATAGGTAGAGTAGCTAGGCATAGCGCAAAATGGCAAGAAAATTCTCCATACTACGCGGTTTGGAGCATGTATCAGCTACCCTTCATTGATAACAAGGGACGAAGGGAGATTATCATTTGATTTTACACATTCTCAATCGGCATGTCAATAGCCTAAAGATGCGTAGTAATAGTGTTCATTGAACCACTTTATAGATGAATATGAGACACTCTGGAGCCCATCGGTAGCTGAAGCATGCCAGGGAAATGGTAGCATTCACGGGCCAGCTATCAAATGCTGTATTGCATGATTTATGCTACATTGGAGCAAACAAATGGCAACATGGATTAATAATGCTTTGCAATTTGATTTGTAACAATGGGAAGGTGACTGAATAAACGAGTTTTGCTGTCCTTCAATGGCAACCCCACGCATGGCATAATGCGTTATCCTCATGAGAGTCTTTTGAAAAGGAGCGCAAGTCGACCTTTATTTAGTTTTTGGAAGGCTAAACTATACACTTGGAGCCAGTTGATTTGCCAGATTAAATTTTCTTGTTTTTACTATAAATTTCTCTTCGTATCTCTTTTTCTTCTCTTCTTCTCTTGACTCTATATACCTTCAACATACAAAAATGTCTTTTTTTAAAAAGCTGTTTTTCTTGCTTGTCGCAGTCAATGCAGCATTTCTCGGTTATGATTACTATCAAGGAGGCAACATTGCTTTCAACTTGGTAGAAAACGCCAAACAACTCAACGGCGATAAACTCCATGGTTATTTAGCCGACATCAAATCCACTACACCAGAGAAATTAGCTGGCCATGTTAACAACGCGTTTGCTCAATTGAAAAACATCAACTCTGCCAGTGACATTCTGGCCATCATTCGTGAAAAGACAGCTCCCGTCACTGGTGCTGGCGCTGGCTCTATTGAATGGGATGGCAATGTCGTTGTCTTGACTGATGCCAACTTTAAGAATGTCATTGATGGCTCCAAGCCTGCCCTTGTTGAATTCTATGCACCTTGGTGTGGTCATTGCAAAAACTTGGCTCCCGTCTATGCTCAGTTAGGTGATGCCTTCTCTTCCAGCAAGGATAAGGTTTTGGTTGCAAAGATTGATGCTGATCAACATCGCGATACTGGTGCTTTGTTTGGTGTCCAAGGTTTCCCTACTCTTAAATGGTTCCCTAAGGGTGTTCATTCACCTGAAGGTGTTGAGGATTATAAGGGAGGCCGTGATTTGAACTCTTTGGCTGCCTTCATCAAGGAAAAGTCTGGTGTTGCTCCTCGTATCAAGTCCCAAAAGTCAGATGTTGTCACTTTAACCACGAAAAACTTTCACCAAGTCGCTTTGAACCCCAAGAAGAATGTTCTCGTTGAATTCTATGCTTCATGGTGTGGACACTGCAAGAATCTCGGTAAGTGCTTTCTTTGATTTGCGCGATTGATTGGATATAAACGTTGTTATGATAATAGCACCTATTTGGGAGAAAATTGGTTCCACTTTTGCTAATGAAGAAAACGTAAGTCGCCTGTAACACTTCGCCACTTGTACAACGTCTAATACGTTCATCTAAATAGTGTATCATTGCAAAGATCGATGCTGATGAAGAGAGAGACATCGGTAGCGAATTTGATATTTCTGGCTTCCCTACCATCAAGTTCTTCCCTGCTGGTGAGAGTGAACCTATCCCTTATGAAGGTGGCCGCACTGAAGCTGCTTTTGTCGAATTCCTCAACAAGCATTGCGGTACTCAACGTAAAGTCGGTGGTGGTTTAGAAGCTGTTGCTGGTCGTATCGGTAAATTGGATGAGCTTGCTATTCGTTTCATCAAAAATGCTGGCGAACGCGAAAAGATTCATGCTGAAGCTGTTGAAGCCGCAAAGGAAATTGGTACACGTTATGGTACTTACTATGCCAAGATCATGGAAAAGGTGTTGGCCAACGGTGAAAAGTTCCTTGAAACTGAAAGAGCTCGTCTTGCAAAGATTGCTGGTTCTGAGGATGTTTCTTCTGCCAAATTGGATGATTTCGGTATTCGTCAAAACATTTTGGGTGCTTTTGATAAGAAGGCTTCCCCTGTTAAGAATTAAAAAAAAAAAGTTGTAAATATAATACGCAAGGATTTTATTGTAAATGGCATTTGAATGCACATGAATCGTTTATTTCAATAAAAAGAGAAAAAGACCCTTCAAATGATTTCTGCATTATGTGTATTCGTGTGTATATGAGTTATTGATTCAAGCGTAGATCAAACGGAAAATGTCATTGAAGACGTAGTAAGAACCATTCTCGGGAACCAAGTGGAAGGTTTGGGAGAACATTTGAGGGTTGGTTTCATCATCAATCTGTGCATTTGCACGTATTAGTCACCGCAAAATTTCAACATGGCAAAATCCCGCAGGGAGTGCAAAAGAAAATCACTTACCAAAAGTTGACCAGTAACGAAAACAAGGATGTTGCTGCCAGAAGGATCAGCAGGTTGAGCATCAAAGGTAGAGACTCTGTGTTGGACCTTTTGGAAAGGAAGGCTCTGTAACAAATGTGATGAATATCGCCTTCCACTTTCAAACCGGCAATATCGCACACACGCTCTCTCACTCTCCAAGTTCACTCTTTATCAACTACTTACACCCAACTTCTCGCCAATACTAGCAGCACCACGGAAAGGTTGACCCTCGAAAGTAAGCATGGAGGCTTCTCTCTATTGCCGAATAGTTTGTTATTTATCAAGATGTTACATTTCATGTGCTCTGAACTTACGTAGAGTTGAGCTAAATTATTTCTGTTGGCATCAAAAGTTTGGTAATAGTAAGTGGTGAATTGGTTAGCAATTGTAGTGATATCAGCCATTTTAAATAACAAGTTGGTTTATAGGTTATGAAAAGGAAAAAGAGGAGAGAAAGAAGGGAATGGAAAGAATAAATACGTATGAAAAACGCGTCCACCAAATACACACACAGAAAAAGATTTTTTTTTCTATTCATGATTGGGCCATAAAGCTTCCAAATTTAACGTATCTTTGGCGCACGAACGCATTTTGAAGGCTCCAGAATGCAGATACTTGACCTCTTGATCTTTATCTGTGATTGCTGCGGCTTCTTTTTGGATGTAGATGAAGCATTTGAATCTTAATATAGAGAATGCAAGTGAAGGCATCCTCTCAAACCCAATAACATTTGCTTTCATTTCAAGATCGAATCATGTCCATTTTCCAGAAAAATCTCGACATCTGTCAAATAAAGATGTGGTCCGTTACTATAGCAACAGATTGGCTATTCAAGGTGCACTTTTGCCGACCTGTCAGATATATTTAGTGAACTGAACAAATAGATAGCCAGCCTCCAACGTAAATAACAATTTGCAGGCACTATTTCTGTACGTCATGAAGTTTTGGACGATTGGAGGACATACCTTCTACCAATATCAATGAGAAAAACTCCGAGAGAAAGGTCCCCGAATTGTTGTATCTTATTGTTCTTTTCCTGAAGGGCTCTCTTTTCTTTTTTTTTATCAATTACAGATCATATTTCTCAATTAAATATGCAATGAAGCAAGAAGAAGATACATTTAAAGAACCAGAACCCATTAGACCACCACGGCAACGTCAAGTTCAAAGTGCATCTTTTACTAAAGGCGTATTAGAACAACCTCGTTTTGTTCACGACGACCCATTAGCAACAAGTCAAGGTATAAATCCAACTGTCAGTGCGGCATTACCATAAACTAACTTGTGATGAAATAGCTCAATTCTATCAACCAACGCCTGCACCAGAGACGGTAGTAGTTCATTCAGTGCCAAAGAAAACGAACGATGCATGTTGTTGGGGATGGTAAGAACAGAATGCTAATAGAGTTGCCCTAAATTTAGTAATTGAGATATTATGTATTTATAGTGCAGCTGCTCTGTGCTTGTGCTTTGGATTAGAAGAGTGTTGTTCCTGAAATCTATTTATTCCCATCTATTCAACAGATGTATACATATATCTACTATGTATTGTACAGTGTCATTTTCATCTGGTTTTGTCATTATTAAAAAAATTATATATGTAACTATATTCAATAACTACATTTGGCCTTGTTTTGCTGAGCAATTCCATCATACAAACTCACACCGACCTGTGTATATGTTTTGGTGACACAAGATCCCTTCCAGATCTCGAAAATATACGCTTCATCTGGACGGCATCATATCTTCACTATATATAATGTAAAACATTCAAAAAAAAACTAGACAAACAAATCATATCCTTTCAAAAATTTGAAGAATTGTGTATCGTACAAAATGAATAAAACCATCCGCAAAGCCGTCAATGGAGAGGGGGTTTGGGGGAACACTTGATAGCATTGATATTAGGGGGGGTTATACCGTAGCGAAGCAAGGGTGCAAAGCCATGGTAATAAGGCGTCTAACCCAACACTTGGATCTATATGAGGGCTTGATCACAGCGAAGCAAAGGCGCAAAACCGTAGTATATAAGCAGCAAATTCAATTTCTCATTTCCTTTATTAATAAGCCTACCAGCAACATAGCGCATCAAAATTTGCATGAATCAGTTTTACGAAAATCAATATGCCTCCTATTTGAATCAAAAATTGCTCAAGCTACAGAACTGCCTTTCCAGAAGATTTCAGCTACCAAAGATGTGATTTTTGCCGTGTAAATATACTTTATAAAGCAATACTTAACCAAATTTGACAGCTTTCAAGTCTTCATATCTTGACATGTAGACCTTTCTGAGCCACCGGAATAACGCCAAACAATTGTACTCGAGTAGTAGTAACTTCCTGACACCTTTGCTCAACTTTTTGAGGACCCAAAAAACATGGCGAAAAATCGGCCAAAAACCATGAGGGATACCTCATGCTTTTTGACGAAAACCGAACGACCGCATTTTTTACCTTGAAAATAAAGACTTTTACTATGGTGTATATTGAATCAAAATGTTTCTCTCGATCCAAAGCAACCTCTGAAATTACTTTTATGAGGTCTTCATATGCAAAATTTCGACATTTTGGCCAAAAACCTTATTTCATATTTGATTAAATTGCTCAATAATTTCATTCAAAACATTTATTACAATTAGCACCATTGGAAGCGCCTTGAAAAGTACTTCGAGAATGTATTAGGAAGCGTAGGGTGATCATCACAGTTTATATAGTCGAACATCACAAAATAAATTAACAAAGTCGAAAATAGACAAGATCTGTCCAATCTTGAACAGAAAAAAAAACTGAGTTTCAATTAATTTTAGCGGTAGCACTGCTGCTGGCTGGCCCAAATGTCTTTATGTTGATGACAACAATGATGATAACAATGTTGGTTGCGATGCTGATCAAATGAAGATTATGGAGTTGAAATTGCATTGTTTATCCCAAATAATTTCTTTTTCTGGAGCGCTTTGCCTCATGAAGGTGTCTTTTGCAATGACAATATCTCAGAAAAGTTGCTGTAGATCTTACGCAAGTCGTATATTTACTTATGGCCAGCTTTATGTTGCCATCTCAAGAGCAACATCAGCGGATGTATAACTCCCTCTCCTGACTCTGATATAGCTTTTTTTTTTTACTATTAATTGGTTGTTTAAAATCTACTTGATATGCCAGATATTTATTGTCTCTGATTTGAAATGTCTTCGGCAAGAGCCCGCAGATCGACGCCGTCATCGAGAGTAGCGAGATTGACCGGATAGTTGTATGCTATTGCTGAACATAAACTATTGGAATCTTAATTCAATTTACATGTCTCCATGTTTAGACCATGATTCTTTGATGTGAAAACGGCCTTTTCTTTCTTATTTTTAGGGCCTCTGATCTCTCCATTATGTGATGTGCTTTCTTGTCCTATGGCTATCTAGCTTAACTAAGCATCAAATACTACCTGATCCGCTTCAGGTCTTTCTTGGCGGCAATTTAATGGTTCGACCCTGAGATCAATTAGATTCGACAGCTTTTTGACATCCAAATCAATATGTCAACACCATGCAATGTTATTGCATAGAACTACATAAAGCTCACGCTGTTACGAGCCATATTGATGCTTCAGCTCTTACAGAATATACGAGTATCTGGTATGCGAAAGCAAGTTTGGTTGTGCATCGCTTTTATTCATACATGTAACATACAATCTTGAAATCAATAGGCATTTCGAATGAAGGCATTATGTGCCATTTTATTAGAATGGTAATGAAAATCCGTGTATAACATAGAAATGAGGGTATGAAATGGGTTGTTCGTTTCGTAATATCTTTAGTGTAGGGTCATCTACGCCATTTGTTTGTATCGCTAAAAATTATCTGTCATCGTTCACCAAGGGGTCGTATCCATCTACATGTAATCACGTAAATCAGTAAGAACTAAAAATGAGAGAAAGGTACAATCTTACAAGCACAGATCCCTTGCATGTAGCAAGCAAGCACAATCCCCGCGGCGACCTGAGAGACAGGGTGCTTAAATCTATCATGATATTCGTTTATATATGTTTGGCAATGTCAAGTCTCTTGCTCATGTACCTTGTGAAGAAGGCTAGAACGTAGAATATCTGCCAGTGATGTATATGCAGTCTAACTTTGTTGGTGTACGGGTTTGGCGGTGGCAAAATGGCTACTTCTTGAGAGGGTATTTGCTCTGTTAAAGCAATGTCTTTATTGCCTTGCATATTTTCGTGAGTTGCCGCTTCATCTAGATAGTTTGCAGATGGAGTAGAGGGCGGCGTTGTAGCTTTTAGTTGTCGCTGATGTCGCCATGTGTAATACGTTGTTCTCGTCCAATTTGAATTGACTTCCTTAATCAGGAGCACCGATGTAACCAAGAAAAAAATCGGGATCAGCAACCCGCAGACATAGTAAATCACGAAAGGTAGACTAAACTGAGATGCGAAATAGATGTGAATACCAGCAAAGGCTAGGATGATACTATTATCATGTCAGTTGAATGGCTTACAAAAAAAAAAAAAACATCCACCACTGTTTTACCCAAGTGCAATCAGGAATACAATCCACATTCCTTTTGGCCAATGCTTGATATTAGGCAAGGAGGTCTTTGTATAAGGTTGTTCAGCAATAATAGCATAGCCAAACAACGATGGATAGAAGGCAACGACAGTGATCCAGCTAAATGCTTTGCTATAGTTACCAAATATGAATACAATCAACCCGTAACTGAACCCTAGCATTGTATCGCTCCAATGCCTTGCAATTGTCTTTTGATTTACTTCCCACTTGTACTTTTTGGCTACGTAACGATAGACTGGGTATGGTACAATATAAAATGACAACGTAAAGTACAGATACATAAGAGGATGAAATGAGAAGAGCGCGGTTTCAGGCACCAATGAAGGATCCGAAAAGCCCATGACATTGGGTCCTGTAACGTTGGCTGCATACAAATCCATTTTATAGAAACAAGAAAGAAAGAGAGATCGCTTCATGTCAGAAACAGGATGTCCATAAATGTATGCGATTCGGTTTATTTGATTGGATGTCGTAGAAAATTTAGCCGTAAATGTATACATGTAGTTGATTTTGGCAGGTTAAATGTGCACGATCATTGGTGCATTGGTTAGAATATAGTCATTGAAAGAGAAAGATAACGGTTGGTAAGCATAGTAGTGTAATAATAGTAGTAGTAGCAGCAGATATGTACAGATAAGTGGTAATTGATCCTAAGACGACATGGTGGGGCTTTGATGCATTAGAACCAACAGATGCGCAGCATCCTCGTCGTCCGAGGAGAGCGTTGCTGACAATTTGCGATTATCTGTAATGAGAGGTGAATGCTGTGATCTTGTCTCTGACAAAGGGATGTGAGAGGGAGATCTGGACGCGTTTTTCTTTATTAAACGATCCATGTCGTTGTGCTGCATAGGAGGTGAGGTGGGATAGAATCTGTGATGCGAGAGCACTCTTCTTCTCTTCTTGTCGTGGATCAAGGGCGATGTGATGGTCTTTGTCGTAGTCGTAGGTGAGCTCTGGCTTGGCCTCAGTTTGTGCTCGTATAATGGGGATTCCAAGGTTCTCAAATCAACATTTTCGTACCCGTGTTCGCGCTTGAAGTTTGCTAATGCCAGTCGAGCTTTGAGTCGATGTACCATCTATCAGGCAACATGAGTGTCAAGACATGGTGGATGTGTTGGGTAAGCCTACTTACGTCTGACATGTCTGGCGGGGTGTTAGTCGTCTGTGCCATTTTGTTAAATGTGGAAAAAACTTGATGAAAACTAGTTTTTCTCGCTTTCTCTTTTTATAGTGTCAGCATGAACCCTTGTGTCTAATCGATCCAATAGATGCTATCATTTACATGTAACCAATCAAGTTTTGGAGCTAATTTTCATTAAATTTCTTTATTTCTATCTTGTTAAACATTCGATACACTGATCAACGGTTGCATGGCAATTGTGGCGAACATGGAGTGTCTCCAAGTATAACCAGGCCATTCTCATGTCGAAAGCGGAGTCGTTTGCTTGTTGGAAATTCATGCAATTTTGAGAACAAGACAGCGATTCCAACCCTGAGCATCCTTGTACACGGCAACTTGCTCCCAATCAGACCAGATTGCTAATACTTTTTCCATCATACCCTTGCCACACTCTAAAATCACATAGCCGTCTTTTCTCACAATGGTGGGTGCGACCTTGGCAAGCACACGATACCATTCATAGCCGTGGTCATTGGCAAACAGTGCTTCTGCGGGTTCCTGCTGCAAAGCGACCATTTGCTCTTTGCTCTTGCTAGCCTTGTCGAAATCAAGATACGGCGGGTTACACACCAGTATATCATAGGCTTTCTTATCATTCAACATGGCCATGTCTTGTATACGCCATGTCGCTCTTTCACACTGTTGGTTAGGAAGCAATCTGCGTGCATTTTCTCTTGCTACATTCAACGCCGCCTCGCTGATATCGACTCCAACACCTGTAGCACAAGAAATCTGATCAAGGATGGAAATCAGCAAATTTCCACAACCTGTACCCACATCAATCACATGGATTTTGCTGCTATTTATGGATTTGGATGCTGTAACAGCTGCTTCCACAAGCGTTTCAGAGCTCGTTCTAGGAATCAGACAATCGCTGGTGACCTTGAACATCAGACCGTTGAACTCCTTTTGTCCCAACATGTATGCCAGTAGCTGGCCTTGCTGTCTCTCCTCCAAATCGACGGCAAGTACACCAGATTTTTTGATTTCATCCGCCTCTCGGTCTAGTTTGTTCTGATGAAATCTGGCTTCTCGATCACACATGACGCCAAATTTCGCTGGCTCGTCTTCTTTGATTGATATTTGGGTGTTGAGTATGGGGTGAGTGAATGTTACCGCAATCAAAGCAGCACATAAGCCTTTGTCTCGATTGGCTTTCAAGGGCTTTGTGAAGGTGGAATTGCCAATGATGGGATAGTCAGAGTGAAAGTAAAAGAGCTTTCGTAATTGCGTGCTAGACAATGGCGTGCATAGTTGCAAATCCAGCCTGGAAATATGACGTGCATTGTTTGAAGGTGTTTGTGACACAATGTCAATACTCTTCAACACTTGATCGGGTATAATGCTCTCAGATTCTTCGTCTCGCTTATTCGTTTCAGGGCTGAATAGCTTACTGGCGTCCGCTGTTGGCACAAATCCATGGCAGAGGACACGCATTGTGATTTGAATCCTGTTGTTCCTGTATTGCTCCACCAGCAAGTCTCTCACTGCTTCGGTTTTGGCCACAATGATCTAGAACGAGCATGAATATCTGGCTTCCACACGTTGATCTGGGAACATACCAATCCAGATGCTGCTTTTTGTATATCATTGATGCACCATACTTTCTGCCGATTCCCTTCCAGATCCTTGAGAGCCGTGTTGAAATGTATCGCTTTTTCAAAAATCACAAAATTCTATATGATGGCACACAAAATTAAGGTTTGGCATGTTGAATTAGCCTTCTGTCTGCGCTGTACCTGTCCTGAGGGTTTCCACACTACAGCCAAATGATCATCTTCATAGCATATTCTGATCGGCACTGCTTTCAAAGTGTTTGCTTCTTCAATTGATTTGTCATATTTCACTTCTACTACATCGCCCTGCTTCAGCATACGAGTTTCTTCTACTGGGCGACCGTTTACTGTGATTTCATGTCTTGCAAATGCTCGATGCAGGTTTTCCTTTGATCGCACCACTGTTCTGTAGTGCTTCAAGAGATACTTTCTGACTCTAGTGTCATGCGCTGACTGGGGAATCATTACCTTGAGGTAATTTATTGAGTCGCTGCGGTTGCTGTCATCCATATTTAGCTGTTGAAAGAGAGCCAGCAAGAAGAAAAACTTTTCCATTGATTGATTTGCCTTTTAAAAGGTCACAAAATCTTACATGGTCGTACCATTGGCAGTTCATTGCACACTACAGCACCTTTAATTGACTAAATAGTGATTTGTTTTGGTATATAGAGCAGGGATATATATGGTTATCTTTTGATAAACAAAAGAATGAGGGTTGAAAAAAGTATTCAAATGCAAACAAAAGACATTGCAGCCATACATGATTTGCGGCATATAAAATCAATGTAGCTTACAGACTTGTTTGCAATGATCTAGAGCTCTGAGGGCCACAGAATATGCTGTTAGGATTATAAGATACTCTAACGACTGCTTCTAATGTAGATTTGGCTATCAAATCTCTGGTGTATCCTCTAGAATTAGAGCTGTCATTTGATCTCTGAAGCATGGCAAAACGGAATGTCAAGTTTTTATCGAATGTGGGTACAAATGTTCATTGCAAATGCATATGACATCCCATTGCAATGTTCTACCTCAGCAGAGTCGAGATTGCAAAGCACCACCTCGATAAGAAAAGCACATTTTCTAGTTCAAAACAGCACATGTTGCCATCATTTGTTAAACCAAATTAGGAAGTGGAATGGACAGGTTGATTTAGCTCATGTCGCCATCATGATTGACACCTCTGATAAAGTACTACGAATCAGGCGAATTTTTGCAAGCGATCAAACGATAACAAGGTGATTGCAATGTCTGATCCTCATACATGGTGGTCATCATGTCTGCTACTGTTGGCATGGCAACGAGCCAGAGGCACACCCTCAAGTCCGAGCATCTATTTAAGCTATTTTTACATTGTTTGATCGGATTAAATTCAAATGGATCCATCAGAAAAAAAAAAAAAAGAGGGGGGCCGGGCAAGAAATTTTTTATAATATAAAATTTATGTTCAGTCAGGTAATTTAAGAATCCTTCCCTTTGTGTTTTTGCGATATCCATCCATCCCCTTGATTGAGGCATCCATCGCATACAAGCTCTTTTATAGATATGTCCACTTACTCTAAGAATCTTTTCGACATCCTTGGTGATGGTGAGGTCCCTCGCCCCGCTCCCGTCAAGGAAGAGGCTCCTGTCGTTATTGACAAGAAGTCCGTCTCCAAGATCAACAAGGATGGTAAGTTTTCAGCTAACAAAATTCCGAGGCAGAGGAAATAGTACATTATCTTTAAACCCTTCTCGACGATGGAGAGAATGAGAGAAACATACCGCTCACAATTCAACAAGCAAGGCAACCCTCGTTTGACATAAATGCCAAATGCTCCAACTTTAAATTTCAACAATCAGGGCACATGTTTAATCATTTGACATTCGTATCTAAAAGGACTTGAAGGCACTGATATCGGCCTGATCTTTGGAAATCCCGGGGATCTGATCAGTGTTGCGCTTTGATATCGATATGGACAACAATTGATGTATGATTCAACTGGACAGTGCCTTATTTTTCATCTATTGGGTTTAAAGATTTTGGAACAAATCAATCTCGAAAGGAATTAAAATTTTTCTGTGCACATGGAAACTAACGTTTATTCTCATGATTAGCTGCTCGTGCCGCCAAGGGTGGTAAGCCTACCAAGGGTGCCCGTCAACAAAACGGTCGTCCTCAACGTGGTCGTCAATTCGATCGTCACTCCGGTACCGGTATTGTGTAAGTGGACTGATATCGATCCAGGAAATGACATTTGGTATATTAATTGTGATCTACAATCTGGTAGTGATACTGAAAAGAAGGTCAACAAGGGCTGGGGTAAGGCTGGTGCTTCTGAAGCCGAAGCTGCTAAGGACACTCTTAACCCTGCTGACCCCGATGCTCCTGAAGCCGAGGCTGCTGCCCCTGTTGAAGAAGAGGAACAAGTCAAGACTTTGGATGAATACTTGGCTGAGAAGGCTAACAAGTCTTTGAAGGTTTCTCTTCCTGAAGCCCGTAAGGCTAACGATGCCGATGATTCCGCTTTCAAGGGTACCGTTGCCTTTGCCAAGGAAGAATTTGAGGAGTTCTACGTCTCCAAGGAGACCAAGACCAAGAAGACCACCGAGAAGGTCCGCAAGGAAAAGGTCTTTGTTGAAATTGAGCAACGTTTCCAAGAGAAGGCTCGTCCCGAGTTCCGCAAGAACGATCGTCGTGGTGGTCGTGGTGGTAACAACAACAAGAACAACCGTCGTTCCACCAAGAACGCTGCTGCCCCCGCTGTCAACCTCCAAGATGCCTCTGCTTTCCCTACTCTCGGTGCTACCGCTTAAATCATTTTTTCTTGGTCATTGTAAAAGAAACAATAAACACTATCTAAACATCTATAAGATCTTGTAAATCTGACACGTTTTTTTGTTTGTATAATATATTGAAATGGAGAAGAGATATATAATGATACATGTCAGAATGTAGGTAGCTTTGAAAGAAGGAGTCATGGGATATTCTCGTATATTACAATGAACAATAATGAATAGGAGGCATGATTAGTGCGTTTTTCTATATTGATTTAATTATAAATGAACAATAAGGGCAATCCAAGCCTATTCAAGTGAGCCATCGTATTTTAACATCTCCTATATAACCATTCTATTTGGTTGGCCAGCCATAAATTAACAAGATCTACATGCAGATAAGTCAATTAATTCATTGCCTCTTCTTCCCTTCTTCTTCTTCCTATTCCACTTCCTTCTGTATTTCAAAGAGATGTGTAAGAGAAATCTGAAGAGGTTAGCATTGAATCTACAGTCGTCGTCGTCGTCCAGTAAAGAGATGATGCCAGCCACGCCCGTTGTCATGTCAAACAAGGTTAGCGACCAGCGTAACACTAAGCACGCACAAGATATGCAAGAATGCACGAGCAACATATATCAACAGGGTCCTGCTTGCATTTTACCCAATTTATATCTAGGTGCTTATTACAATGCTCTCAATGCCACACAATTAGCTCGCCACGACATTACATGCGTTATCAACGTAGCCAGTGAAATTGACGTTGTGTCCTTGCCACAGCACATTGAGTATCATCATATAAAGTGGACCCACAATCAGCTCGACCTTGCAACATCAGGATTCGAGCGAGCCATTGCATTGATCCGCACTGCCCATAATAGCCACCAAACTGTCATGATTCACTGCCAGCAAGGAATTGAACGCTCGGCGGCTTTGGTGGTGGCATTCTTGATAAAATCAACTCGCTGTACAAAGAGAATCAATGCAAAAGTGGACGAGGATGCTCTGGCAGGACAGAACTGGTCCTTTGATCGCGCGTTGAACTTTGTCCAGGAAAAGGCACCCAAAATTCGCCCTAATATGGAGCTTTTGTATCAGTTACGAGAGTATGAACAGTCAATACCAATGGAGCAGCAGCATCTGTACCAAACATCAGTGAGGGCAGAAAAGAGGCACAACATACGGAACAGAACAAAGCGCTCAGAGTCCATTGCATGTAGTAAACCATCCGCTAGAAGTGATGCGCCATTGACATCCTCCACTTCACTTCGATCATTGAATCAAGCTATGTATTACCAACGACCTCGTTCAGCCAGTGTGCGAGACACCTCATCATCAGCCAACTTGACATTTGCAACGACCACATCAGAATCAAGCGCATCCTCCAAACAGATAGACAAGCAGCCATTAGCTATTGCTGCACTGATCATTGTGTTGGTGGCCTTGTATCAACGAGAGTGCTGTCCTTTGTATCACACCACCAACAAGTGCAAGTCTAGCAATGGCAATGATACACTGAAGACAGCCGTGGATAACAGCGATAGCGATGGTTACAACAAAAACAACAGACATTTGGCCACTCAGTTTCTAAAACCAGCTTTTCCAATATATTAGCCATTTATGACCTAAAATCTAATAAAACAACAACATTGTGTCGTTCGTATATATATATATATATACAGAATCCCCTTTTTATTGACATTATTCATAGCAGAATCACCTTGATATACAGCAAAGGGAGAAGTTGAGACATCTTGATGGTTTCATTTACATAGCAGCACGAGAGACAAAGAATTTTGGATCAAATTCTATGACACTTGTTAAAACTATGCCCCTTACACACACGTATTTATATCAACCTACCCTTCTCATCCATATGGACTTCTTCTTTATGGCATCGATGGATCCAGCCCAGCGTAACAAACCGAGGCAGCGGCTCTCTTTTGAATATTTCTGATAACTTGGGTAAGCGCGATAAATCATGTGGATCAAAAATAACATGCGTTATTCTTGAATCTGAAGCATCTGCCGTTACTCTTCCTGCCTGAAACTCAAACAGAAGTTGAGCCAGCTCCAAATCTTCCTGATACCGTTTCCAATTGACCCATTCCATCGAGATTGGCGTAGGCTGTTCCTTGGGCATGGAAGTATCAAAATCAAAGTAGGCTACACAGTTCAAAAATAGCATGTCATTGATTCCTTCTGAAAAATAGCGTTCTGTTGTTTCCAAGGCCAAGTTGCGGTAACAGGTATCGCCTAGGTTTTGATCTGTGTCCATGCGATCCATGATCTATAGTATAGTCAGCAGTAGATTTTTATCAACACAAAGTCAGTTTGTACCTCAAGCAAGTCTTTGGTTCCTATTTTCTTGTTGTAGTAATCTCCATAGGCATCCATGGTTTTCAGAAAATCTTGCTGGGTTCTGGACGATGTATAATACATGTATTTGGGTGTAATAGGTAACAGTTTTTTGGCTTCGATAGAGTCTAGAATATAGTTGGGATGCAATATATCGCAATCTTCATCGGCTTTGATGCTACTGTCTACCCGTGAATCTGGTCTATGTCAACAGTCTGCACATATACACTACAGATGGGCACACTACTTACTCGATATGCCTGCAATGAGTATGTCTGCTGTCTTGTTCTGTCGATATTCACCACCATTCTCCTTGATCAGCAGGTCCAGATCATTCTTTGAGATACCACCAACATCAAAGTCTGACGATTTGGTTCCCGTAATGACATCTAAAAATACCATGATCAGTTTAGAGCCCTTGGTAGCCTCTCATAGCACACTTACAAAAGACTTTTCCCTCAAAAATGGCTGTTTTTTGAACCACGTTACTTGAGTCTATACCCTGCTGGCTAGGTAATAGCAATGCACCCTTTAATTTTTTGTCAGTGCAAGTCTGTCAGTGTCATTCATGATGCCTACCCTTCTGGACTTTTTTTCGCTGCCTCGCACACTATCACATTATATAAGACCATGTACATCCTGCTTGATGTTGTCTATCACTTACATTCTGTCAGCTGCGTCTCTCTTCTTGCCTACAGCACCTTCAGATCTCGCCTTGATGACATCTGAATAGGTCATTACATCTTGCCATCCTTTGTCTGATCTCAACCCGACATATTTTGGAAATCGCAAGGTGCACTGAGTCCCAAATTTAGCTATTGATTGCTCATTAGTCGCTTCATTGAAACTAGCGCATATTTACCTACTCGAATCTACAATCTCAGTGCCCTTGACCTCTACTACAATACCGCTAAACGACATATTAATACGACTAGAACAATTCGCAGTTATCTATACATACTCTTGATAAACAACGACTTGATCAAAGGATTCACCCGGTCTAGGATGGACCATCCATTCTGGCACCTTTCTAGGATCATGCTTTGACCTTGTTTTCATGAGATGCCTACGCTGTCATCAGTATAACGTACTCGGCATGCGCTTGGACTAATTGACTTACTCGAGCTCTCTCACGGTCTCTGCTTTCATGCCACCAGCCAATGTAAAGGTAACAAACCTGGGCGGCTCAGTGTCTGGAATCCTGTCATCTCGAACGGCACACAAGATGCTACCCAATTTTCCGCCTAAACGACCACTACCGTACTTTGTACCCACCAACAGCAGATCACACGTGTCCACCATCGAATCCATGTAGACGGGCTTGTACTTTAACCATTGAGAAGATCGCTTATCAATTTGATATACTGAGCTTCTATCCTTGATAACGAGGCCCTCTTCTCGATTCAATAACACTTTTTCCAGCTCCTCGTTGATCTCTTCTTGGGTGTTCATTTCGAGCCTGGGCATCAATCGCAAATACATGCCTTGTTCTGTTATCAGGTGGTCCAGTGCTCGCAAACGCTCTTCGAATGGGAATCCAGTCATTAGGGCATCATCAATAAGAAGAATATCAAAAACAACAACTATTTGAGCGTGTCAGCTACAATCAATAGCATAAAACATAAATCGATACATTACAGCAAGGGTGTGGAAGCTGGTCATTTCTGATGTCTCTTTTTGCTGCATCTTTCAAGGTGCCAAACTCCAAGAAGATGTCTTGCTTTGGATCGTAGGCCAACATTTCACCATCCAAGATGACTCTATGAGATGATCAGTGCTGAATCTTGCATCATCTATATAATTTACCTACTTTTTGGTAGTAATGCCTTTATAAATACGACTGGAAAGCTTGCTCAACTCCTTGGAGGAGGATCCATACAAGTAATTTTCGTCTATTCGCCTTCTGGAATGCCACAAGAACCGGTCCTTTTGTTTGTCATAATGCATTAGCACTCGCTCTCCATCAAACTTTTTCTCGACGTAAAATGGCTTTGTCAATTGATTGTAACACTTTTCGCTGAATGGCTCGCAGGTTTGAGGTATGAACATGTTGAATAATTGGAGCCTCTGCCGTCTCTGATCCTACAGAGATAATCATGTGTGAGTCTAGTAGTATCGAAAAGCAGTTGATGTGCCATTACTCGAAGTCTAGCGGTGCTTCCTTCTCCTTCAGTGTATGATGCCAGATTACATATTGCTTGCAATGATTTGTTGGTCGTCCAGTCGTCATACGCGCCATCGTAGATAGAATTCAAGATGGTTCTTTCGCCACACTGAATCTTTAAATCTATGGCGGTACATGATCAGTATACCATCATCAACCATATCACGGCCTGAACATATACCTTTTAGAATGATGCGGACGATCCATTGCATTTGCTGTGCTGTGTATTTGCTCAACATTTCCTTGAATATGTCGGCCTGATCCTCCTTCTTTTCAGGGTCTGCTAATCGGTCCAAGAACTCATTGGTTTGTCTGACTGTCTGTGTTGATTTTCGCACAATGGATCGTTTTTCAATTTCCTCATAGGCAATAAGAGGGAAATTGCCAGCAGTTTTCTGCAAAGCACGTTTTAGCAAGAGAAAAGGCAAGCCCACACAAACAATACCTCATTATGAGCCACAGGTTGTTTGTACTTTTTCAGACGGATGCCGTCAGCACACGTTGGATTAATAGCCAATGCTTTCGTCAAGACAGATGCTAATTTGTCCTCCTTTAAATTGTACGTTCTCTCATCTCCCTGTATTATATGAGTATATCGTCATTCTGCTGTGATTTGGATATATCAACAAACATACTTTTGGTAACAGTAAGCGTATCGCGTCATACACATCAGGACCACAACGTTCAACCCATTTTGAGATAAACTTGCGCAATCTTTCTCTCTTTTCACTACTCTTAATGGCATTCAATTGTTCGAGAAAAATACAAAATTCCTCGAATGAAGGTGAGGCAGATGGCATTCTAGAAAGTTCACACACAAAAGGCAACAACGCCTTTATTTCCAGAGCAGGAATGTTTTGGGGTTTCGTATGACCAATCAATGATTGCATACTTGAGTCCGCCATAATTTCATGATTAGGGCATTGGCAATTCTCGCTAGCATAAGGATGATCACTATATGACCTATCCCAACCTTGTTTCATATTGTAACATTGATGGCAACTCCTCAGAAACATGATGTCACGTAGTAATCATACAATGATTGATGGATCTGTCCATAAAACGAGCAACATCCAGTCATCTTTTTTGCATTGTCTTTTTATCTAATACATACTACATTCTTATATTATCTTAAACAAACATGGCCAACGTTTCTAAAGCTGCAAGCAAATTTGGTGCTGGTGTGGGCTTGACTGGTGCTCCTGCATTCAAGAGAGGCGATAATATCGTTGATTTGATCATTGCTGATCACAATGAAGCCAAGGAATTATACAAAAAGTACAAGGAGACTAATGATGTGGATGAAAAGGTCAAGTTGAGAAACAGCTTGGTCAAGGCCTTGGTCCAGCACGACGAATGCGAGCAATTGCTCATGTATCCCTTGTTGAGAGAGAAGGTTGGTGGTGCCGTTGGTGAGGGTCATTACTCTCGCAGTTTGTCTGAACATCAAGAGTTGCGTGAATTGATGTATCGCGTACGATACGCAGATATCAAATCCAATCCTAAGCAATTTGACTTTAAGCTGGACAATGCCATGCATTCTGTGTTCCTCCATGTTGAGCAAGAAGAAAAGGAGGTTTTGCCCTTGTTGACTCAACACTGCTCTGAAGAAGACCTGGAAAAGGTTGGTGCTTCCTTCAAGGCGCACAAGCCTGTTACTGTTACAAGACCTCACCCAAGTGCTCCAGCTCAAGGATGGCCACTCGCTGTAACTTCTCTTATAATGAAGCCTTTGGATAAATTCAGAGACTATTGGGAAGGTGTAGCTTAACTTTCCCCCCCCCCCCCACTTTGTCTATTTGTTTAATCATCTATCATTCAAATAATAATCTTTGCAATCAACAAATAATAAAAAGCATTCTAAAAACACAAGATATATGATATTATGCTCGTATCAAAAGCTCCAGAACAACTAGAGCAGAAAAGAATGGTTTAGGGTCTTCACTAGGAAGAGTAACAATGGCAGAGTAAAAACTAGTTGTGATGGGGGGTTTTTTTTTTTTACAGATAAATCTTTCGCATCCTGATGTTTCTAAGGTAAAAAGCCATCATTACGGTGAAGCTCAATAGTAGAAATGGTTGGTTTCGTACTTGACAAGTAAATGGCGTTTCAATGATAAGGATGCTTTCAATGCAAACTGGAATTTCACTTTTCTGCTTTCTATTCTCACTTGTTGAGGGCGCTTCATTAGCCAGTACACTGTGATTCTCGATGCTCCACGTTTGTATTAATCGAAACAATTCAAGTGCAATAAGACAACATACTTGCAATGCCTCTTATTACTCCGAACTATGCAAAACACAGCGAAATCTGGATGCACTTGATCCGTGATTCCTCGCGTTAGAAGCCGTTTTAGATTGCCAGAGCATCACCAAACAGTTGCTTACATCTAGCATTTACTTGCTGATACCTGTCCAACTTTTCTGGAATCGCCAAAACCGCTACCAAACCATGAGGGGGTACCTCGTGGTTTTCTTCATAAAAAAAAATAGACTATTCGCGTTTTGGACACCAAAAGTGATGACTTTATGACATACGAGTGTTTACGCCTCGGTGAGAACCAGCTTGCGTAGCGGCAGCTCGCGCTACTGATTGCCCACACGTATCTTTTCAAAATACTGGTACTTTCATTTTGGCCCTCCACTTTCACATGAAAACCCTTTATATTATCTGTGGATCTGATTCTTATGTGATGCTCTGCATCCATATACACGTAGCTATTTCGTATACGGGCAAATATCATACAGATATCATCCTTTTTTAGTCAAGAGTGTGCCTAATACAGCGAAAACTGAGTGCACTTGAGCTGCGTTTTCTCGCGTTCAAGGCCGTTTTAGATCGTCAGAATAGCACCAAACAATTGCTCTCATCTGGCAGTTACTTATTGCCACTATCTCAACTTTTTGAGGATCAAAAAAACATGGCCAAAAATCGACCAAAAAGCATGAGGTACCCCTCATGGTTTTTATTGAAAATCAAACGATCGCGTTTTTGACCTTGATAACGAAGACTTTTACTATGGTATATTATGAATCAAAATGTTTCTATCGATCCAATGTAACCACTGAAATCATCTTTGTGGGACCTTGATATGTAAAATTTCGACTTTTTGGCCAGAAACCTGTTTTCATATTTTCGTAAATTACTCAATAAGTTTATTGAAAACACCTATCTTACTTGGTACCATTGGATGCGTCTTGAAAAGCACTCCATGAAAGCTTAAGGAAGCATGGGGTGATCATCATATTTTATATAGTCGAACATGCAAAAATAGTTCTTTTTTTTTTAAAATTTTGTTTATTGATTGATTCGCGTACACTGAGAGTAATAGGTCAGAGTGAAGAGGCGAGTGCAATTTAGATAAAGAATTGGATAACTATAAGCTAAAATATGAAGAATAATATACTAAACTAAACTATATAAAAAAAAACTATCTAATAATTGGCTTTGGATTACAGGAGGGAATGGCACTGATCTTCCGCAATGGTCTGACGAACACTGGTTCGAATACTGGCCAATATCGCTGTATGGTCCATAGGAACATTGTCATAGATGAACCTCATGTGGGCAAGCCACAGTTGACCAAGGGTGATGATGAGGATTCGGAAAGGCTTGATTCCAGCAATTTGGCAATACCAAACGTTGGAGAAATCAAGTTGCAGAAGAGCCTCTTTAATATCTAGAATCGAGGTGGTAGGCCACAGAAACTCGAAGATGACTCCCTGCCAAACTTTCTCTTTAGAAGGACAATGAAAGAGGAGGTGACTTGGGGAATCGTTCATAGACAAACAAACTGGACAGAGAGGAGACACAAAGACTTTGGGCATAATAAAATGCAAAAATCGACGGTGAGGAATTCGACCCAGAATGAGACGGTATATCACATTACGTTGGACAGTGGTAAGAGACAGGGACCAAAAAAATTTCCAGCTGGACGCAGAGATTTTGCGCAATGCCAAAGGAGAGACCACAGACGAAAGGACAGCCCGACGAAATGCCTTAGCCGAGGCCTGAACATTACCAAGAGGTTGATCATCAAGGAGACGAAACTGCTCAATCAAAGGAGCAAATGAGACGACTGAATCCTCTAAAGGAGCTGGGCTACAGACTGGCTCGAAGTAAGGTTGAAACTGTAATTTCCCTGTCGCTAGGCCTTTGAACACTGTGGAGGGAGTTCTTTTCCAGGTGAGCAGAGAGGGGTCGCGAGTATCCTTCCAATGGACGAAATTGAGCCGGGAATCATACTGAAAAACGTCGGCCACCATCATTTCTTTGACACGAAGAGGAAGCACGAAGCTGGAGGAGAGAGGGACAAACACTGCAGCCTGCAGTGGCAACGCCATAGCTGTAGCTGTATTAATGCGGGCAGAGCCAAAAGAACGAGGGAGATAATCAATAGCACGATATATCATATCCACAGTGCCAGTTCGTTGTTTCAGTAACCCTTGAGAACGAGACGAGGGAAAAAGCAAAGGGATTTGGTGAAATTGGCAGTTGTTAACATTTCGAATGTGATGGCTGAGAAGAGATGACACAGGATGGGCATCAATGGTGGATTGATCATACACCAACAAAGGTTGCAACCATCGAAAGTACAACGCCGAAGCTTGTAGCTGGATGTCGATCACCCCGAGACCACCTTGTTCCTTTGGGAGGGTCCAGACAGACCATGGGATGACGGGGAATATGTTCTTTCTCAAAAATTGTATGGCAAGAGATCTCAGCTGTTTGAAGTCTGCCAGAGTCAACGGAGTAACCCGTAGGATGTACCAAAGTTTGGAGAGCAAAAGAGAGTTCAAGACAGTAGCTCGACCGACAACCGACAGTGATCGAGTAGAATGTATTTGAGTGGCAATTTTGATCTTTGTTACCAGCGAGCCCATGAAGTTGACACGTTGGAGACGACTTTGAACCAAAGGAAACCCCAAATAGATTAAAGGTACATCATCTTCAACGGAATGTAGATGATTGATGTGGATTTGAGCCAACGAGGTCTCCCAAATATCCCATGTATCTCTGCCAGATACCGAAAAGGCCTCCACCTTATCGTAGTTGAATTTGGCATTGGAAGCGCCGCAATACCTGGACATATGTATTTGCAACCGAGCGAGATCAGCAGAATCATGGACAAATACCAAGGCATCATCAGCATAACAAAGAAGCTTGGTTTGTTCAGTTCCCATAAGGTACCCTTGGAATTGACGATCGTTAATTATGGCCAACAAGAAGGGTTCAAAAGCTAGATTGTATAGGATTGGAGACAGTGGATCACCCTGCTTCAAACCTCTCAGTTTCGCCACTTCGGACGATAAGTGTCCATTGAGGTTGATGCGAATCAGGTTGTCACCCATTAACTTGTAGATGCATTTCACCAAAGGGCGGGGGAAGCCAAATTTCAGCAAGACGTGCCGAAGGTAGTCTAAATTTACACGATCATATGCCTTTTCTTGATCAAGGAGAAGGCCAATATCAGCATCCAAAGAGCCAAATGTAGGATCGTCGTCCCGTTGTTCCGCAACTGTCCATTTTCGTTGTGTGTCTTCCATGATTAGTTGACAAATCATACCATTTTCAGCAATATATCGTCCTGGAATGAATCCTAACTGGTGGCGGCTGATAAGCTGGGTAGAGACGTCCATGATACGCCGGTTGATGCATCGAGTAAAAAGCTTGTAATCCGAGTTGGCCAAGGATAAAGGTCGATAGTTTTTCATGTGAGCTGGATCGCCTTTCTTGTACAAAAGACACATAATGGTTTCGTTCCAAGATTTAGGAAACTTACCCTTCTGTAGAGCTGTGTTGAATACATCGGTGACAAGGGCATGCAACGGAGGATATTTCAAAACCAAGTACAGAATCTCGTAAGGCAGGCCATCTGGGCCAGGGCTGCTGAGTCTGCGGGTGTGTTTGCTATCTTCCAAGAGTTCTTCCATGTCGATTGATAACATCAGAGATTCCTGCTGTTCACTAGAGATTTTCAAATGACCAGGAATGGATCGGATCAAGGTACTAAGAGCTACTGAATCAGTTGGGTCGGGAGTAAATAGAGTAGAGTAGAAGTTAGTCGCTATGGTGGAGATACCATGTTGATCGCGACAGAGTTCATCAGTAGTGGGGTCCCTCAATTCAGTGATAGAGCGCTGATTCTCTCTGGCCAAAGCGCTCCTCTTCAGGAAACCAGCAGACTTCTCACCATTTTCCCTCCAAAACTTGCCGGCTTTGAGGATCTCAATTTCCGCTATAGTGTGTTGCAGTAGTTTGATTTGAGTATTGACATGATCTAGGCCTTGGAAAACCAAACCTCTATGCTTGTGTTGTCTCATCATCTTGTTTCGCTTGGACAGTAACTGATGCAGTTGTTTCTTCCTCCAATTCAGATCTTCTAATTGAAATGACTTGATGAAAATCTTGACTTCAGCTTTTACCCAATCCCACTGTTGTTGAGGAGTAGAAAAGGATTTGATTAGTGTAAATTGCTCTTCATTAGCCAAGAGAAATTCGGCTAATGCCTTGCGAAACTGTCGATTGCGAGCCAAAAATGGGTTAGCCTTCCAGCTGCCAGGTCCTCGTCCATTGTTGTCTTGATACTTGAAAGTGAAGCCTAATAATTCATGATCCGTCCATTCTGGAGAGAGATACTGTTGATGGATACTAGGAATTTGATGATGAGCATTCGTACTGCAAAACACATAATCCAAGATGGCCGAGTTTCTCCCACTATGCCATGTTATCTGTTTGTCATCTCCAAAAATGTCAATGTAGTAGTCATCTAACAGATCCGTCCATTCCTTAGGGGCGCTAGACAATGTTCCGTCCATCCTTCGATCCTTGTATTGATAATTAAAGTCCCCCATAATAAAAGTGTTGTGTAGTGTGTTGGTAATAGTATCCTTAACAATGGGTATGTCAAGGAGTTCTGTATAAAAGGCTGATCGAGCTGACGGGAGCGATGATCGACCATATATGTTTAGAATAGTTGCAATTGGTGTTGTAGTTGTAAATTCCTGTATATCGCGAGTTAGGTGAACAGAAGCTAGTATATAGCGTCCCTCATCGATGCCTTCCGATATAAGATTAATTGTTAAATGTTTGTTGAGGGCTATGATGCCACAATGTTGTGTCCAGAGACTTGATTTGCTGATAAAATGATTATTGAGTATGTCAATTGATGTTGAGTTTGTAGCATGTGTTTCTTGTAACACCAGTATATCATATTCTAGTGTTCGAAGATATCGAATGAATTGTTGTCTTTTTTTGGGATTTTCTGATTTGATTAAGCCACGGCAATTGAGGGTGGCTATTTTGAGTTGATAGTGGATATTATTCATATTTAAAGATTGGTGGAAGGTGGTGTACCTGAAGGTGCAGGTGGTGTCAAATTCCTATCAATCGTATCCGTATCATCACCAGACATGCGCCTGGCATCACTGTGGGGGTTAGAGATTTCAGCGTGTTAATATCTGGCATAACCGATATCTAAAGATCCTTCCTGGCGGGTTAACTTCTTCGCTGCTTTCGAGGGATCAAATTCAGGATGAGATCTGCGCACATCCTTGGAAACACTGTTTAATGCATCCGCATCAGAAAACTTTGTATTCGTGTTGTTCTCTTCCATAATGGTATCTCCAGTTATTTTGGTTTGTTGTTGAGAAGCTTCAGGGGAGGGTGCATCAGCATTAGGTTGAGGAGCATCCTGCATGATATGATCCTTGTCTTCTACTGGTTTGCTTCGACGTTCAGAATCGGCCCTCTTTGGAAGAGTAGGCTTGGCTCCCTTTCGTTCCTTGGGCTTAGCAGAAGTTCTGTCAACAGCACGAACCTTTGCAGGTACCGATTCTGCGTTGTTTCTATCACAATTCTTCGATACATGTCCACGTTTGTTGCAGTGGTAGCATATTGCCCATTTGTGGTAGTCTGGGCAGTCAGCACGACAGTGATCAGGTTTCTGACACTGGCGGCAAAAGGCTGGCATTTGATCCCATTGTAATAGGATTTGTCGCTGGTCATCTTCCTTCGAGCGAGTGTCCCAAATGATAACTCTCTTGAGAGATTCCAAGTGTCGCTGTCCACTACATTCAACTCCAGCTTCATGTGAATCCATACATTCATTACCAGGAACATTGGATAAGGTGAGATTGAGGGTGACATATCCTTCACCTTGAAAGATACCAGTCTCTGTCTTGAAAATACCATGATCCAATACGTCTCCAAAACAAGAGAAGCGCTCCGCCATTTCTTTCTTCAGCTGGACAGCAGGAAGAAAAGGTAGCTTCTCCATAGTGATACGCACAATGTTGGCATCTTCGGTAAAAGAGGGAAAGCCCTTCAGGTAGGTCCCATCCTCCAAGGTAATTCCCTGTTCGATGAGAGTTTTTCGGCCAGCTGCATTTGGTAGCCAAAGAGTTTCCAAGAATTGGTGACCAAGGTAGTGTCTAGTTTGTTTTCGATATCCTAGAAAATCCTCATACAGATCATCTCTTTCTGCCTCTTCATTGAACTTGACAAGTGCCTTGTCCAGAAGAGTTCTATCTTTAACTGTAGTCAAGTCTATGAATACCGAGTCCTCTTCTATCCCATTCATGAATGGTCGAACCATTGCAATAGGTTTGGGAGGAGTGGTGTTAGCTGCAGACGCGTTCTGGATCGAGTCGGCAGGAGGGGTGATCAACGTAGGGTTGAATGAAACATTTTGCTGTTGTTGTCGTAGTTTGCCCTTCTTGTTGTTGCGAACGACATGAGTCCACAACTCAGGAAGTGGGTGTTGCGATGTCATTGATACAAAATGCAAAACAGATTACAGAATAGATTCAAAAATAGTTCGATCAAGTCGAAAAACTACCAAGATTTGGCCAATCTGACCAATCTGGAATAGACTAAAAATCTGAGTTTCAATAAACTTTGGCGGCTGGTATTGCCCGCTGGCAAACTCAATGCCCTTTTCATCATGGAGGCAATACAGTAATAGATGCTTTTGAAGTGTATGGAAAGTAGGTGGCAGATTACATAATATTATCGTTAGCCATGCTATTTTTATTGCATTCTATATTTAATAACGCTAGTCTAGCAAAATACTTGTTAGATCAACTTGTTTCCTTTTTGAGGCTTTGAGAGTGTCTAGTAGGGACCATAAATTTATTATGTTACTACGATGAGCATTTTGACTCTTTGGGTGGTTTCCTGACCTACACTTCGCTTTGCTAAAGACCGACCTACGTTTAGGTGGTTCGTGCTGCCGCAGGTCTTTGGCTAATATTGCAAAATTAACAATAATAGCTAAAATGCTTGAAGAAACTCGATTCTGATCCGAATTTGACCAATCTGGAACGAAACGTACCGCATATACTGTATATTGAGGTTTCAATAAATTTTGGCTGACAGAAGGCTTTCTTGAGAAAGTAATCAATGTTTGTAAAGCTAATAAGAAGGGAACAAAGAATTGTAGAATACTATCGCTTAGCTTGGCTACTTTCCAGCACCTCTATGGTGTGATTTTATGTGTAATGAATTCGAGTACTACAAATTGCTCATCCAGATGCGCATGCTAATGCAAAATGCACAGTTGCTCACCTTAGCCAAGATTCTGATTGAAACAAGAGCATTTCTTGTTGCAAACACTTCACTATCAATACAACATATGAACAGTACGAACAGTAATAAGGAGGTTCTAGAAATAAGAAATTGCATCAAGTTTGTTTTTGTCTATACACACAAGCAATTCAATAATCTCTTGGCGTAGATTGTCTAAAATGTTTTATTTATACATAAATGAGGAGAGATCAATGGGTTTGTCGATCAATGTGGTCGTGTTTAATTCAATGCGAGCAGTTTGAATCGTACTACTTGGGTGTCATGTAATTGCCAGGAACGAGGCCTCTCTTTCTTCTGTTTGGATCAAGCAACTCAGCATACCACCATCCATCAGGTTGTTGATTGAGAATAGCAAAGCTATCATTTGCATTGAATGATAATTCGGTAGGGATCTATTGACCAAATTTGGTTATTATTTATTTCATGATCTTGTACCACCACAGTAAGAGTAATATTTACCTGAGCAGTGTAATTCCATACTGCACGAGTATATTGTAATACGGGTGCTCCATCAGCTAGTCGCTCAGTGCGAGGTTTATGCTTGGATGATTGCTGCTGTTGCTGAGGCTGTGGAGGACGTTGTTGCGGTTGACGATGTTGTTGTTGTGGTTGCTGCTTGGTAGGAGATGATTGCTTCAATGGGGACGATTGCTTAGGGGATGGTGATAGTTTGGAAGGTGGTAGTTGCTGAGCAACTGATTTGGCTAGTTGTTGCATAGGCTGTGCTCGCTGTTGTTGTTGTTGTTGTTGTTGTTGAGGCTGCTGAGGTTGATTTTTTTGTTGAGATGGCTGTTGCTGTTGAACACGTTGCTGTTGTGACGAAGCAATAGCATCATTTTTTGGTGGCTGTTTAGCATCAATGGCACCATCCTTGTTTGCCATGATGACCTTTTGTAAATGATTGAAAGCAGCATAAGCATTCTCAGACTTGGATGGATCCAAATGAGAATAGCTGTTGGTAGGCACAAACTTTAGGGCAGCGTATCCTTGCAATTCAGCAGGCGTCAGAGGGCTTTTCTCGGCTGTAGTGGCATTGTTTGGCCCAGCATTGGCTCCAGTATTGGGTTGAATGAGAGGCATGTCTTTGCTCTTTGATGAAATGGTCCATTTCTCATCGCTGTTACTACCATTTGAATCTGAAATGACCGAATTTCTTGACGTAGTGGGAGACGCGAGAGGTGAAATCAAGGCAGGATTGAAGGCAGGATTGCGCACTGGCTTGAATCTCTCGTCATCGTAATCATCTGAGGACTTGAGACTCAAAGAGTCGACAGAATCGCCCAATGCATCAATTCTCTTCTTGTCCTTCTTCTTTTTTTTGTCCTTCTTCTTGTCCTTTTTCTCCTTTTTTTCCTTTTTCTCTGGGCTGCTAATCACGTCGTTTTCAGACATGTTGTATCAATTCGAATGTGATGGAACAAAACAAGAAAGAAAGAGAGGACAAGTGTGGAATATGGCAAAGGTTGAAACCCAGTGGTTTGAGAAAAAAAAAATATTTTTGGTTCCTCAATTGATTGTATACGAACCTCGGTGAAATTTGGTTGTTCAATGATACCAATTTGGTGTAAACTCATTTAATGTATGGCATTTTATTTCATGTGTAGTTTGTATCAACTCTCCTTTCAATCAAGCAAAGAGGAAAAAAAAAAAAAAAAAAAAAAAAAAAAAGGTACTATTTATTCGTTGTCTGCACTAGTTTATTTAGTTCATTTGGATGTCTTCGTTGTTGCCCATGTAACTGTCCATTTCAGCATCCAAATCTTGTTGGCTTGGTTTGGGGCGAGATTCTCTTTTGTTACCACCACTGCGACGGGCGTTGTTGCTGCTGTTGTTATCACGACGACCGCCACTGTTACCACCACGAAGATTACTGCGACGGGGAGCATTGCTGGAGGGAGCATTGGACACGGCAGAGATGATGGAGGCATTTGTGATGCGCATAGGACGGCCTGACGATTGAATGTTAAATTGATTGCTACTCGTGATCCACCATCTCATAATTTACCATCTAATTCTACGTTGTTGTATGTGGTGCGGGCTCTTTCAGCGTCATGACTAGATTGGAACACGATATCAGCAATACCGGCAGATTTACCGTTGGGACCAATGTGGAGGAAAGCTCTCTTCAATGTACCAATTTGACCAAAGAGATCCTAATTGCAATAGAGATGAATATCATGGCCCATTTCATTCGTACACCTTACTTACATAGAGATCCTTTTCGGTGACATTGAAGTGTAAATTGGCTACAACGAGGCTGTTATTCGAGGCGCGAGGGGTGCTGCTTGCTGGTCTACTGTTTCTAACAGGTGCGTTGTTACGTGCAGGTCTGGCTCCATTGTAAGGCTTAGAACACACAAACAAAGGTAGAAAGAGAAACGAGATGTTGACAATTAGGATAGCTGTTCTTCATATAACATGTGTAAAATAAAATTGCGAGAAAAAAAAAAGAGAAAGCAATACTCGTATTTCCAATCCAAGAAGAAAGAGGTGTTCGTCCACATACAGCAAAAAGAAAGAAACACGGGTAAATTTCCTTCGATTTGGTTCATACAACCTGAGCCGAGTGTATATACAGTTGACTGTGTGCAAAGATTGAGGGTGCAGATATATCATCACAAAACGATCTTCTCTCCTTTTCCATCTCTCTCTTTTTTTTTTTTTTTTTTTTCCCTTCCGCGCGCAAGGCATGCAAGAAGCAAGGAATAGCAAATGATGATTTGCAGGTAACCCTTTCCCATGATTTCTTCTTCTTTTCATAGTGGAAATAGAGGAATAGGTGCTCTTTTTTTCTCTGAGGGAATAATAATAAAGGAGTTGTTAACATACCGAAGGGCGACCACCTGAAGAACGGCTCTTGCTGATACCGCCACGAGAGTTACCACCACGGCGACCACCAGGGTTGTTGTTGCTGCTGCGTTTGTTGGTGCGGTTTTGAGAAATGACATCGTCAAGTGCCATGTCGAGAGCTCCAAGGTTACTCATGTTTGTAGTTGTATATATGTGTTTGGGTGAGGGTAAAGGGGAAAAGGCTTGTGTGGGTTTGTGTGAAAATAAGGGAAAGAAAAAACGATCAGTTGTGAATCTCGCTAGGATTTCCATTTTGTAAATAGAAAAATTTTCCACCAACAGCGATACGTCACCTAGTGGTGAATCTCATTAAAAGAGACCAATCAACTAGGGTTACATGAATGGGTTGATGTTCAAAATAAGAAGTACTAATTGTGATAAAGGAGTACATTTGTGATCAACAGAGACAGCCCGACATCTAGATTAAAATGGGCCTTTTTTGCAAGCTTATTGTAGGATAAATCTAGTTTTGATGTTTATTCACAATACACATTGGTAGATAACATGTTGACTGGTAAGGATCATTCGTGTTGCACAGCATAAATCCACTGGCTGGAATATAAGTCTAGTGCTCTACATGTTTGCAGACCTCCTCATCGTGCTGCTTATCCTGATAGCCCGTAGCAGCATCCCAATTTCCCAAGGTAAAGTCTTCCACAGACCCTTCGTCTTTGCTGATAGGAGAATGGTCATCTTGTGCAGTAGGGGTAGCGTTTTCTTTTAGTTTTTTGGCTGTTGATTCGCTCTTGGATGCCAACATTTTAGAAAAGTCGCTCCATGGCACATCGACAAATGAGGTATTGGATGGTGTGATGATGCTTGGCTCTTCGCTCACCAAATTGGGGACACTCTTGAGGTGTTGAAGTCGTTCTTGACCGGGATCCATTGTGTATTGGTGTATATGATTAGTGTAGGTAGTATAAAGAACAAGAAACTGCGCTTCCAAAGAACGCTCTTATATACATTTTAGAGCATGAATTTCTTGGGGGGTTTCTGTTTCACTTGAGATCGTTTCCCAGGGGTGTGTAATGTGAAATGTACACTTATTGAATACACTGGAGAGATTATCAGCAGCCAAACAATGAATTTGACAAGACGATGATAAGCGCCAGCTCAATCCAGGAGAACTAGTAACCTTGTATGAGATCATTCGCACGTAAAGAATCATTGATCCACCCTGAATCAACGTTACTTTAGGCACAATGATTTGCTTGATCTATCCAACGTAGATTATCTAAACAAATCGTCTTACAGAGTCATATCGAAATAATGATAAGATTACGTATTTCTTTCTCATCCATCTCGTAGAATGCAGCATGATGTACAAGACTATTGCAAATTATCATCCGCGAGAGACTTAAATCAGAGTTGCCTATTTGTCTGTCAATCAAGTGTCTCAATGCACTTGAAAGAGGTGATATTCGCAGGCACATGTGTCCTGAATTGAGCCTACAGATCAGGCATGCTTTCGTTTAGCGTGTCTATATATTTTTTCAAAAACGATGGCCAAATACATCGCGATATCTTTGAAGGCCAGTGATTACATCCAGGTACAGGTAGGTTGTAGTTGAGATCCAGTGAAGTATTGACTGGTTTTGCTTGTTATCTTCAGCATTGTCAATACATTGGAATGATAAATCTAGGCAGAAGCAATCTTTACAGTGTATGATGTCTGATCAAGTTTTTCAAGATGCGTTCTTTGCTCGAGTCTCATCACATGAAAAATATTCTATATTTGAACATATGTCTACTACTGTAACATAAGCCCATCTTTGACATGTTGGTGGGGGGGGGAATGATGGACCCAAAATGTCAAGCAATCGATCGGTGCTATTGGCTGCTGGCTAGGCTCCTTATTAACTGCTATAATGGCACATGGACATGGCCATTTTAAAATGGACAGTCGCCCACGGAGCCAACTATTTCGGAACACGGGAAGAAGCTATGAGACTGTGTGTATACTCAGAACAGATAATTAGAATCTCAATGAAATCGTGTAGTACCATGACAAGCAGGTGCTTAAATAGAGCCACAATGGATGGTTTCACTCGATTAAGGTTCAACTGTATAAATTGCCTCGTACTTATCTATATACAACAGATGCAGAAAATACCTCAGTACTATGAGATTCATGTAGAACGAGCCAATATTGAGGTTGAGCGTCGAGCATGTATAACATGATGTTCAATAACATCATTCACGTTTTAGCCTCGGTATTGACTCCTCATGATATAAACCAGGATTGTATTTGCCAAGACTGCAGAATAGAGTTTTTGAGATTAGAAAGACAGGAATATACCATATGAAATGACAAATTTCAAGAGGGGAGAGAGTGTGTGTATGAGGGGCACAACCATCAGGTTACATCTAATATGTGGCGGGGGCAGAGGTCCAATATAAACATTTCTAGCCGCAGTAGAGGTTATTTATAACGCAAGGTAAAAACTGGTTTAATGACATTTCAATGTGCATACATTGAGTAACGTTTGGCTGCCTTGTAGTCAATAAATATAAACTGTTTATTTATGGGATGCATGTGTGCTGAAGAGATTGGGTAGAATGTATTACATAACAGGGAGAAAATGCTTATAGAGTCAATACATGGAGGAGGGGGGGGGAATAATTTGCATATTATACATAGGAGGGTGAGGGAATTAGCAAGTGGTATAGTGAATGAAAGAATGCTAAAAAAAAAAAAATCTAAAAGGTTTCAAATGTAGGCTACTTTTTTCTTGATATAGTGCAGATAGGCTGAACTCCATCCGTATGCCTGTGAACTTGACCATGAGCATCCATTGAATCGTGACAAACAGCAATGGATTCCAAATAAGGGTCTGCAAGCAATTCACTGGCTGTAATGCGAGTCTGCGGGTTGGGATCAAGCATTCTACGCAAGATACATTTCTGGTGGTGTGATAATGGACGAAACAGTTCAAATGTTTCATTCTTTTCAAAGGCACGGATGTATCCACAATAAGCACTGTCTGTCTTCTTTGCCTTGTGCCATGCAAGACCGCCCAGACTGATACAGTAAAAGACGATACCAGCAGACCAAACATCAGCAGCAGCACCAAAGTATTCCTTATTTTGAAAGGCTTCAGGAGCAATGTAAGGCTCGGAACCAACAAGGCCTCTGCTCAAACGGCCTTTGGATTCCCAAGGAAAGCGATACACATCAGAGACACCAAAGTCAGTAATCTTGAGTGTACCGTCCATGGTCAGCAACAGGTTTTCAGGTTTAATATCACGGTGAGCAACACCCATCGAATGAAGGTAAGATAAGCCTTGGATCATTTGCTTGAAACAGCATGCCTTCTCGATGTCAGTCATACGCTCTGCCAAAATGCTGCTAAACAAGTCTCCACCAGGACACTGTGTTTGTTATGTTAGGAAGGGATGTAATTTGTCATATAAACAAAAAAAAAAACTGAATGTATACATTACATATTCCATCACTGTGCAGTATCTCTTTTTATCGTCTAAAACTAAATCAATCGTTTCGACAATGTTTGGATGTTGGAATGTGGAGGATATACAGAATTCGCTGGTCAGCTTCTTCATGTAATCTTTTTCGCTTTCTTGCTTTTGCTTCTTGCGGAATTGCTTGATGGCATACAGCTTTTCTGATCTACCGTCTTGGTCCAGTTTCCGCACTACCATCACGACAGCAGTAGTGCCTTGACCTAGTCTCTTGTAGCATTCACCGTATTCTTTCAGGCTGGCAGTGTCAGCACGATGTCTTCTTGCGCCGCCGCCGCCGTTGGTGGAGGAACGTCTTGAGAGGTTGTTGTGGTTTGAGGTGATGGATGCGGCAGATGAAAGAGATTGATTGCAGTCGTCGGCAGTGATGTTCATTTTGTTGTGGATGGATACTATGGAAGAGTTTGTTGATGATGTGGTTGAGCTATTTTCACTCATGTTCAAGTAATTGGATTTTGGTAAATTTGCTTGTTGTTTAGCAAGCTCATTGACTATAAGGGGCGATGCTCTGCTGTCGGGTAGCCAAATGTCTCCAGGCGATAATCGATGCAAACTAGCATTGAAGGCTGTTGTGGAGCTCATTTTTAGAGGAAGAATGTGAGTGAGTGAGAAAGAGAAATGATTTACGTAAAAAGAAATCAAAAATCTTCCTTTATATATAGAAATACAGTAGGAGAGTGTCTTGTTGTATCACACAGCAACCGAAAAAATAGTGCCAAATTTGGTGTATTCTTGGCTGACACAGAACAAGATTGCGAAAATGCCTCAATTGCGATATTGAGAAGGAGATCAGTTGTGGCTTATATATCCAATGGCACAAACGACGCCCGTGAGTCTCCGGGTTGTGTGTGTTTTTTCAGAGGATGCTTCCAAATATAGAGATCAAGATGAAAGTCTATTACAATTCACTACATGTACGCATATCACCTCTATATGAAAATCTTGGGTTAGATGCAAATAGATAAAATACCTCAAGAGACAAATAATACATCATTTGTGCCTATGTGTTTTCAGACACTCACAGGTCAGAAAAGAGAATTTAACCCAATTTACAAGAAATTTATAAAGTAATATCTCTTGTGCTACAATTTGTAAAATATATATATATATATAACGTCCCATGAGCAGAATACACACACACACACACACACACACTCAATGAGGGTGATAGATGACTATGACGACAATGAACCTATCAGGTGAAATTCACTTGCGATACATGACTATTTCATGCTGTTTGAAATATCGTCTGTTATCCTCATCCACTAGCACCAGATTCAAATAGTATCGAACAGAAAATTTCTTGTTGATATCTATAAACGTGTTAATGCTGGATGTCGATCACTCTACACTATGTTGAGATACCTTGAAACGTGGGTCCTAATTCGTAACCACCAAGAAACAATCGAATTGGTATTGTTTCTCCTTTGTTGGGTGTACCGTCCATTATTTCAAATTTAGTGATGTTCTCACTTTCATTATACAGATTAGGCACTGTTTAATATGAGAAACTATCAGTAATGAGTTTTGTGTAATTCCCCATGTACTTGCTTGATCCTGTTGTTTCTCGCTTGATGATGGATAGTTCCATCGTTGTTATTTTAATTCTGATCAGGTAAAACAAGACCCTTCCAACAATGACATCTCGCAAGTGGTACCTGAATTTGATTTAATACAGTTAGAGTATAGTAACTTGATGCCCATTTCGTTCTTCTGACTCACTTGTCTTTGTTGTACTCGAATTCAATATGTAAACAATTCTCAATACCAACTTCCATCTTTTTGTTGGTAGCAATCTCCAATGGCAATGTTGGATGAGCATACACCCAGATATCCCTTTCTCGCACAATGTTGGAGAATTTGCGTGCTATCTCGAATGAAATGAAGTATCGTAACCGCACATTAATGCCATAAAAGCACTCGTGTTGCTTCTCCACGTTTTTGAATTCGAAATTAAACTCTGTTTTCTGTTGATTTAGATGGCCTGAAGACGCTAAATCTTGTGATAAACTGAGAAATGGATACGATTTAGTTCTCTCATGGAATAAGTCTGTATACCGAGTAATTAACGCCTATCCTCATGTGTTCATTAATTAATTTATACCTATACTACCAATAAAGTTGACTCTTATGCCTTGGTGCTCAATACGCTTGCCATCGCGTAATTTGACTATGATCTATTCTCGACATGTTGGTATTCAAGTATAAATTTTGGTACGAATATACATATAGCATACCTTGCCAGACACTGTCTCTCCGTCAGCGTAGATTGGGTATCTCAAACGTCTATTCTTCTCAACTTTAATGTCTGCTTGCTTTCTCTGTTCCTCATTGTGGAACACTATGTCGACATCTACTGGTGATTTCGACAATCCAAATAAACTCTAGTTTTTCACATACTGGTATTTAGCATCATATACAGACGGTGTACATATATACAGCATACCTCCATTATAATTGTGTGAAAAGAGAGTTCAGCTTAGCGTCTTTTCTGTATACGCTGAAAACAACAACAAAAACGCATTGTATCTGTGAGAGAGAAAGTGCGTGTGTTCACCTGTATTTAAATGGCCGCAGTGCTTGACATTTGAGTGAATGATCAGCCCGTTTGGAAACGTTACAATGCATGGCTCTATCTTTAGCGAGCATTTCTATAGGCTAGAGATAACAGTTTTTAGCTTGTACAAAAGTATCCGTTTCATCAGCATGGACAAGCAGCGGTTTTTGTTGATTTGATTCAAGTTTTGAATCTGTGTTTGAAAACCGCGATCATCCCATTAGGAAAAATCTTTTAATCTGCAATGATGGATACTTTCATTTTTACGACACAACAATGTCAAAGGATATTCATGTATTATTTCATGTGCCCGAAGGTAGAAATCCACCTCAACAAGCGCATTTTGTGGCAATATTTAACACCCATTAGGCTTAGAGTCAATAGCAAGGAAAGACATTGAAGCCTCACTTGCAGATATCCAGAACCCTGTATACAGCTTTGAGCCCAAGACAGGCCGAGTTCATTTGTTCTGTGCAGTTGACAGTATCGACACATTCAAACAATATATCCAGAGTGTACAGATTCTCAGTATCTACAGTGCGACATTAGTTGCATCGGAATCAGTGATACCAGCTGACACATTTCAAGAGTTACAACCTACATATGACTATATCAGCGATCAAACAAAGCTAGCACCTTGGTATAGCGTCATTGCAGAAGATCCTCAGGACGAAAACACAACAATCTCATTTAGAGCTACCTTCAAAAAGGAGCAGATCAAACACAAAGCACCAAGCCAAGAAATTGCTGGCTACATTGGCTTTGCATTCAGCAATTTCTTCAAGCATTGGAAGGTGAAAATGACAAATTTTACATATGAAATCGTGTCGCTGTGGTTCCAAACATCGGATGCTGCTTACTTGAACCGTCTTTCTGCTGGTGTGAACGATCAATCGATTATTTTGTTACTGGGCGTTGATATCCCCTTGAAAGATCAGCGACAGAGAAATAGAGTTTTTGTGGGACGTACGAGCTTAAATCCATGCATTGCTTATTGTTTGGCTCTGGTAGCGGATCCTAAGCCAGGTCAGGTCATTTTGGACATGTGTTGTGGTACTGGGACTATCCCAATTGAAGGTAATCGCTTTGCTTAGTATTGTGCTGTGTTGCAGAGTGACTAAATCAGTGGTATGCTGTACAGGTGCATCCCATTTCAAAGACGTTTTTTGGTTAGGTGGTGAAGGTAAAAGCACAATGATGACATTTTCATTATTCAACGCTCACATGGCTCTTTGTTTGTATCTAGTTAAAGTCAAGACAGTGGCAGAGAAAGCTCTGGGGAATGTTCAGCATTGTGAGCTTAAAAATATAGATCTTATGCTGGGTGATGGTAGAAAACTTTGCTTCAGAGACGGTGTGATCGATTCTATTGTTTCAGGTATGTGTATTTGTGTGCTCATTTTATAGTCTAAGAGATTTCTTGAATGTAATGTGATTTACTGTCGTTTAGATTGGCCATGGGGAATTAGAGAGAATTCTTTTCAACAAATCCAAGGGGTAAACCCGTACAAAAAAAAAAAAAAATGTTGCGCATGTCTAATCTATCAATTTGAGCAGCTTTATCCAAAATTCGTCAAGCAAATATACAGAGTGCTGAAACCAGATGGAAAAGCCTACATAGTGACTCAGGGGCATAAATTGATGAAAAGGGTCTTGGATTATCCCTGGTGCCAAAACCTGTGGACTGTAGAGGAGGTTTTGCCAATAGGCATTGGTGGTTTAGATGCCTATCTGTACACATTATCAAAGAATGCACCTTCGTCTGCCTGAGTAGAGCTCACACTTGACATTGGATGTAAATGTATTACAATAAATCTCCTCATTGCGATGACCTACAGAAATCATTCATTTGCGATTCAATGCTTGACCAGTAGTTGATATGTATATTTTCACTTTTACTCTCTGAAATCAGGCGAGGACTCGCCACAACAAGCTACCTCTTCCTATGGATCAGACTGTTCTGTGATATTCAACGCCTGTATTAATTGAAGAAATCCATACATGAGTAGATAGCATACTAGCATTACCTCTTACTATTTGAAAGTACACAAAACACAGCTATGTTTTCTCGCATCAGAAGCCGCTTTAGACTGCCAGAATAGCACTAAACAATTTCTCTCATCCAGCAGCTACCTGCTGACACCTTTGTTCAACTTATTTGGGATCCAAAAAAAACATTGCCAAAAATCAACTCAAAACCGTGAGGGGCACCTCGTGGTTTTTGACAAAATTCAAACGATCGTATTTTTGACCTCGAAAATGAAGACTTTCACTATAGCACACATCATATCAAAATGATCTTAATCGCCCAACGCAACTAACAAAACTACAATTATGAGTCCTTCTTATACAAAATCTCGAGAATTTCTCCAAAAACCTCATTTCATACTTTAGCAGGTTACTCGGTAATCCTGTTAAAAACATATTCTTTGCTGGGCACCTTTGGATGCGCCTTGAAAGGTACTCTAAGAGAGCTTAAGGAAGGCTACGATGATTATCAAATTTTATACAGTCGATTTTAACAAAATAGATCAATTGAGTCGAAATTGAACAGAATTTGACCAATTTAGGACAGAAGGCAATCTGGACTTGAATTGGATTTTAGTGGCTGCACGTTGATCGCAATGATGATGATAATGTATTCTCATGAAGGTGGTCGATGTCTTTGAAGGTAAGGAGGGAAGCGGCAGTTTGAAGAACATGTTAGCCTAGTCTAAACTCTCCAGTATTTGTTACATCGATCCATTACTCGTGGTCGCTCGTAATTAACAACGTTTTATATGAATCCCATTACTCAAAACTTGTAAAAATACGCAGCACACCTTTGCCTTTTTACCAAATCTTAACAAAGGAAGATATACCCAAGCTATTATTACAGCGTTTCCCAGCATCACCTCCGTTGATCTAATACTTTTGATCACTTGCAATTACAACAGCCTTCAATTGCAGCAGCTTTTATTATGTATATGTCTTTGTTCAAATTTTCTACTTTCGGAATCATCTGTGTTTGACCAACAACCCACCATCCAATCTAAGATCCCCTACACTATTGTTTTATTTTCATAAAAGTTTGCTAAAGGAGCATGCTATTGTCAGAGTTCTAGGATCAATGCGCAAGTTAATATGGCCCTTTTCGTACGTTCCGATTTTTAAAATGCTTGGTCAAATTCATGCTTGTGTCGTGTACACATGTGGAAGTTCAATTTCTAATATTCTGAATGATGGTTCATGGGATTCCGAAATCTATTGACATTCAAATTACGCGTTTCTTGATAGTAACCACCCCTTCAAACTTATATAAAACTTGTAGAGAATTCAAAGGAGAATACAGTGATACTCATATCAAGTCTCTGGTGTACATTGTTTATCTGATATTTGGTACGATTGCTTTTGCAATTTTTTGACCGTTTTCTAAAGATTAATCAGTATCTGCCATCAAAACATTTTGTTAAGCATTACTAAGCATTGTAGACCAAAAAATTTCCTATCGAATGGGCCTTTGCTCGAAGCTCTAGCATGATTCTATCGTGAAATATTGAAAATATTGTCCTGACCAAAAAAAGGTCGCCCATTTTTTTGCTTGCTATCAACGTAAATTTTGAAGAAAAATCCATAATTTTGCATGATACTCTTTTTTGACCATATCTCGACAAATACTCACTGGACTCGCACAAACAAAGACCATTCGATAGCTCTATGTCATATCCATTATAATATGAGGTTCTTAAGTACCAGATGTACGTTTCCTTCTTAAATTTGCTCAAAATCATATATTTTATGAGCTACAAGCAGGGGATATTCAATTTTTTTTATATATCTACAATAACCATACCATCGTATAGAGAATTGAAAAAGAAACAGAAGCTATTAAGCTTGAAGCTCTCGTTGACTTAGTAGAATCCAGCGGTACAGCCCTTTGAAAATTGATCATTTTTACTATCTTTCCTCATTACTCATCGGTATCGCCCTCAATAATCTCACATGAAACACGTTCAAGTCAACCAAAGCACTCTCTACAACTTTTAATAGACCTACAGCCCACATTCATATAGTAATCTAAAAAGTTTTATTTAAAGGCATCTGTCTAAAATTTGCAAATTTCAAATATCGTCAGTTTCTCATCATCAACGCATTCTATCTAAAATCTAATTGCACCATCGTCTTCTACGCAAAAAATTGATATACTAACATGCTACTTTCAAAACTCGAATTTCAAAATCGAAATCCAAATAGAAATTATAAGAGAAAAAAGAGAAAGTAAACCAAGCAGAGAAAAGATTGCGCGCGATGATTCCAAGTTATAGCCCCTGCTACGACTCTACTGTTTACAAGTCATATTGGACCGTTTTATAGTCAGGATCGTGCGACAACACAAACTACGTTGTATTTCCTGTCTTTTGTGGAGGCTGCTCTACTAACAGACTTGTTAAGCAACTGCCACACAAGCTCGTTTCATAATAATAGCATATTTAAACAGAAGCGAGATGCCGAAAGGCGAAAATGTAATTGGAGAAGGAATCAGCTTGTGTTGATGGTCAATCAGCAAATGTTTGAGTAGCACTCCTTTGTTTACGTATGCCAATATGGGCTTGAGTTAGCCCTACAAAGATTCGTTGTGAACTACGAAGGATTGAATATTCTCCAAAAAAAGAAAAGAGCTGTGCCCAAGAGATGCTGCCCAGATAAATCAGTGAGGTTGCTCAAGTTTGAGGTGCAAATTATATCAGTACTTTAACAGTGGATGTGCACAGCTAGTATATTATAGCCTTGGTATGTGTGGTTCCTATACCAAAGATACGCATTCAAATAAAGAGGAAAAGGAGCATACATGATAAATTTTACACGGCTTGTACTTCGTGCATTACTTGACAATGCTGGTTCTGCGAAGCTTGAGATTGCTCAAATAACGCACTCATTCACACATGCTCGCCCACAATTTAAATGTTTCGCAAGCTCCTTGAGTGTGCTCATAATGGGTATGTAATACCACATATCCCCCCCCCCTTTGACTGTACGCATTATTTTAACCTTTACACTTAGGATATACACAGTATATGCAAAGTTTTGAAAGAAATATCCAATGGATTGTACTAAATAATAAAAATCCGTTTACTGTTCATTCAAATTCCAAATGTCATCCTAATTCAACCAAAGATTGAAATAAACTTGCCCACAACTATTCAAGTTGTTTCTACAAGCTGTGAAGCTGAAATACCAGGTTCCAGGCCACATGCGGATCCTTCCTCTGATTTTACCATATCCCAACTCCATCATTAATAGACGACTCTTCATGCTGTTGCGCATTATCAAGAGGCTGTCGTTGCATTGCTTCATAATCGCTAATAAATCTTAATTCCCCAGCAACGTTACAAGGAAACCTCTCATGACAATTCCTCCTGTATTTAATGACTCCATCTTGCTGTAAGTACATCTTCCAGACACTGGTCATCATTTGGCATATCTTCTTTGGTTGTGGTTCGGATGAAATGTAATATTTTCACGGGCTAGAAGGTGGCTGCCGATCTCTGCGCAATGAAATCAAGGTATTCCAATAGATATTTATGTTCTGTATCCGTATTTATTGTTAGCGTTGATCTTTCTTATATAAATAATCTATTTCTTTTCAGGAGTTAAATCTTGAGCGGTTTGAGCAGCTGCAAAGTCCCATTTACGCTAAAAGAAGAGATTGTTAGTTGCCGATTTCCAATGTTCAAACTTTCAGTATTTTACGTCTGTGCCATAAGCGAGAACAGTGAGGCCAACAGGAATTGCAATACCCCAGAATAATGAGCGTCTAACATTTCTTTGGTTCCATTTGAAGTAAAGATGGGTGTTTTCACGAAGAGAAGCCCAACGCTCGATAGCGGGATCAACTTTAAGACCTTCAGCCATTGTAATGATATATAGTGTAAGTTTTGAAAGTAGGAAAAAAATGTAAATATCAAAATAAACACACCTTTTTCTAGCTCTGCTTCCAATAGGGGTGTCGAGAAGCAAGCTTCCCATGATGATGTAACTCGCTAAATATTGCGGGGTTGATGTGGGTTCTCGATGTCGAATAGCACTGGAAGCAACCCAATTTACATTCATCCACTAAGAGAAAATTAAGCATTTCAAGCTAAAGCAAAAGACGTTGAAACATATTTACATTTTAATGAGAGAAAGAAGATGATTATTTGTAATTAATTAAGCTAAAAAGAAGAAAAAGCGAAAACAAACGTTATGTGTAGTATAATTTGGGGACATGAAGAATGTAATAATAGAGTTTACATCACAACACAGCAGCCTGTGCTTCCCCTATTTCCTCTTGCGGCCGGCGCAAATGGATCTTCTTCTTTACTGACTGGACCCCACAATGAAGGAATAAGAGGGTCTCTAGTTGCATTACAGTATTCCACTAGACTAATTGACAGGCATGAGACACCTGTCGAAAAACAATCCACATCTCTTTGCTTACCTAGAAGATGCCTCTGAGACCGGGATACGTGGTAATTCCAACTGCTCCTTCAATCGCTCGTTATATTCCAAAATTCTCTTTAGTTTGGCTTCTGATATGTTGTAAGACCTTTTATTCGTCAATTGGGTATAGGTATCTGGCATCTTTGTTGTTGGGTCAATTGGAAAAGAAGAAGCCTGTACCGGGAAATTCGTTTTTTTTCGTTCTAGTACAAAGCGTTAAATTCCCGCAATCAAGTTTGTAAACTGCCCATAAAAGCCACATCAAAACATATGGCAGGTATTTGATTCAAGTTTTTGTCTTGCATAATCTTATGTCTAATGCAGTATGATCTGACGACCATGGAATTGGTCAAATGAAGCTCAAACGAGTTGATAGGCTTCGTGTTGTAGTTTATCTTCACTAGAATCGCATTTGCCGATTTTTTACACTATTCTAATATATAGCTCATGTTGCTGTATTGCTTGAAATAAATCTCAACTGATTCAGAAAAGCTTTTTCATAGCAAACAACCCAAGGTTTCTCGGGTTGAATAATACTTTTGTGATCATTATACAGCACTCATCCCTGTAGCATAGTGCTCAAATGTCAATTGGATGTTGCGCATACGACGAATCGTTCATCAGAGAAGCTCAGAGAAAGAATGCGTCCAAGGCATCCGACTCTGCTTGAAGGCATCTGAGATTACGCAGGAAATTTCATAGGGAGCCCTGAATGCCATCAAGCAGGGGAATCAACTACACATTTGATCGAGTTTTCTGTTAATGGTAATTATCTCCGATGTTGATCATCTACGAAGGCTCTCTTGTACCCACGACAGAGAAAGATGTCGCCTACCATATTTGGAGACTTTTACACTGATGGATAATCTAATCTTCTTTTTTTCTTGACTTTTATAAACCTATTTTAGCGCTTACATTCTAATAAAGCAACTCTATTTCTCTTACTTGTTACTCCCCACTCTTATAGCAATGTTTTTGTCAATTTCCCGAGCTAATTTGTGTAGAGCAACATCTACCAACACAAGCAGACTAATCCCAAGTGTCCTGTATCGTCGGACTTATGCTACAGATACAACAGACACCCAAAACTTGATCGAAAAGATTGTTCAAAAGTACGCATTGGATTTGCCTGAAGGATACAAGGTCAAGAGTGGCGACTATGTGACAATTAGACCTCATCATGTACTGACTCACGACAATACGGGTGCCGTTATTCCCAAGTAAGTGCGCGTGCCAGATTGCGATTGATTTTGGTTATTAAATTGACCAAATCAGGTTCAAATCCATTGGAGCTACCAAGATCCATGATCCCAAGCAGCCTGTCTATGCCTTGGATCATGATGTGCAAAACAAATCAGAAAAGAATTTGGTCAAGTATGCCAATATTGAAGCGTGGGGCAAGGAGCAAGGCGTCGATTTCTACCCTGCTGGTCGTGGTATTGGCCATCAAGTCATGATTGAAGAAGGCTACGCTTTTCCCAACACATTAACTGTAGCATCAGACTCTCACTCCAACATGTATGGCGGTATTGGTGCTCTCGGTACTCCTATTGTTCGTACTGATGCTGCTGCTATTTGGGCAACAGGCCGCACTTGGTGGCAAATCCCTCCCGTTGTCAAAGTGGAACTTCAAGGTAAATTACCTGCTGGTGTTACAGGTAAAGATGTGATCATTACCTTGTGTGGCCTCTTCAACAAGGATCAAGTGTTGAACACTGCAATTGAATTTCACGGTGAGGAGGCTTTGAAAGGATTGTCTGTTGAGGATCGTTTAGCTATTGCAAATATGACAACTGAATGGGGCGCTTTGGCTGGTGTGTTCCCTGTCGATCAAGCTACCATTGATTTCCTTCGCAAGCGTCAAAGACGCATTGATCTGACTCGTTTCGAAAACAAAAACTTGCCCAAACTCAAGCAAGGCGAGAATTTTATTCATCCTCGTATCAACGATGAGACCATTCAATCGTTGATTGACAACCCTGTCAAGCCATCTCCCAATGCCACTTATGCCAAGACGCTTACACTGGACCTCTCTACTCTATCTCCTCATGTTTCTGGCCCCAATTCAGTCAAGGTGGCCACTGCATTAGCTGACCTCGAAGCCCAGGATATCAAAATTAACAAGGCTTACTTGGTTTCATGCGTCAATTCCCGTGCAAGTGATCTCAAGCAAGCTGCTGATGTTTTGAGGGGTAAAAAGATCAAGGAGGGTGTTGAATTCTATGTTGCTGCTGCTAGTTCAGAGGTTCAAAAGGAAGCAGAGGAGGCTGGTGATTGGCAAGCATTAGTAGATGCCGGTGCCAAGGTTTTGCCTGCTGGCTGTGGTCCATGTGTAGGTTTGGGTACTGGTCTTTTGAAGGATGGCGAAATTGGCATCTCTGCCACCAACCGTAACTTTAAGGGTCGCATGGGATCTCCCAGTGCTCTTGCTTACTTGGCGTCTCCCGCTATTGTTGCTGCATCTGCTCTCTCTGGCCGTATTTCTGGTCCTGCCTCATTCAGTGCAACACAAACACCTTCTTTCAGTATCAGAACAGATGCCCCTAAAGCCTCCCCAGATGAAGAAGCTGCCACTGCTGAAGTCCTTCCCAACTTTCCCTCTGTGATCAAGGGTGAAATCTTATTCTGCCCTGCTGATAACTTGAACACTGACGGAATCTATCCTGGCAAATATACCTACAATGATGATATGACCACCGATGATATGAAGAAGGTTGTCATGGAGAACTATGATCCCAATTTTGTCAACGTTGTGCAAAGCGGTGATGTTCTTGTGGGTGGCTTTAACTTTGGTACTGGTTCCTCTCGTGAACAAGCTGCCACAGCCATCAAATCCAGAGATATTCAAATCATGGTTGCTGGATCCTACTCTGACATCTTCAAACGTAACTCTGTCAACAATGCCTTGTTACTGATTGAATCCCCTGAGCTTGTGAATGACCTGAAGGCTGAAGTTGGTACTGCTGATCTCACAAAGCGTACTGGTTGGAATATTGATATTCATGTTGCTGAGGGCAAAGTTGTTGTTCGTAAAGACAATGGTCAAGAAAAGTTGTATAAAGTCGGTGCTCTTGGAAAGAGTGTCCAGGAAATTTGGTTAGCTAACGGCCTTGAAGGCTGGGTTAAAGAAAGATTGTAAAATAATAGACATGCTTAATAAATAAAGTGATATATCCTCATCATTAAATAGCAAGTAGTAAACAGACAGTGTGTATGGCAAAATGCCAAAACTGTACTGACCAATTTATTTAATTGATTACCATGACACTACCTAAAGTGTCTTTCCCATCTCTACTTTCTTTTTATATGCCTTTTCAGCCCTGTAGACTACTCTGTCAATCAATCCAGCCACAGTATAGACACCACCGATGATGGCCAATACACCCGTCAGTAAGCTGCTGAATGACTTGCGAGTCTCCTTGTAACTGATCTGCATTGGTGAGATCTCCAACATGAAAAAGACACCCGGCAGTCCCCCTTTGGCACCCTCCACATCATTTTGAGTTACTGAGTATTGGTTTGTGAATGTTGGAATACTAGTAATGGGAAGCAGCTTTGTGGATACAATCTTGACAAAATATTGGAATATAGAACGCCCTGAATAAGATTCAAATTAGTGTCTAGTCTCTTGCTCGGTAGAGGATTAATTGCGTACCTTCGCCAGCTGACTTGGAGACGCCAGCCAACGCATTTGTCACGGCCAAAATGTCCTCAGTTTCATCCCTTGAATCAGGGCCAAACTTCAACTTATGAATTGTGTGCGATAAATCAAATTTGTGGCCGTCAGGAGCACCCGTATTGAATTCTTTGAGATCGTGCACATGCATTGTGTTGGTTTGGAAAGCATCTCCCGGAGCAATGTGGAAATTACCCCTGACCTTGTTCACCATCAAGTGTCCATGAATATTGCAACCTTCGTTGGATTGCTTTTCAAATCGCTCTAACCAGCCTTCACGGATACACTGATCAATTTCCTTGACATTGACCATACCCCAGCCCATTTTGACATAGGCCTCACGTACTTCTTGACATGTATTACAACAGCCATCCTCACGCAGAGCATTTGCACCATAGCAGCTTCCACATTCTTTTGCTGGCTCCAATGCTTTTGATGCGCCCGCTGTGCTGTCTCCCAACTCTGTTTTCGGTGCAATTCATATCAGGATCTTCTGTTTTTGTTATTGCTGAATGGCACTTACTGACTGACTCTCCCAAGTCCACTGGCACGCCAGACAAATCAAGTCTGACCTTCGTTACATCTTGAGAGTAACCTGGCGAGTGTTCTCCGTAATCATCCATGATATCCACATTAAGCACTATATGACAGTAGGTGTGTTATTTACAACAATCGATTTGTTTCCTCAAGATAGTTACTGTGGCATGGCATGTTGGGAAATGTAATGTTAAAGTTGATGGGCATCTTTTCCTTTCTGCTCTTGTCGACAACAAGACTTGGCTTCCAATGTGGGGTGGTATATGCGATTATCTCAGAGCACACAAGTGTAATGATGATCAATGTGCTGATAATGGTGACTGAACAGAGAGTGTGTGTTTGTCAATAACAATGTCTTTAAGGTTTAACAAATGAAATTACCTGAAGCACCAGCCGTGGTCTTTACGCGAAAATCATCCAAGGTTTTAGCGTAGCCATCGAATTGCCGGAGGCCCCCAAATACAGACCCTTTCTTTGCCATATTATCAAGAGAGTTTTAACAAGAAGGATGAAAGAGAACTTATTTAATTACCACTTGAAGCCGAGGATGTCGAGATTGAACGACCAATCACGTGGTGCAATTTGTGGCAGAAATCCTGTGGACTCTGTAGCACTCACCTTGATTGCATTGTCCTGAAGTTTCATTTAATTGATTGAGGCCTTTAAATGAAAGCTTGTAAAATAGGTTTATTTGTGGAATATGTACAAAATAGCGTTCTGATGTCTATGAAGAGCCTGGGAAATCATCATCTTTATAAAGAGCTGGACAGAGTTGCCATGTACTCTTCAATGAGCTTGGTTTTAGGATGGGGTTTGCCAAACACTATATTACGAACTGCGAGAGCACGCAAAAATGCAGTGCGAGCTTCCTTAAGCCACTTCTTTTCCAATATAGAACTACGTCCTTTACTTTCATTTGCCATGGAGGAGCATAATTCACCTAAATTCTGCCAGAAATCAGAGATCTCAGATGTATTTGCTGGTAGCAAGCCCTCACTGGCATATTGTTCCATCATGGCAAGGATCGACTTGTTCACCTCAATGGCGCCCTTCAAATCACCATTGTGTCGCTTGCAATTCATCAATGGAATAAGCGAGTTAAGTCGAAAAGCGTTCAATGCGTGTAAGTCGCCTCCACGGTTTTTGTCACATTTGGTGATTTGCTCTAACTTTTCTGCTCCTCGTCTATAGTTGCGTTCTTGGCGAATAGCGCTCATACCTAGCATGTAAGATTTATTGGCGTTTTCCAAAGGTTTTCGCACTTGATCACACGATGCTTCCGATCCACACTTGCCGCATTTGAAACTACCTTGCTCCAGGTACAAATTGCGGTTTCCCTTTGATAAATGTTCGACTGATGTAGCCGGAATAATATATACATCCTCTTTACACTTTATGCAGACAACACCTTGAAGGAAGCGGTCGATTGATTTCTCCAAGGGACTAGTACAACGCTTGCATTTGCACCAGAAGTGCTTTGACTGCAAGAGCTCTTGTCTTCGTTCATCACGGTCTGAATACAGGTCGATATAACTCACTACCAGCTCTTCATCCTTGTTGACAGGTCGGATTGTTCTGAATGCTAGTTGTCCGTTGGATAGTCCAACAAATGCTGTGTTGGGGTTACAGCCATGATTGAAGAACAAAGCTCCCAGCGGAAACAACCCCAAAGCGACATCTGTGTTTCGTGAGTGGTTGTCGCCCAAACCATGTGCATTTGAGTTGATTCTAGCAAGACGTTAATATAGCCGCACACACAGTAAATAGAGCAGAATTTGTTACCTGCAAGCAAGCGTCACCATCTCATCCACAGGCATTTGAATCTTATCAGGCATTTCCATGACCAGGCGCTGAGCTACAAGATGTGAACAATCAGTAAATATAGCTCGTCTAGTATATTCGATAGCAACTCACAAGCCTCAGTAAGCACCTTGATGAAAGCTGGCTCTGCATTGTCTCTATGGCTGATCAGATCTTCTACGCACCAGTAAGGCGTAGGTCGAGTAGCAACGTCCTCTGTGCTATCCTGGTCTTGTGTACCAAGATATTTACGAGCCATCAGGATTGTCATTAAACGAAGCAAGTCAGCATCCACATCAGTAGCACGTCCAATGGCCTCTGTTTGCGCAACAGGCGCACAGATTAAAACATGTAAATCGTTGTCCTTTTCCAAGCAATCCTGAGAGCAATAAAAAGCCTTTTTGCAATCAGAGCACATCATCTTTTGCTTCAAATCAGACAAGCAAACATGACATTGCTGGTCGATATACTCGGATCGAACAACAAAAGCGGTCGCTTGCTCTTGACACAATGTAATGCCTTCTTCCAAACCAACTTCAGCAACTGCATGTCGACCTTTTGCCTTGGTATTGTTCAATTTCACTGGGTACGAGGCAAGTGCTTCTTGATAGAACGATGGAAGAGGAGTGACAGCAACGGTCTTCTTCTTGCTGGATTTTTTCTTCTTTTTTTTGCTGTCAATGTTGCAGTTTTGATCGAATTTTTCGCCCAAATCAACGGGATCCAGCTCTGCTGCTACTGCATCAACCATGATGAGATGTAAGATGTCAAGAAAAGTTTTCCAAGATGGGTTTTATAGAAGGAAGCAAGGGATATAGCACATCCACTGTGACTGTGACACATTCGATGTAAAGTATTCTTGTGCTGTTTCATGTCGCTTTCATCAGGAAGTTGTGTGGGCAGCTTTAGTAATTCCAAATATGGTGTCAAGCATTTCAAATGGCAATCTGACATGCTTATTTCAAAGGATATTAGATGCACCGAAAAGTGATGCTTACCGTTGAAAACAGCTGGAAAGTGCTCTTGAAAACCTCTAGTATACTGATGCTAGCCGATTGATTTCGCTACGCTCAAGGACATTTCAAATCAGAATTACTAAAAAAAAACTTGGTATACCAAGTAGATTTTAAACAGTTAATTAGTAACAAAAATAAAGAGTATATCAAATCCATGAGGGAGAAGGTATCCTCCGCACCCTCTCTTTGCTTATATACTGATATCAAACGGAAGCTATCAGATGTGAAAAAGAGTTCAAGATTTATGCAGCAATTATACACTACATTCTCCGTTCGTGCCACGTTTTTTAGTAGTAGAATTACTGGCAGATCAATCTCGCTACGCTCGACATCGGCGTCGCCCTGTGAGCTCTCGCCAAAGACATTTTAAATCAGATATTACTACATTTTGGTATATCAAGTAGATTTTAAATAACCAATTATTATTTAGTAAAAAGAAAGGTTATATCAGGGCCAGCAGGAGGAAGAACGGAGGCATCTCCCTCAGCATCCTTTTTGCTTACACTGATATCAAACAAGGCCTATTACTGGGAAAATGCGAAACAAAATTCACATTTTATACAACATTTGTACATCGTAATCGCCATGTTCTGATAATAGAATTGTCACATCATTCGCTGCTGCTGATGCTCTCAATAAGATGGTGACATAAACTGGTCATAAGTAAATACAGGACTTGTGTAAAATCTACAGCGGCTTTTTTGAGATATTATCATTGCAAAAGATGCAATCATAAGGCAAAGCTCCCCGAGAACGTATTTGCGCTAAGCAATTGTCCTTTCAACCCCATTTTCCCCATTTAATCAGCATCGTAATCATCATTGTCATCATCAGAAAGGCATCTGGGCCAGCCAGCAGCAGTGCCGCCGCCAAAATTGATTCAAACTCAGTTTATTTTTTTCTGCTCAAGATTGGACAGATGATGTCTTTTTTCGACTTTGTTAATCTATTTTATCAATCTATTTTACTTTGTCATCCCTTTTCGCATGTCAGACACTAGTCAAGTACATCAACGTTCCTCGCAAGCTGACACTGCGGCTCCACTGTTGTGGACTCATGTGGTTAACTCACGCCGCAAAGGGAACAACAGACAACAACAATCCATCGTCTCTTTCAATCCCACTATCGTCAAACGACCTGTAACGGAAGCAGAGGCCTCGCAACAGGCCATCAATGGGGATACTTCGCCACCTCCTCAGGCGGTTATCCGTCCATTCCTCAAAGGCGTGGAACAGGATTCCGTCTTCATCGATCTGACACCTATCAAGGATCGCAATCTCTTGAACAAGGCTCTTCTTCAATTCAACGAAGCCTCTAATGCTGAAGACATGTATGAAGAATTTCTTGGATACCGGAAACAACCTCGACACTACCTCAACCATGCCTTCTTGGAAACCATGTGGCTGCCCAACAGCGAAGGTCGTAAGACTCTCATTGAAGAAGGTATCACTCTAGAGGATGGCACCTTTGTGAAAGGGTTTGCCTCGTACCATGCTGATGCTACGATTGTGAAACTGACCCTGGAGAATCTTCCTTTCTTGCCGGCCCTTCAGTTGAAGGAGGAAATGGCTGCCCGACTTTCTGCGTTCGGGGATGTCTTGGATCACGGCATCTCGAGAACTGATGGGATCTATCAAGGAGAAGGTTATGCTACACTTAATCTAACGGTTCCTTCCAGCCCTGGTTATGAATGTCAAGAGTTACATCCCGTTGGGAAATCTTGCCCTGGTCATCGCCATTTGGAGAAACTCAGTCGTGTCATTGTCTGGGATTTGACAGCTTCGGATCAAAGAAAAGTTTTACTCCAATGGGATCAAATGCCGGCTTTCTGTCGTAATTGTCAGAGCTCTGAACACTGTCGGGCTGATTGTCCTGACTACAAGAAGTGGGTCCGCTGCCATCATTGCAATGAAACTGGACATGTGGTGAAGAACTGCAGTCGCAATGACAGCCCAAACAAGGTCCGTGCGGTGGAAAACACTCCTGCCAAACCCCGAAAGGGCTCTCAGGTGGCCAAAGAGGGTAAAAAGGGTACTCAGGGTGGCTCCAAAGTAACTCCTGGTGGTGCTCCAGTTGGAAACAAAGGTAATGCCCAAGGAAAAGGCCAGGATGTTGCATCTGGTGGTTCCCAAGGTGATTCCGATAATCGAACTACTGCTACCCAGCAAGGTAGCACTCAAGGTGACGCTGATAGTCAAACAGGTGCTAGAAAGCAGGTAGTTGATAGAGATGTTCAAATGGATGATCTTCCAAAACTCCAAGTTAAAGAAGTCGATGGGAAAGGGGCTTCCAATGATATTATCATGTACGACTCTTCTACCCATTCTGCTAATGAACGAGAGGAGCGCCCTGAACGCCCTGCGAAGAAGATCGGTAAATTTAATGGCGCGGATGATGTTAGTTCTGCCAAACAACAAGCTGCATCTAATGAAGTAGAGACTGGACATCAACTCGGCTTGACAGGCCCTCCTTCACCTCCCCAACATTAATATGATTAATCAGCAAAATACAGTGAAAATAGCCACCCTCAATTGCCGTGGCCTAAAAAAAACAGATAACACCAAAAAAAGACAACAATTTATTAGATATCTTCGAACATTAGGATATGACATCTTAGTGCTTCAAGAAACACATGCAACAGACAACACATTTATAGACATACTCAACACTCAATTTACTTGCAAGTCGAGTCTTTGGACTCAACATTGCGGCATCATTTCCCTCAACACTCATTACTCACTCAAACACATCTCAGAAGGCATTGATGGGGGTCGATTTATCTTGGCTTCCCTTCATCTTACTCGAGACCTGGAAAATTCACCCAATTCACCACCAATAGCAACAATACTTAATATTTACGGTCGTGCGTCCGCTCACACCGACCGATCAGCGTTCTATTCAGAACTCATTGGCACACAAATTGTCAAAGAAACTATTACTACTACAACAAACACCGTCTTTATCATGGGAGACTTCAACTACCAGTACAAGGATCGTCGAGTCGATGGCACCCTCACCAGTGCACCAGTAGAATGGACCGATCTACTCGATGATTACTTTATTGACGTTTTTGGGGAAGACAAACACAACACATGGCATAGTGGAAGCAATTCAGGGATTCTGGATTACATCTTTTGTAGTTCAAACGCCCATCATCTAGTCACTAGCACCAACCAGCAGTATCTGTCTCCTGCCTGGACCGACCATGAACTCTTGGGATTCTCTTTTCGATATCAAGATGCGAATGGCCGTGGCCCTGGTAACTGGAAGGCAAATCCGTTCTTGGCTTGCAACAAAACATTTAGGAAGGCATTGGCAGAATTCCTCATTGATAGTGAGGCGCGTCTGGCAGAAATCAAGCGTTTCTCCACTCCCCAACAACAATGGGATTGGATCAAAGCCGAAGTAAAGATGTTTATCAAACAGTATCAAATGGAGGATTTGAACTGGCGGAAACAACAGCTACACCGACTGCTATCAAAGAGAAACAAGATGATGCGGCATAAGAAGACAAGAGGCTTGGTGTTTCAAGGCTTGGACACGGTTAATCAACAGATTCAATCTCTCCAGCACTCTCTTGCAGAAATAGAGATCTTGAAGGCAGGAAAATTTTGGCGGGAACATGGTGAGAAATCTCCAGGCTTCCTGAAGCGCTCTGTGGTGTCTCGAGAAAATCGTCGTTCAATTGTGGAACTCAGGAACCCTACAACTGGCGATCTATGTCAAGATCAACCTAGCATCTCCAACATTGCTACCAACTTTTACACCTCACTGTTCACACCGGAGGCTCTGGATTCAACCTCCCTCAGTGTTATAATTCGCAACATCCCAGGTCATTTGAAGCTCAACAGCGAGCAGCAGGAATCATTGATGATGCCGATTGATGTGGAGGAACTCTTGACCGATAGCAAGCAGACTCGTCGTTTGAGTAGTCCTGGACCTGATGGATTACCTTATGAAATCCTGTACTTGGTAATGAAATTTCCACCGTTCCATGATCTCATCCAATTAGTCTACAATGAAGCTTTAAAGAAGGGTAAGTTCCCGCCATCTTGGAACGAATCCGTCATGTGTCTGCTTTACAAGAAAGGCGATCCAGCTGAAATGAAGAACTACCGTCCTCTGTCTCTGGCTAATTCAGACTACAAGCTCTTCACTCGCAATATCAACCGTCGAATCATGGAAGTCTCTTCCAACTTGATCAGCCGACATCAGCTTGGGTTTATTCCTGGTCGATTCATTGCTGAAAATGGAATGATCTGCCAGCTCCTAATGGAAGATGCTCAACGGAAATGGTCCATCGCTGAACAACAGGAAAATGATCCTTCCTTTAACACTTTGGATTATGACATCGGTCTTCTTCTGGATCAAGAAAAGGCATACGATCGGGTGAACTTGGAATATTTGAGGAAGGTATTGGGGAAATTTGGGCTTCCTCGCCCTATTATCAAGTGTATCTCCAAGTTGATGGGTGACAACCTCATACGTATCAACATCAATGGCCATCTGTCAACTGAAGTGGCGAAACTTCGAGGCTTGAAGCAGGGGGATCCTCTCTCTCCTGTACTGTACAACTTGGCATTTGAACCTTTTCTGCTTGCAATCCTGCATGATCGCCAATTTCAAGGCTACTTGATGGGTACTGCACGAACAAAACTCCTGTGCTATGCTGATGACGCTTTGGTGTTTATCCATGACTCCAATGATTTGACTCGGTTACAGCTCCATATGGCTCGTTACTGTGCTGCCTCCAACGCCAAGTTCAATAATGCCAAGGTGGAAGCCTTTTCAGTGTCTGGTCGGGATACATGGGATATGTGGGATGGTCCATTATCACAAATGGGTATCACACATCTCCATTCTGTTGAGGACGATGAACCGTTGACCTATCTGGGATTTCCTCTCGTCCAAAGTAGGATTCAGCGAGTTCACTTTATGGGTGCTTTGGTAACAAAGATCAAAACTGCCATCCAGATTCATTCTGGTCGCTCCCTGTCGGTCGTTGGAAAGGCTACAGTGCTGAACTCTCTTTTGCTCTCCAAGCTATGGTACATCCTGCGTGTTACGCCTTTGACTCAAGCTGACTTCAAGCAGCTGCGTTCTCTGGCTATTCAGTTCTTGAGAAGAAACATCTTCCCCGTCATCCCTTGGAAGGTGTGGACTCTACCAAAGGACAAAGGTGGTCTCGGTGTTGTAGACATCCAAATACAAGCTTCAGCTTTGTATTTTCGTTGGCTCCACCCATTACTGGTTCAAGATCAAGATGTCATAGATTCCCATCCTGTGTCGTACCTCTTAAGCTACCACATTCGCAATGTTAATGGTTACCCCCACCATCAAATCCTGCTGCTATTTCCCTCTGCTCGTCGTACTAAGGGGTTGAAAAAGCAACGCACGGGAACTGTCGATATGTTATATCGTACAGTTGACTATCTTCCTAAGTTGTTTGATGCGGCACCGATCAATTCTGCAACTGCCATGGCTCTTCCATTACAGGCGGCTTTCTATGTTCCTCCATCCTCCTCACTGGTTGTTCCTCTTAAAGTCAAAGAGATGATGGTTTCTGATGTATTTCAGTACGATGCCCGGCTTAACTTTGTACATTGGAGAGACACTCGTGACCCTTCCCTCCTCAGGTGGAAGAGAGCTCCTTCAACAGTGTTCAGAGGCCTCGCATCTGGCACTCTTAAATTCCAGCCCTACTTCCTCCCAGTGTGTAATCCAGCCCCTGTAGTAGATCCTGGAGTCTCTTTTGCGCCGCTGGTGGATCAATTTTGTCTGCACGATGGCCAATCTCTTAGAAACGCTCAGGCTTCCGCCAAAACATTTCGTCTGTCTGTACTGTCGTCGGTGGAACAGCCCTTGGTCTTGCAAAATGTCTCTGCTGCTAATTGGAAATTCTTTTGGTCCCTGTCTCTTACCTACATTCAACGTAATGTGATATACCGATTCATCGCAGGCTGTATCCCTTCTAGAAGCAGATTACACTACATGATGCCTGCATTTTTCGAGTCCCACAATTGTCCTGTCTGCTTGTCTCCCAATGAAACTGCCAGCCACCTGCTCTTTGACTGTCCATCCAAAGAAAAGGTATGGCAAGGCGTCATTTTTGAGTTCCTATGGCCCACCACGTCCATCACTGACATCAAAGAGGCTCTTCTGTCCCTGGACTTTTCAGATATCTGGTACTCCCAAGTCAAAGGCATCCATCCATACAGAATCCTACTCATCACCCTGTCTCAAATATGGCTAGCCCATATGCGCTTTGTTTTTGACGGCACTATCTTTGTCCCTGAGGCGATTCTGGTACATATCCACTCCACTGTCCGACAGACAGTGGATGAAGATCAAATCCATTCCCTCTTGTAATTTAGATAGTTAGATAGTTCCTTTTGTTAGTTTAGTTTAGTTTCCATTTATATTTATATTTTTTTCATTTCTCAATTGCACCCGCCTCTTCACTCTGACCTATTACTCTTAGTGTACGCGGCTCAATCAATAAACACAATTTAAAAAAAAAAAAAAAATCTATTTTATGACGTTCGACTATATAAACTGTGATGCTCATCCTACACTTCCTAATACATTTTTGGAGTACTTTTCAAGGCGCTTCCAATGGTGATAACTGTAATAAGTATTTTGACTGAAATTATTGAGCAATTTAAAAAATTTTGAAATGAGGTTTTTAGCGAAAATAGCCATATTTTGCATATGAAAGCCTTATAAAAGTGGTTTCAAAGGTTGCTTTGGATCGAAAGAAACATTTTGATTCAATATATACCATAGTAAAAGTCTTCATTTTCAAGGTGAAAATTGCGATTGTTTGATTTTCGTCAAAAAGCATGAGGTATCGCTCATGCTTTTTAATCGATTTTTGGCCATGTTTTTTTGATCCCCAAAAAGTTGAGCAATAGTGGCAATAAGTAACTGCTAGATGAGAGCAATTGTTTGATGCTGTTCTGACCATCTAAAACGGCCTTGAACGTAAGAAAACGCAGCTCAAATGCACACGGATTTTGCTGTATCAGGGATACTAAGGACTAAAAAGGGGAAATAACAGTATGCTGCTTGCCTGTATATGAAGTAGCTACGTTTGTATGGATGTAGAGCATCACATAAGAATCAGATCCACAGATAACATAAAGGGTTTTCATGTGTAAGTGGAGGGTCAAAATGAAAGTAGTAGCAGTATTTTGATAAGATACGCAAGGGCAATCGGTAGCGCGAGCTGCCGCTGCACAGGTTGGTTCTCACCGAAGCGAAGCGAAGTTAGAGAGCCATCCAAAGCATAAAGACCTGTATGTATTAGAGATAGAGATGATATTTTTATATAGCTAAGCTCCACAAAATGTCTGCAGTGTCAATACCATTCAAATGTCAAGCAATGTAAATTCTGTTCAATCTCCGTATTCTGTTTCTGTTGATATATGATGCCACTGTGAAATTTGTCATCAGTGTTACAGAAATGAAGACTGTGACACATGGAAGCTACTTCCAGTTCATTTGAATATATCACTGGACGATATTTCTCTCTATCAGCATAACATACCATCACAGAAATTGGATCCAATGTTTGACTCTCATGCTACCATGTTACATTTCAAAGGGTGTATGTCGAAATCCCAAGCGTTCACTGAGTTAAATGTATCTTTGTTCATGCAAATGTGGAATCAACTCCGGCCATATGCATTCAATCTGTTTATATGCATTGCACCAAACGTTGATATTTAGTGTATCTTGAATCAAAGCATTGTGTCTCATCAAGTAGAACAGACATGGGTCAGGTTGTCAGCACACAACAAATGATCAATATTTGGCATTATGAAAATCTTAATCAACATTTCCGTCCAAGATGTTGGCATTGTAGTGCCTTTCTCCTTTGGCGCTGCCCTTAGATATGCTGCAGTGGATATTAACAGATCACAAAGGTAGGTATCCAAGTCTTTTCCATACGTCAATGCTTTTAGAATTAGGTAGCAAGAGTTACTTGACTAAAGTGGAAGAAACATAGAAAAGCAAATAATAAAACTTATTAAGTTAGGGTTGTAGATGATACATAAAGCAGCCTAAAGAAGACGTGGATGTTAAGAGCGATTAAACCTTTTAATGTCACTCTTGTACTTCTTCAAACTTCCCCCTCCCCAATCTTTAAAAGCTTCATGCTTGACGTTCCTCGTGCTAGAAGAACAAACCAAAAAAACTAAAGTTATTGAAGCTGACTCAATCTTAAATGACGATGAGAGACATTTTGCTTTATCAAGGATTGGCCTCGAATAGTTCAAAATTCATCAAATCTAAACGACCCCTGTGTATATTCTGATAACAAAGCAATTTCCGCGTCTATATCGTCATGAGCTTTACGTGCTTTAACAAAGTGCTTGCTTTGGAGCAATTGTAGTGACATTTATATGATGTTGTAAGACAAGAGAGTATTGGCGTGAGGTGACGTACCACACCACTTTTGGCTGTTTCAAATGGAAGAAAAAATGTAAAACGCATGCAAATGACCTTTCTTTCGTCTTTTTCCTGGGAAATTACATACGCATATTAACATCGATATGGCTTCTATCACACCAACATATAACGCTGCATTCCCATCCTTACATCAAACAGGCCTCATCTCCCAGCGAAGAGCAAGTGCTCATCATCATCCAACAACGCCTCCATTTATACAACGTTCCATAGCACCTCCAAAGTTTCCCAGCTATCTTAAACAGACGCTCTACGCAAAATTGGCCTTGGAGCAATATAAATTCTATCAACAAAAGCATGAAATCAAGCCTCTACCAAACAATGCAAGTAAAAAGTCGACCACAACTTGTTTGGAAGAAGAGCAGCTGGAAGAGATGGATTTACGCTTACCCACTTTATGGAATTCGAGAGATAAATCTAAGAATATAGAAATTGGAACTAATGGTATAGATTTAGCATATATCGGTAAGTGGCTGTTGTGTTGGTTAGTGTTCGTTTGCATTAATTAAGCAAATTATTTATGGTAAAAAGGACCTGGGAAGCAGGAAACTCATGCGGCACTAGCGCGATCAAATTTCCCAATGCGACCTCAATGTGGCATATTTTACTACGAAATGAAAGTGATATCAAAGGGAGACGATGGATATATTGGCATTGGATTTTGCGCTGCTTCGAACAAGGTGGAAAGACTGCCAGGCTGGGATCCTGATTCTTGGGGATATCATGGGGATGACGGCCACTCGTTTGCTGGCTCTGGTACAGGTAAAAACTATGGGCCTTGCTTTACTACGGGCGACGTTGTCGGATGCGGTGTCAATTTCGCAGACAACACTGCCTTTTACACAAAGAACGGCAAATTTATTGGGATTGCATTTACAGACATGAATCTAAAGCAGCCTATTTTTCCTGCTGTTGGTTTGCGTACACCAGGCGAGCAAGTTACAGTGAATTTCGGCCATGAACCATTTGTATATGATATTGCGCAATATGTCAGTGTAAGTAGCATCAAAGTTGCAAAAGGTCATTTTGCTAACAAGACAATTTAGGACCAGCGAATCAAGTTTATTGATGAAATAACGCTGCAGAACAGCTCCAGACACAAAGAAGCAAACCGCAAAGAAGAGTCATATTCTAAGGAAGTGATGGACCAACTGATCCTATCCTATTTAGTCCATCATGGGTATACAGGAACAGCAAAGGCTGTTGTACAAAATGCAGGTCATGTTTCCGGCCAGGAGTTATTCTTGTCACCCAACAATGATATATCGAAAGCGGGTGAACAGGATATGGAAGAAAGACAGTGTAAGTTAGTTATTTGCACTTGCCATACCAAGAACTCACGTTCCCATTACACAGTGATTCGATCTGCAATTATACATGGACACATCGATCAAGCCATTACACTCATTAACAAGTACTTTCCTGGCGTGTTACAAGAAGAGGGTCGTGGTGAAGAACTGCAATTGTCATTGAAATGTGGAAAGTTCGTGGAAATGATGCGGGAATATTGCGAGTGCAGCAAAAGTCGACGTTTGCGGACAAATTCAGTAGATAGCAGAATATCAGCGGAAACGTCAGATCAGTTCTTGAATGCTAATGAAGATCGCACAACGAGATCCAACTCGGTCTCAGGACCTGTCATTGCTCACTCTTCTCATGCAAATCCAGTACCTCCACCTGGTAGACGTCTAAGCTATGCTGCCATTGCTGCCTCATTGTCACCTTCCAACAGCACAGAGGTCCCTCGCCAGCAAGACGATTCGATGGATGTGGATGATGAGATGGATCCCAATTCTAAAATGGATCGAGCTCCTGACAGTACCGCATCCAGTCATGGTAATGGCAATGCCTGGAGCAGGAGGCCAAGTATCACAGCCTCTAGTAGTAGCAATGCAGTGAACGGGGATTATCTTTCAGTACCAGTGAATGAAGAGAACAGTACAAGCAGCACTGAGGTAGCAGACTCTTTAAAGCTGGTGATGCAATATGGTCAAAAATTGCAAAACGAATATCAGAATGATACCCAAAAGACAAGATCCAAACTTGTGGTGAGTGTGGCATGCCGCTTTTCATGCCTCTGAATTGCATCTGATACCTCTGTTATAGGATATCTTTTCTCTGCTCGCTTACAATGATCCTTATTCTAGCCCAAAAGCTCACTTGCTAAAGATTTCAAGAAGAGACGCTCTAGCTACAGATGTAAATGCAGCTATATTAGGTAAACTATGCATCATGGCGGTAGTATTACATGTTACTCATGCATGATTAGCTTTTCAAAATCGACCAGAAATGCCAGCTATGGAACGCATCTACAGACAAATCATCCTCTGTAACAAGGAGCTTGCGTTTGAAGGTTCCGGTAAAGCTGCTCTTATAAATATCGATGATTATTGTGCCAATGATATCGAAAAATCCTCTGCTGACAGCAATTGCAGCTATAATGCAGAGTCAATGATCTCATAATCAGCCTCTTGGTTCTTTTGTGTGTTTTATATAATTCGAATAAAATTTCTCTGTATATTTTCGCATAACATCATGTTTAAATACACTTTTTTTTTTAGCGTTTGTCATTCTGCCGCCAGCAATAGTCAGCCTAATTCCATATCCAGCTATTATTCGTTTTCCAGAGATCTTGATCCAACATCTAGAAAATCTCGCATTACATGAACACAAACCCAAAAAACTTCTGCCAAGGTTGATTATTGATCTATTCTACATTTACATTTTTATTTTGGTTCGTTTTTCATAATGAAAAGGGTGTGTGAGTGCGATTATTTACTAGCAGTGGGGAATGGTGGTGGCATGGACTCCTTGGGGAAGAGCTTTTCACCGCGTAACTTAACAGCATCCTTGATCTTGACAAATTGATCATCGAATCCAGGAACAGAGCCCTTCACATACAGTAAATTCAACTCTGGGTCAACCTTGATCACCTTCAAACTTTGTACTGTAACACTTTCACCACCAAGACGACCAGCCATTTTCTTGCCCTTGAAAACTTTACTAGGCCACTATTATCATAATTTAATCACTTGTGATTCCAGTCAACTCAACACTAGTGCGTAGATACGTTACCTTACGTTGACCCGTTGAACCACCAGAACGATGTGTCAAAGAAACACCATGAGATGCGGGAAGACCCTTGAAATTCCAACGCTTCATAACACCAGCAAAACCTTTACCAATGCTAAAATGATCATTCAATTAACATCTATCAGCTTTGCATTAGCCTGTTGTTTGGCATCAACTTACGAGGGAGCTGTAACATCGACATATTGTCCAGTTACGAAATGTTCAGCTGTCAATTCTGTTCCAATGGGCAAAACAGCATCTTTGGTCACTCTAAATTCATACAACTTTTCACGAAGACCAACACCCAAAGATTTAAAGTGCTCAATCATGGGTTTTGGGACATTCTTCTCTTTTTTTGGTGAACATCCAACTTGTAAGGCAGTGTAGCCATGCTTCTCTTCAGTGCGAACGTCGGTTACTACAACATCTTCCAACTAATCAGAAGAAAAATCGTTAAAACTATGCACCGTAGATCATTTCGACATGTAAAGCATTTACCTGCAAGACAGTAACAGGCATACGGATACCAGATTCACTCCAAACAGAGGTCATTCCCTTCTTCTTGGCAATGACACCAGTACGAACTGAATCTGTGGTCCATTGAGCAGTTGCAGGGGTTGCTTGAGAAGTAAATGTGCTGGTGTGAAATGTGGCTGCAACAACTGAACGCATGGGGTTCATAGAACCGTTCATGGCCATGACGGCGAGTGAAGACTTTGAAAATAAGCTTAAAGCCATAGTTGTGATATGATGTTGAATGAGAAAAAGAAGCGCTTGTTCAAGTCTAAAGGTCTATCAAGTTTGTATGGGGTAGGGCACCCTACCAAATGTCATGTCAATTAGGCTGCCGACATGTTTCTTGGTGGTCACTACATGGTGGCTTGTTGTGATTTGAAGAATATGATCGCAATCTTACATGGAACATGGCACCTGAATTCATAGCAAATCATCAGACAAGCAAGAAAAGTTCAACCTATGATGCGACATCTTAACAGATACGACTGAAAGCCTACTTGTTTATTGCCATTTTGAATGATATTCAAGAAGGATCAGGTTTTTATTCTGGATGTCAAGGGATTTGATGTATTACAACTCAGTGCAAATTGGTTGTTGCTATCAATCAATTAACATGCAAATCAAAGTAGACGAAAAAACGAGATTCATAGTAACACAACTTGACACCTGGTTGCCATGACAATGAATTTCCGAGACGGATCAAATTAAGTTTTCATACTTAATTGCACATCTGCTTAATTGCTAATCATTCAATTAAATGTTTATTTATCTTCGTTTATAGAAAGAGCATAACACAGCAAATAAAAACATGCTATAATGACAAAAATAATAAAAGCTACCTCACAAACAACTCATTTAACCACTCCCCCCAAAAAAAAATGCAAATTTCATCCTCGTTTCCAGACATGGCAAACTACACAATAAAATGGCCCATCCAACAAGATTGAAAACGTGTTGATGTCCATGCCCACAAAACTCAGCCTGAAACAGACTGTTGTTTTCATCTGAAAAAGCGGTTTCCTTTCGAAATAATCTGTCCTCTTTTCTTTCCTCTTTCTTTTTCTGAATATTTTTTTTTCTCGCATCTACCCACACATATACCCTCTTGCTCTATATTCCAGTTTTTCATTGACGAAAAACACGACATTCCAGCTAGAAAATTACGGTACAGAATCCAATTTAAAGACCAACTTGGATTTGGACAGAGATATATTTGACGAGTTGGACCATCAAGAAAACAATGCAAGGATGGATGACTCGATGCCACTCACACCAGAACTACCGGAACGTAAGAACCGATTATCTTCTAACGGTGGGATTAAGAGAAACAAAGTGAGCCGAGCATGTGATGAATGTAGAAAAAGAAAGGTAAAATTTCTGCTTGATTTTATTTGGGGGACGGGCGGGAAAGAGGAAGGGTCTTTTGTACCTTTTCTTTGGGATGTCTTGATGCATTACAATGGTGCATTCTTACATCGAGACTCGCCAAGTTTCAGTCTTTCGAATCCATTGTGTATTAAACTCAGCAAACCCTTTCTGTGTAGGTTCGATGTGATGGGGCTCAACCTTGTGCAAGATGTCAAAAGTCCTCCACCGAATGCATCTTTTCAAATGTGACACCAAAACGAGGACCACCAAAAAAGTACTTGGAACCGTTTGAAACTAGACTGAAAACCATTGACAAGGTTTTGGAACAACTCGAGATATCGACGAACCATGTTGAAGTTGAAAAGGGCAATGATTCGTGGGATGTTAAAGGTAAAAAGGAGGGAGTGAGATCAAAGCGACAAGACCCATATTCAAACAAAACGCATAGATCCATCCGCTATTGAAACCAACACCCATCTGAATGTCACTGCCGTTGGCCGTGCGCTGTACATGCCTGATTTGCCTGCTAGGAATGATCGCATTGAGCCGCTACACAACGCAAATGTCGATTTCGAACCGCCTCAGCCCAGCATCATGGATAATGCAGCATCTGTTACACTGAGATTCGATTTGATTCAATGCTATTTCGACCGTATTCATCCATCCATGCCATTTATAGATAAATCGGCATTTACTGAATCGAAGCCACCGCCCATCTTATTGAACGCAATCTATGCAGTATCGTGCAAATTCGTACCAACGTCATTTTCAGCATCCTCTACGGCCCCAAAGTCCATGGATCCTCCAGGCTGGACCTACTACAAAATGGCCATGAGCCTCATGGATGCGTATTTGGACGTGCCTCGACTATCGACTATCCAGGCACTGCTACTGCTCGTCAAGTACCATGAACATATTCATCGGCCTGGATTCTTTTGGAGAACCAAGTTTCTACTACAACTAGCTGTCGACATGGCAAGCAACCTTGGATTATCCAGCAACATGGCCATGGAAACAGCACAATGCAAACGTGCCACAGAGCTTAGAAGAAGGACATTTTGGGCTGTGTACGCATACCAGGTGTTGATGAGGTGAGCATGCGCCATTTGACAGAGGGCTTTCCATCTAAATGCAGTTTGTGTATGTTTCTATTTATAGTACTGAGCAAGGTTCAGCATTACAATTAGCAAGCAAAGAGTGCACGGTCGACTATCCGCACGTCCTTTCTGATGAAACTGGCTCTGATGCTAGCATTGCATCCACTTTTCATTGGCTCGCCAAGGTGATACACATACAAGCTGCTGTCATTGAATTCATGCGATCAAAGTACTCTCTTGACAGCAAATCCAGCAACCATGAAGCATATGAATTCCAACAGATAGAAAATACCCTCTCGGAACTAGGAGCTGGGATACCGAGCATGAGTGAAGGAGGACTACACGCCTCCTTTGTCCATATTATATACCATCTCACTGTTATTTTGCTATACAGACCATACGCACTGAAAGACAGACAAGCTACTTCCGTGAGCCGATGCCTGACATCTGCATCAACTATCACACAGGTTACGGAACAGATACTCAACACGGAAGGCGCTGAATCATTTGCCACCGTCTTTCGTGGACATCAGCAAATCATCTACTGCTTGACTGCAGCCATCACAGTTCAACGCGCACTCAAAAGCACGGAGGCAACTGTAAACGACATGTACGACAAGACGTATTCAATTCTACAATGCATGGCAAGCAAGTCTCCTGTAGCAGAGCTAGAAACAAGCGCTACAGATAGCTTTTTCAATACAGGGAAAACGGATCAGCATGCGAAATCGCCCTCCAATGCATCGTCTGCGCGTTCATCGCCATTGATTCCATCGCTCAACTCACCGCATAGTCCAAGTATTCCTGCTCCCACGATTAGAAAAAGACACTCGAGGTCGTCTCTGCAATTTCCAGCCTCTGACATGTCGTACGTCATGCAATCCAGTGCTTCTTTTGTGCCTGAAGTCGTTACTCATCGTATGAGACCCGCTGGTAGATCACCGTACGCAAGCAATCGTCTGTCGGCTCCTCTATTGGGATCCCTCTACCAACAATCGCCTTACTTTTATCAGCAACAGCTACAGCAGCAACAGCAGCAACAGCAGCAACAGCAGCAACAGCAGCAACAGCAGCAACAGCAACAGCAGCAGATACATCACCAAATGCAACACCAACAGCAACAGCAGCGACTATCTAGCTACTCTCAACCATCTTCGCCGACAACGAGCCAATTCAGCGGAAACACTGATTACAATGCGTCTGCAGTTCCAGTAACGCCTCGTCGAACTACATCTCTGTCAAGAAAGACAGGTCTACGTCGTAGTGCTTCATCGACTGGCGAGTTTATTGTGCCATCTCAAAGACCACCACGCACTTCATCTCGGCCCTACATCAACCCACGTCGACATACACTGACCAACACAACGCCGCCTGACCTTTCCAATGTCATTGCATTTGTCCCTCCCCATAGTAACACATCTATGCTTGATACCAACACCAACGTAACCAGTACTCCTCGAAATCTACATGCTATGGCAGTTCGAAATAACCGTTTTTCAGCTCCTGTTATGAGCAACAATACCCAACACCCATATATGATACCAATCACTTCACAAGAACAACAGCAATATCAGTTTCAGCAGCAACAGCAGCATCAGCAGCATCAACTGCAATATCAATATCAACAACAAAATCAGCAGCAGCTACAACTGCAACAACAACAGCAGCAGCAACATCAAATGCAATACCAATATCAGCAACAACAACAACAACAACAACAACAACAGCAGCAGCAGCAACAGCAACAGCAACAGCAACAGCAACAGCAACAGCAACCAGAGATCTATCATCAGCCAATGGTAATTGATCATGCCTCATTTCCTATGGATCCTGTCATCCCTGACTCGCCAAATGAATCCATGATGGGCTTATTGATGAATCCTTGGGATTTCCCTCGTGAACCATGATTCTCATATCTGTTTTTCCTGTTTATGAATGAAACAAGAAAAAAAAACAAAAAAAAAAGTAAATATATACATATAGATTCACATCCCCATTTTTGTATCCACCACGTCTCTCTTTTTCATAGAATCCTGTTATAAATAAACATCAAAAGTACAAGTTATAGAACGTCATGTGCCGCAAGAGTTGCTCCAGCTCATCTAACACTTACTGTCAACAATGTGCAAGTTGTGAATGATCCACTTTACACATTTGGCGCCTTTTATAAGCGCAGCTTTGAAGTAAAACCACTGCGTTCGGGTAAAGATTAAGTGCATGTTTGACATGCCATGACGTTTTTGCTTGCCATCGGAATGGATTTACCCTTCCAATGAGTTTTATTAGCACAAAGAGCCCAACAAGTATAGAAAGAAGTATAAAAACTGAGCGGCAATCAGCCCTTTATCCCACCTACATCTTTCGCTTTATATAACCCTACAAATATGAAGTTTTCTGGAATTATCGCTGCCGCCTCAGTGCTTGTTGCTGGTGCTGTTGCACAAAGTACATTTGACTTGTCTTCTTTGAATGGTTCCTGTAAGTGGTTTATGCCGAAAGTGTAAGCAATTGATTAACAAGTTATCATTTAGGGGCGATCGGTGGTTTAGATAGCACATTGCTTGTCAAGATCAAGGCATTGACTCAAATCTACAACATGACAGTAGATTGTCCTCAAGTCTACATTACTGGTAACACAAGCAACACTGCCTATGTTCGACCCTCTATTGAATTCGGTTGGTACAATGCCAAAACTCAATCCACTCAAAAGACCAACATTTCCTTGAGTGGTTTGATCACTCTCGTTAATACCACTGACAACAGTAGTGCCAACTTTGATGTTCAGTTGTCCCTTCCTTCTATTGCTAGAGGTCTTGTTGCTAGCCAGGTTCATATGCTCGATAGTGCCTTATCTGGTGGCAACTCCAGCGATCCTTTACCTCATGGCACTGATTATGAGGCCAGCCTCTTTATCAAGTTCGTCTCTAGCAAGAACGATGGTGTCAACGACGTTTTATTGGCTTCTGCCTCTAACTTCACTGCTGTTGCTCCTAGTGATGAAGGCGCTTCCAGCTTTGTCCGTCGTGATGAAGCTTCTGAGGTTCCCTATCAACTTCTCTTGGTCAATGGTAGTAATACACTGGACGAAACTGCTTTCCAAAACATCACTTCTTCTTTGAATAGCGAGACTTCCCTCACCAAGTTGAATGATACCTGCTCCGCTCAAGTTTAGCTTTATAAGCATTCATTCATAGTAAATACATATACACATTCTTGTAATAAATAAATCACGTCATTCTATTCAGTAATCAGTACCGAATCTTTATCGTTTGAATGTATTTACAATGGTGTCTTTTATTAGAATTTAAGCTTGGCAATTCACGTTACCGTCCAAGTAGAAATGATCAATGGATTTGCAGTTGATTCTGATGTATCCAAACATGAGGTTTGTCTTTAGCAGATTGTCCACCTTTTGCTCGCTAAGGTTTTCCAAGAAACTCTTACTACTATAGACGACTTGAGAGTTTTTTCGCTTATCAAAGTATGCTTGGGTGATTTGAGAGTCATTCGCATCCAATGGTACAAGTATGGGCAGCTTGCGATTGTTTGTCTTGTAGCCGACATGGTGATGCCATAGGGTATCTTGTGCTGTCTGAACAGAAGCAAGCCTGATGTAGCTCGAAAGTCCGTGGTAAAACATAGATGCGCTTGAGTAATCCAGTCTGACACCATCCAATACCAGGCAATTCAAATGGTGGTTTGGCAAGTTCAATTCTATAACTGTTTGAGACGCTAAATCGTTAATAACACAGATTTGTTTGCATTTCGTCAATGAAATCGCGCTGATATATGGACAGCTTAAGGAAAGATAGTCAAACAAATTGGTGGAGAATGATGCGAATGTCATGTTGAGTGACTTTAGTGGATGCCGTCTTCTTTTCCATACGCATTGACTGGGTGTGATCAGTGATCCCCACTCCAAGACCAATGTCTTCAGCACCGGACAGGATTCCAGCAAGGTGTTGATATGATATTCATCATGATACGAGTCGCATTTCAGTTCCAAAGAAGCAAGTTTAGTGAAGCTACGCAATCGCTGCATGGTACAGGGTAATTTGGCATCCAGTCTCCACTGCTCAATCTCCAATGCGGTTAAAAGATCCTTGCCCTGCTCAAGGGCAAAACTAAAATCAGCGTCAAACTTGATTTGACCATTCCTGCGAGCCATGGGCCTGATTTCCTGGATGCACTGATGACCTTTTAGGGTTTCAAAAAACGATGTGTTGAACCAATGGCTCAGAATAGGACATGAGAGTTCAAGTACCTCCAAATGACGGCATTTGTGGACCAGATTCAAGAGCAAAGCCTTTTCAAGTTGGAAGTTTTCCATGGTGTTGCTGGTATCATAATGGACATCAATACCCAAATGCTTCAATTGAGGATATTTGTGTGCAACATAGTAGAGCCACGTTATGGGAGTCAGGCGAGTGTTGATACAGAGTGTTGTAACTTGAGGGGCTGTGGGAAAACTGTTCACCTTGTGCATCGTTTCTTTTTCATCGTTCATCGTATACAATTGAATGTTGTCTCCTACAATGCGTAAGTTCCTCAAACTGGGTAGCAGTTTGTGGATTATTTCCATGTCATTCAACGTCAAATTAAGCGTGGACTCCTGGTCTCCTTGGATAGTAAGCTGGTTGATGTGGGGAACCAATGACAAAATTGAAACAAGACGTCCCTGGGTCGATATATCCATAATCATTTTGCTCTGAATCGAAAGTGACCTCAATCCCCTCCCCAAGTCTTTTAGAATAGGCAGATTGGCGCCCAAGCTTGCTAATGTTGGTAGCTGTCGTATGTGGTTCCATTTACTGACGTTACTATGATAGCATATAAACTTCCACATCTCGGGGTCAAAGTCCAGCACCTCAAGATTGGGGCAAAGATCAGGTAATTGCTCCAACAAAAAGCGAGGTATAATCAAACGCTCCTGGATCATCTTTTCGAGGCAAGCTACCGTCCTTTTTTGTATAGAAAGAATCTTTACGAGATGTCCATTGGGTACGCTAGATGCTGAAGATGATATCGAGAGTGATTTCAGTAGCATTTCGAGCTGATGCAGTGTTTTGATGGAGATGTTGTGATAAAGACCACATCGAAATACATTGTACCAATCTTGACATATGAGTAAACCATTTTGCTTTTCTTGTGGTGTTAGGTAGTTGACTATTTGTATCAAGATTTCAGTGGGTAAATGAGTAGTTTGTGTCATTTTAATGTGAGAAAAGAAAGAAATGCATAAAAATCGATTTGTTTGTTTGGGCTTTTTCTTTTGTTTTTGCATGAATATGTGTGACTTTTTTTTGGCTGCTCTCCTTCTTGACATGTGAAGAGCTCATTCGTCTTTTGCAGCATAAACCGCTTGGATGTATAGCTATAAAATCCCAAAAACACTCCTTTTAAGATTAATCTAGGGCTCACTGTTTCATTAAATGAATGATTTGAATCTGAAATATAGGTTTGATCCGAACAGGTTGAGGGTGATTGTATATCATACTTCTAGAGACTTCACTGCATGCTAGGTCCTTTTGCTATTTCAAATGTCCTAGCGAGGCCTCATCATCACGCTACAGGCCTTGGCCTCATGAAAAGTTTATAAATGCATCGTTTGGATGCATTTTCAATAAAAGAGCAGCACTTTGGCAGATTCAATTTTATATACTGTTTTGACATGACGCTTACAAATGAGATCATACATTTTGCATTGAATTCGGTTTCTTCAAGGAAAACTTAATAACCAAAATTAGTTTCATTTTTAAAATATATTTTTCTTATCTGTTATGTACAACGTTCCATACTTTATGTGGAAAGAGCGAGTATAATAAAGTGCTTTCACTACTGCTTATTGTTGATGATTTTCGATCTTGATTTGTATTGACTATTACACTCTATAAGGCTTACGCCTAGTACAGACTTTATCCGCTCACAGGCCAAGTAAAACGTTGTACTCTACGTAAAAAGCGCACTTCTGTCTCGAAATTTAATTGTGGGCTGCACAAGCATAACTTGATTTAGCCAACTTTTCATGGTGGATTAGACATTTACAGTTTGTCAAATGCGAGTAATTATGAGTGGCAAATCGACAGAGAGTTGAAACAACTTGTAGTTGAGCCCGCTTTATGTTTAGAAGTCCCTCAAAGTGAGCATTTAATGGAAGGCTTTATCATCATTAAGGGCGTAAAAAAGCAATCCCCTTTTCTTGATGAAATGCCCAGCCCAACTTTGGCCCTCTGCCAAACGACAGCAAAGCAAGCCATGGCAAAGAGATCAGCGAAGCAAGGGCTACTCGCTACATGGATTGTCAAAGAGCCTGACGCTACAAGCCATCAAATCCAAATGAATAAATACTCTTCTTTCTCGACTCAAGTGCAAGCTCTTCAGTTCATATCCGACCCTAATAAAGCCACTGTTAATCGCTCGTTATTGTATTTCTATTTTACGTGTCTTCGTTTTGTAACAACATTTAAACAATTCAATTTCACTTTAGGATATTGACGTCAATTTTGGTATAACAGAAGTTGTAAGTATCAAAAATCTCTATTCTCTCGACGGTAATAAAAAGTTTCGTCGTTTGATTCCACCGAACATGCTGTCATGGACTTAACGTAATTCAAATATATCTGCCATTTCTCCTTAATTGCGAGTCTTCAGCGACATGGATAAGATTTACGTCTAGTTTCCAGGTTATATATGGTTTCTCTGTTGTGGACAATTATCAAAAGTGTCCTGCTAACCTGACAAACATTTGATTCGCTCCGATCAACTCGTTAGATTCCAATTTGCATACTCGTACACGCTCCAATTCTGAAATCACTATGACCACACATTTCAGAATCTATAATACAAAGTAAAAGATATCAACTCATAAAATCGAAACATGTTGGAAATCAATGATAAACAGCGTATATTTGGCGGGACATTTGGTATCAGGAGGACTTAATAACTAGTGTACTGCTGTACTACTGTATCTATATGACTTTTCGCACATAATAATAGCAAGTTCAAAAAATATCGCTCGCATAAGACTACTTTTTAATCAATGCTGTATAGCTGATTGCATCCTATTTTACTTTTGAATAGCGAAGGACATAAATTGTATTCACATGGCAACCCTTTTATTACAAACTGCTCTGAGGACACCTAGATGCTGTTGTCGAAAATCCACCTTCATTGATCTCAGTACTGCCAAATTAACTGTATAAATATTGGTATTTCCGCCCTATCATATCTTCTCTTACACTGTTTTTTCAGTTTCAAACTTAACATCAACAACTATTCTAGTAAAACCATAGCTTTTGTACTATCTACAGTCCATTAACAATCAGCAAAGTTCGTTTATTTAAATCAATAGAAAACTCGGTCTTCACCACCTATCAAAATTAGCTCCTCTATCTAAAACACGAAACCATGATAATGACAGATCAATAAGAGTTCAACTAGCTAGAATTCTTCGGTCCCTGAACCTCTGAGCCAATCAAATCGCTTGAAAACTCCGCTGACCTAAAAAAAATTTTGCGAGGGTTTCCCCCTGTTTTGATATAAGGCAAAATTTTAAGCTCCGCTATATAGCAATATAGCTGTTACTATCATCAAATTTCCCTCAGGTGCTAGAGCATGCCTTACTTACACCACCTAGCTTTAAATTCAGGCATTGAGACCCTCAATCATCACTAAAGTAAGTAGCGATAACCAAGTGGAGACAGCCTATCTACCTCCTAGTCTCGGATAGAGTCTTGTTGAGCTTCAGGGATAGGCACATCCACACAACGTAAAAGAAAAAAGGTATGCTTCAAAGAAACATAATAATAATAAAAGAAAGAAAAGAACATACTACTATACGAGTATAGTAGTACGTAGGCAAAAAAGGGTTACTCACACAAAGTGAGTCAAAGAAAAGTATAACAAATACAACATTAGAGACGTTCAGAACAACTCGCTGTTGTTGCAACACAAATGCATACATGAGTAACATGCAGCATGGTAATAGTCGGATGTAAAGCAACACAACCAACAAAAGAAAAAGAAAAACGCAACAACGTAAACATCATGATAAAATGCATTATCATGAGAAAGGAAGCAATAATACAAACGCTCAAAGAAGTTTTATATCATTGCAACCAGAAGAAAAAATATACTTACCACTTACCACCACCGTAGATAGACCAGAGAATACGCAATCACCGGATATAGACCAGAGAACGAACATGCACCATACACAGTAGACCAGGAAAGACCATATTAGCAAAAGTAGCAGCAGCAGCAGCAGCAACACCAGCACCATAGAAAAAACCAAAAAAACGGACCACACCAGAGACCAGACAAAGACCAAAGAAGCAATCACCAGAGATAAACCAGAGATAAACCAGAGGACAATCATGCACCGAAGACAGTAGACCAGGAAAGGCTATATTTGCAGCAGCAGCAACACCAGCACCATAGAAAAAACCAAAGAACGAGCGACACCAGAGAAAGAGCATGCACCAAACACAGTAGATCAGGAAAACCCATATAGCAGCAGTGGCAGTGACACCAGGACCATAGAAAAACCAAAGAACGAACGACACCAGCAGAGACCAGGCAAAGACCAAAGAAGCAACCACCAGACATGATGAACCAAAGACGCAGACAGCAGAGATACCAGAGATGTAATAATGGCAGCAACTTTCACTCAAACAAGCAAAAAAGTTATTAAAACCTAATAAACAAACTCAATTAGTGTTAATTCTACGCCTTCCAGTGCTCGTTGTTATCGAATGTTACCTAATGTATTTCACTTCAAAGAAGCAGTATCAAGTTTCTTCACCAGTACAAGACAGAATTATCGGAAGCTAGAGTGTTATTATCAATCAAAAGGGTTCCAAAACCACCATGGTTTGGTACTAAAACGCGTTTTGCAAAAAGGGTTTAAAAACGGATAAAAAATGGGTGCATGAAAAATGAGAGAGCACCCTATCCGATGTCACGACCAGTAGATTTAGTCTCAGTCTTGTACCGTAGCAGTCGTAATTGCGGCAACTTAATTTGAAATTGTGCAGTGGCATTTTCCTGTTTAAACTTGACTTGATTCTACATCCTTTAAACGTTTCTGCTAAATTTGACTATGAAAACAGCCGTTGTCACACCCAACTTTCTAATACATCTCTAGAGGGCAAAAGAAGCCGCATCGAATGATGCTGATTACTTTCAACTTTCAGACCAGAAATAATGAGCAATTTCCAAAAATATGAAAACAGGTTTTCTGCGAATATGTCAAGCTTTAGCATATGAAAGTCTCATAGAAAGAATTTCCAATGCTGCATTTCATCTTTACAATCAATTTGATCTAATATGTATCATAGGAAAAGTCTTCACTTTTAACGTGAAAAACGCGATCGTTTGATTTTCAAGAATTTTTCCTTGCTAATACTCATGGAAATACAATGATTTTCATGAATTTGCAATAACCTAAAAAATTTTGAGATAAAGCATCAGGAAGTAAAGCGTAGCCAAGTGGAAGCGTGCGGTGCTATTCCAAGCGTTCAAAACGCTTTGTGGCATGAGTTATTCCTGCTTGAAAATGGCTAGATTTGAACAAAGTTCGACCTAAAAAGAGGGCGTAGTGTGTTGTGTTGCGAAGCATGTTAGTAAATTATACTTCTGTCTGACAACTCAGATATTTGCATTGTACAGTGTAATGAAATAGCCACCCAAACGCAACTTGATTGAAAACCGAAATTCATCAAATACCACTCATTCAAATTCATGCTAGTTGGATCCATTAATAAAAGCGCTCAAATGTACAACAACAACCATTTAAACATACTAAAGTAAAGATACACGCTTATATCGCACATCGTGTGAATGAATCACTCCTGATCACAGTTTATTCAGTCACACCCATGATGGTCGTAATAGGAGATGTTATCTTTATCCAAGCATATTCAAATATGACAACTATGCCCTGCTGCCATAGTTGCACAAAATCCCAGATAAAGGGTTCCATACTTCAATAACAAACATCACACTTTAAGCCATCAAGGTTACATTAAATCATGCTATAACGATAGCTCACCCAAGCCCATCAAGGTTACTCAAATCGACCCTTATGGCCAGTGCTCTTGCATTGATTACCACTTTAAATCAAACATCAACAACACTTGCCAGATATCGCAATAGCAGAACCTATTGCTCTCTATCATCACTAATCCTACAAGCTAGTTGCAAATGTATAAA